GAACAATTGCATCTCTCGGAATCCCTTTTGTTAAGTGCTCTATTTTAATAACATAATCATATCTTTTAGAAGCACAGATATTATTATCCTTATTATTATTATTATGTGAGTTTTGTGAAGAATTGGGATAGTAAAATCAATTGTTGAAATGTTTGTATCTCATTGAAGATGAACACTTTTACCTTTTGAATAAGAGTTTAGTTGGATATTGACGTTAGCCCTGGCAATAGATTAACTTTGATTCTGCAAATCATACTTTATTACTTTCTGATGCCTACTCTTATTATGAATTTGAGATAGTTCTTCATTCCAAGTAATTTGATACTCTGTTATATAAATAGGCATGTGTAATATATCTATATATATGATTGACCTGCATTTTCATTTGGTATACTCAGGCTCAGATTACCACCTTCTTACCTTCTATTCATTTAAAAAAAATGGTTAAACTTGGATTTGAAAACCCATTTTTGTCATTTCAATATTTTTTCATAGGAATCTCTTCAACATTCTAATCTCTTTATCCCCATTCTCACATTCTAACCACTTCATCTTTCTGGAAATCTTAGTATGTCTGTGTTATGTTTAGTCTGTAAACATAAACATGTAGACATGTCTACTTTATAGTTTTTGTTTTTTATATGTATATACCAGCTTTTAAAATCTATGTTCTCATAGCTTCCCTATAACAATAGGTTATCTCTTTTTATGCTATTTTATAATAATTACTTGATCTTCTTAAATTTTTACTACTAAAATTGGTTAATGTCTGTTCACATCTGAATTTTTGTCTAATAACCTTCCCGATCTCACAGCCCCTCTGTTATCTCTTTTGAGAACTGTAAGACCACACATTTTAAAGTCTTTTAAAATTACCTCATTTCTCTTCCCCTGGGTTTGCTTCCTTTCTTTTGAGATGCTGACTGCTCCTAGCTTTGCATTTTGCCTTTTGTCCTGTTGTTTTTGTTCATGTCTTGTAGATATTCTGAGATCATGCACTTTATTCTTGCCATGCAGTTGCTATAGTGTTCAGGTCCCTAACCTACTGCTGAAGCCCTTGGTGCACTCTCACAAGAGGACATGATAGTCGTTACCGTATTGAGTAATATCCAGTCGGTTGGCAAACAGCTGCTCTTTGGAGATACCTGAAGAATGTTCCTCTTCTCTTGAGCACTAGTCTCTCTCCAGAAACCCAAAACCTTGCTACAACTGAGCTGCAACATAGCCAATGGGCCAGCATAGGCCCCTAGGACTTCGTTCCAACATAAGAACAGTTCTTTCTGATAAATGGGCACATTTACCATATTTAAAAGTTTTACCATAACTGCACCTCCTCCCAAATTTTAATGCTAGAATCTTGAGTTCTCTGCCATATGGGAAATACTCTCCCTGGTGTCTTACCCTGGTGAAAGTCTGTCTCCATTCAAGTTTCCCAGCCTGTCATACTATCAACACGGGGGTGCAATACCAGGTTTAGTTCAAGCTAGGAGCTTACAAATGGCTCCAGCATTTGTTCTTTTTTGAGACCGCCTTCTCACTTCCTGACATTTATGGCGTAGCTAGATTTCCAGATCTTCAAGCTCCACATACTGCTGTTTGAATGCATTTCCTAGTGACGATGTATGCACTGCACCGTTTCATCCCCCAATTCACCGCAACACACTCTTTCTATAATCAGTACACCCACCATCCTCATCACTGCATCCTCGTGCTTGCTGCTCCCTTCTCTTTCATAGTTTACTATTTCTTTGATGGGAGTCAGTTTTTCACTCAATTATCTATTGGGCTTTTGTTGTTGTATTGTATTGTATTTATTTATTTTTAGTATTTTTAGTATCCTATTCTGAACATTTGAAATAGCCAGAGTTTATGGTATAAATCTTCTCCATTGACTTTAATAAGTTTTTCAAAAGTGTTTCCACCAAATACATCTATAATTGAATTTTTGATACAGTTTGTGATTTTAATGATATAATGTCATCTACTAGTATTTAGGCGTATTGCTAAAGTAACTGAGGATAAGTCTTGTTTTTGATATTACAGATTTGACTTTTCTAAAACTTCGCATCGTGTTTTACAACAAGTATTACAAGTTCCTAAATCTTCCTTTATTGTGGAGTGGTTAAGCACACTTGCTACTCTTGCAGAGGACCATGACTCACAACCAACTGCAATTCCAGTTCTAGGAGATCCAGTGCCCTCTTCTGACGTCCGCAGACAACAGGCTTATGGCACACATACATTCACTTTGGAATAACAATCATGCAATTAAAAATCTAAAGTATAAGACACACTTTAAAAATTATCTAGCTCTCAGAATTGGTGAGATCAGGCACAATGTCCATTGAATACTTAAATGGATCTATCTATACTAAAGCAACTGCTAGATTCTGCCAGCCAACTTCAAAGTCACACAGGCTGTGCTGAGGATTTAATAAGCAGCCTTTACCAGAGTGTTTGAAGTCCTTAGTGTATTTGACCTTGGGCTTAACTTGAACAGTATTTGTCATGTTTGCCTAACACTACAGGTGATCCCATAGACTAGGTTGACACTATTGAGTGGAATCTTTTTAAGTAATATTCAATGTAATTGAAATATATTTGATGTGTTTCAATGAAAGGCAGTCAATTAGTTACTAAGCTTAAGAGCTCGAAGAGGAAGCGTTGACTTATGTGTGGCAGACTGAAACAGGAAACAAATATTAGAAGAACCCTTATTTCTTAGAAAATGAAATCTTCTTTTTAATAATAGCTTTTAAGACTGTTAACTCCAGAACCAGGTGTGGTGGCACACACCTTTAAGCCAGTGCAGGCAGGTGGAGCTCTGTGAGTCTGAGATCACTGTGGTATACAAAGGGGGTTTCAGGACAGACAGAACTACATAGAAAGACCCTGTACCCCAAAACAAAAGACTGTTAACCTTCTAAGTGAGTTAACCTTATCCCTGCTTTTTTGATACAAAGTCCTCATATTTTTAATCCATAGGCTATGGCAGCACCCGATAGAACATAATGATATAAAGATCTACCTTTTGCCTAGGTTTCTCTATCAGTAGTATGGAGTGGTCTATTTTTCCTGAAAACGTACTATGTCCTCACCTCTTATGTACTCTGACATGCTGCTTAGGGATATGCTGTAACAATGCATAGGTCCCAAGACTATTTTCTAACCAGGCAGCAAAGTGAGATTTAAAACAAAAACAAAACAGAGAACCTGCATAAAGAATGGGAAGCTCCTAACCCCAAATTAGGAGGAATTGAAGATGACAGCGTCTTGTCAAGCAACTCTCGGCAGTGGCACGCTGTCTTTTGCTTTTACACCTGTGAGTAAAGGTTCTAAGCACAAATGAGTTTTCGCAGCCTCTGCCAGCAGCCATAAAGGAGGCTCCTGTTTCAGGAGACCCTGGCAGATTGCTGCAACACAGCACAGCAAAAATGCAAGGCCTCAGCCGGAAGTGTGAACTGTTGTAGCTCCAGGCAGGCGGGCATGAGGAAGCTGACCTAACCCTTGAGCACTGTAATGGGAACTTCTGCGTGAAGTTCCGGGTCACCCGCTGGCTCACGGCTGTTGTGGGAAGGGGCATGTACGGCTGTTGTGGGAAGGGGCATGTACAGCTGTTGTGGGAAGGGGCATGTAACCATCCAGGCAGAATTTGGCTGTCCTCAGAGCATAATGTTTTCTAAGCATTTCCTCTACCTTACCTGTTAAAGAAATGACCAGGCTTGAATCCTATTGCTTTGCAGAGGGTTCAGGTGGAAGTGCAGCTCTGCAAACCTTTGTTGGAATATCCTTGGCAGAGGCCAACCTAGGCTCCCAGTTCTCCTGAAGAAGGTTGACTTTACCACAAGCTCCATCAGCTGGTGGAAAGAACTACCAAGGCAGCAGTGCGCACAGAAAGTATTTACCTAGGAGCCTGGAGTTCCCAAGTCGATAAAGTGTGAGGCCCAGACTACCCCAGTGACTATCAGGGGTAATCCTGTGGGACAGAGCCTATGAAAGGCTCTGCTAGCTAGCTCATGGGACACAGAGATAGAGTTTCGGAACCAGTTTGAGGATCCGTGGGGCCTTATGAGGTCCCACTCCCAGTGGCCTCCAAAATGGAGTCATTCCTCCCTTGGGGCTTCCACATGTACCAGGCATGGAGAGTCCTAGAAAGGAAAAATATTTTGGCAATTAGGAGACAGAAAAAAAAATGTGTGAAGGATTTATAGCAACAATGAAACCTGCCATAGTTTTGTTTATAAAAATAAGAGGCTTTAAGTTGGGCGGTGGTGGCACGCCTTTAATTCCAACACTTAAGAGGCAGAGACAGGCAGATCTCTGTGAGTTCGAGGCCAGCCTGGTCTACAAGAGCTAGTTCCAGGACAGGCTCCAAAGCTACAGAGAAGCGCTGTCTCGAAAAACAAAAACAAACAAACAAAAAAAAAAGAGGCCTTAAAACCAAAATCCACAAATTTGAAATTTGAAAGTATTGATGCTGAGTTAAATGAAACATATAATAGAAATTAGATATTATGAATTCATTGAAATAATAGGTAAACAAAAAATAAATAAGCAGTTATGAACACAATGCTTACATAATAATAGACTGAAAATATTTTTAATTGAGAATTTTTGCATCTACTTTCATAAGGGAAATTGGCCTATAATTTGATTTTTTTTGTTTGGTATTTATGTGGTTTTGGTTTCAGGGTGATTGTACCTTCATCAAATGATTTGGATTAGTTATATTATGTTCATATGAAGCTTGATAGTGCTCTATACACACCAGTATTGAGTCTTCTGTAATAGTCAGTAGAGACAAATTTTGAATTTTGCTTGTGAACTAACCTCTTTTGGGGTTTTTTTCTGTCTCTAGAATTGTTGCCTTGATAGTGTCTGACTGGCAAGTCTACCCAGTACATTCCACTGACAAGATCGTTTAATTTATGCAATGCAATTAACTTACTATTTGATGTTAGAGATTTTAATTAAGACTCTTCAACCCTTCCTTTCTCAAGTCTCTACCCTTTTGGCAGCAATGTGCCACCAGGTTCTGTGGAACAGAAGAAGGGGAAGTTCCCGATCTGGCCAGAGTGGAGCGAGGCAGACATAAATGCGGAAAAGTGGGATGCAGGCAAAGGAGGGAAGGAGAAAGACAAAACTGGCAAGAGCCCCATCTTCGTAAGTAGTCATGACTGAGGCTTGGAGATGCGTGGGTGTGACTCCTCATGCTGTGCTTTGCATGTGCTGGAGAGGGAGGCCAGGGTCTTGCACATGCTACACAAGTTCTGCCCCTGGGCTGCACCCCAGCGTGAGTTTGCCTTCCTATTTCTCTCCCATCTCCATCCCAAGGGGAAAGCTTTTCTTTTCACCCTGACCCCTTCCCCCACTTTATTTTCCCCAGCCTTTATACTGGGAAAATGGGTGGGAAGAAATATAATGGAGTCCTTGAGAAAGATGAGAAAAAAACGAGATAAATGAGCAACTGGTTTTGGACATCAGAGAACCCAGTATTTGCCTCCTTAGGAAAAGTCCCATGGTATTTGCTTCTGCATCCAATGTTCAGCCTTTGACTAACATGAGATGCTACAAAATGAAACAGACACTTGGCTACTGTTCCAGTCTCTCTGTTTTTCTCCCATCTTTTCACACAGATCTGTTTTTATCTGAATAACACATATATATCCTAAAATCTGATCTGCAAGGTATTTTCACCATCACAGGATAAAGACACTCTAAGCTCCCAAAGGCTTTTTTTTTAAGTTCCCTGAACACTTTGGATTGACTCATCAGGTTGCTTCGCAACTCCATTGCTTAACTGTAGATTTACCCAATCTAGCCCACTGCTGTAAAATCTGAAAAACACTAACAGAGACAGGCATCCACACACAAGCAAGCACCAGATCCCCACATGTTTTAAATTGCTGCTAATCATTATAATATTTCGTCTTTGTTTGAACTCAAATGCTTCACAGGCCCTTTGAATGTGAAAGGTACAATCATTTTATATGTGGTACCAAGAATGCATTGCCTAACACATTGCTAATTTGCACATTAAAGTGATAATAAAGACAGCAATTAATTGTCTTTACTAAATGTCTTTATCTTTAGTGAATCAGTAACTAAGATTCTGCATTGTGTTAAGAGAATTTAAATTTCAATATTTACTATTTCAGAATGCTCTATGCAAATAAAGACACCATAGACCAATCTAACCATTCTGAGCACCTTGCATGTATTTCAAAACATTTGTGATATGGATATTTTTAAATGAATATCACCAATAGTCCACAATCAAATTTTACTCAACAAGCAAGGTTATGACAAGGACATACGCCATTCTTTTTTAATTCTTTCGATTTTTTCTTCTATTGAAAACAGATTTTTTTTCCCCTCACATCATGTATCTTGCTTATGGTCTCCCCTCACCCCACTTATCCCGATTGTTCCCCATTTCCTGTCTGGTTTCACCCAGGTTCTGTCTCTCATGAGAAAAAAATATGCTTCTTTGGGATAATATTAAAATAAAATATAATGCATAAGATAATAAAAGTTAATACATCAGATTTGGAGAAAACAAAGAGAAGCAAAAGAGCCCAGTGGGAGACAAAAGAAATAACTACTTGTTCAGCTTCCAGGAATCCCATAAAAACACTAAACTGGAAGCCATGATACATATGCAAAAGACCTGTAAGGGAAAAAAGAGAGAAGAAATATATACATATATATATACATATATATACACATATATATACACATATATATACATATACATATATATATATATATAATATGATAAAGCTGGGCGATGGTGGAGTACACGTTTAATCCCTGCATTGGGAAGGGAGGCTGACATCCATTGAGTTCGAGGCCAGCCTGGTCTACAGAGTGAGTTCCATGTCAGCCAGGACTACACAAAGAATCCATGTTTCAAGAAAAAAAAAAACTATAAACAAAGGGAAAGTGCTAACAGGGCTTTGTTAGACAAGAAAACTCCTTTGCGTTCATTTTCTGTTGACCATGCAGCCCATTCTTATGACTAGTTTGTTTCCCCAGGGAGAGTCCCTTGGAGGAATATAGATCTTCATTTGTCAGTGGCTATCAATTGGATTTGTTTCTGGGTTAGGGATGGGACCTGTGTCCATTTCTCCTTTTAGCTCTTGGGCACCATCTGGTGCAGACTCCAGCAGATCCTGTGCATGTTGCCTTAGTCTCTGTGAGTTCATATGAGCTTTGGTGGTGCTGATTTAGAGGGCCTTGTTTTCCTGGTGTCCTCCATCCCCTCTGGCTCTTACAGTCTCACTGCCTCTTTTTCCTCAGTGTTCCTTGAGCCCTGAGGGGAGGAATGGACATATCTTGTTTAGAGCAGAGTGATCAAGTCTCTCACTCTTTGCATAATGTCTGTCTGTGAATCTTTGTATTTGTTCCCATCTGCTGCTGTAGGAATCTTTTCTGATTATGATTAAGATAGGCACTGATACATAAGGTATTCAGAGTCATTTCATTGTTTTTTATTTTAAAAAGTATTTAATGTTACACTAGGTCCCTGAGCTTTCTAGTTTCAGGCTCTTGATCACCTAAGCGGTATCAGGTACAAATTCCATCAAATCACATATTAGTAGGTTTGCCCCACAAACTTTGTACCACTGTTACCCTAGCATATCTTACAGGCAGAACATCATAGAAGATCAAAAGATTTGTGTCTGAGTTGGTGCTTTTGGAGAATATTTTTGTGTATCAAAGATGCCATCTTTGGTTGTTTGGCCATTCTTGAGGGTGTAAGATAGGATCTAAAAATGACTTTGATTTGTATTTCTCCGATGGCTAAAAATGTTGAACATTTCTTTATGAGTTTCTCAACCATTTTACTTTCTCTTTTGAGAATTATCTGTTTAGATCTGTACTTCATTTTTTAATGCAGTTATTTGTTTGATATCTAGTTTTTTTGAGTTCTTTATGTATTTTAGATATTAACTCACTACCAGATGTGTAGTTGGTAAAAAATTTTTTCCCATTTTGTAGGGTGCCACTTAGTCTGAATGATGGTGTACTTTGCCATTCAGAAGCTGCTCAGTTCCATGAGGTCTTCTTTATTAATTGTTGATCTAGTGCCTGTGCTAACTGTTCTATTCATAAAGTCTTTCTCTGTGACAATGAGTGTAAGGCTATCCCCAGCTTTCTATAAACTATCCCGTTTGATCAGCAACATTTGTTGAAGATGCTGCCTTTTCCCCAGTGTGTGTTTCTGGCCTCCTTATCAAAGATCGGTTGTCTATAGGTATGTGGATTTATGTCTAGGTATTCATTTCTATTCCACTGATCAACATGTGGGGTTTTAGCCGGCCGGTGGTGGTGCATGCCTTTAATCCCAGCACTTGGGAGGCAGAGGCAGGCGGATCTCTGTGAGTTCGAGACCAGCCTGGTCTACAAGAGCTAGTTCCAGGACAGGCTCCAAAACCACAGAGAAACCCTGTCTTGAAAAACCAAAAAAAAAAAAAAAAAAAAAAAAAGTGGGGTTTTGTACCAGTACCATGCTGTTTTTATTACTATAACTCTGTAGTACAAGCTGAAATCAGAGATGCTAATATATCTAGCAGTTCTTCTATTACTTGAGATTTTTTTAGCTATCCTAGTTTTGCTGTTGTTTTGTTTAGTGTTTGTGTGTGTGTTTCTATATTAGTCTAAAAACTGTCCTTTCAAGATCTGTGAAGAAACTGTTGGAATTTCAATGAGGATGCATTGAATCTGTAGATTGTTTTTGGTAGGGTTGCCATTCTTACTATAATAATTCTACTGACACATGAGCAGGGGAGATCTCTCCATCTTCTGATATCTTTTCTTCAGTTTCTTTCTTCATTGTCTTTAAGTTTTTCTCTTTCACTCTCTTGGATAGAGTGACCCCAAGATATTTCATGTTATTTGAGGCCATTGTGAAAGGTGGTGTTGCCCTGGTTTCTTTTTCAGTCTGTTTGCCATTTATATGGGAGGGCTATTGACTTTTGTGAGCTAATTTTGTTATCTAGCAAGTTTGCTGAAAGTGTTTATCATTTTTAAGAGTTTCCCAGTGGAATTTTTAGGGACACTCTACATAATATCATATCACCTTCAAATAAAGACTCTTTGACTTCTTCCTTTCTGACTTATGGAGATCATGTCCTACTTGCTCTAGCTAAGATTTCTAGTACTGTATTGAATAGCTGAGGAGAGTGTCTTGTTCCTGGTTTTAGTGGAATTGAATTGAGTTTCTCTTTATTTAAGTTGATATTAACTATGTGCTGGCTGTAATCTGCCCTTATGATGCTGAGGTAAGTCTCTTGTATCCCTAAACTCTTCAGGGTTTTATTATGGCGTTGAATTTTGTCAAAGGCCTTTTCTACATCTAATGATATGAGCATGAGGCTTTTATCTTGCAATTTGTTTACATGGTGGATCACATTTACTGATTTATGTATGTTGAACCATTCCTGCCTCTCTGGAATGAAGCCTACTAGATCATGGTGTATGATCATTTTTATATGTTATTGGATTCAGTTTGCCAGTACTTTTGTTGCAGGAGGAGGCCACTTGTTCATCCTGGCCGCCCAGAGCCAAAATAATCACACCGAAACTGTATTCATTAAATCAGTGCTTGGCCCATTAGCTCTAGCTTTTTATTGGTTAACTCTTACATCTTAGTTAAACCCATCTCCATTAATCTGTCCATCACCATAAGGTTGTGGCCCAACTGTAAAGTTCCATCACGTCTATCACTGGTGGCAGATCCATGGCGGCTCTGACTCTGCCCTCCTCTCCCAGCATTCAGTTCCATCCTATCAACAGGCCAAGGCAGTTTCTTTATTTATTAACCAAGAAAAGCAATACATAGACACAACGACCTCCCAAACCATTTCCTATCCTTCCCTGCAGCATACATAATTGAGAACTTATGCATCTATTTTCATAAGGGAAATTGGCCTATAATTCACTTTCTTTGTTGGGTATTTATGAGGTTTTGGTTTCAGGGTGCTTGTGCGTTCATCAAATGAATTCGGTAATGTTCCCTCTGTTTCTTTTAGGTGGGATAATTTGAGGAGTATTGACATTATCTCTTTTATGAAGGTCTGGTAGAATTCTTCGCTAAAAGAATCTGACCCTACACTTTTATTAGTTGGGAGACATTTTAGTATCCTTCTGTTTCACTAGGGGTTATAAGTATGCTTAAATTGTTCATCCAGTCATGACTTGACTTTCGCTAAGTGATATGTATTGAGAAAATTATAGACTTCTGTTAGATTTTCCAATTGGAAGAGTACAAGTTTTTAAAGTATGTCTTGATGGCTCTCTGGATTTTCTCAGTGTCTATTATTATGTCCTTCTGTTCATTTCTAATTTTGTCAACTTGTTATTCTCTCTCTGCCTTTTAGTTAATTTGGATAAGGGTTTATCAATTGTGATTTTCTCAAAGAACTAACTCTTTGTTTCATTGATTCTTTGTATTAGTTTTGTTATTGTGTTTCTATTTTATTGATTTCACCAGAGTTTATTTATTGTTTTCAACTACTTTTGAGGGTCATTTCTTCTTTTTGTTCTAGAACCTTCAGGTGTGCTATTAAGTTACTAGTATAAGGTCTCTTTAGCTTTTTATGTGTGCACTTAATGTTATGAACTTGCCTTTTTGAACCACCGTTATTATGTCCCTTAAGTTTGGGTTATGTTGTATATTGATTTTCATTCCGTTTTAGAAATTTGTTGCAAGGAGGGGGCCTTACCCAGAAAAAACCACACAGAAACTGCCAAGCCCTCTCAGCTTTCACGTGGATTTATTTGGCCATATGGGCGCCAATTGTGGAAGGACACTTAAAAAAATCCCACACTAGCTCAGAATTGAGAAATAGATGGTGATATATTTAGGGGTAAACTCACAAATCAGAATCCTCTGCTTCAATGGAGAACAGAAACTGAATCCAGCAACCATAAAGAGTGGCCAGAAAAGAGGGTAGATGCAGGCTCTGCATCAGCATATATAGTATAAGAGGCCACACCCCAGTAGGTGGGTAACCACAAGCTGTAAGATTTTTCTACAGCAGAAAGTCTTTAATTTCGTGATCAACTTTTCATTCAGTAGTGAGTTGTTAAGTTTCTAAGCATTTTGATGTTATTTGTTTCTGCTGTTACTGGTATCCAGCTTTAATATGTGGTGGCTAGATAGGGTACAGGGTGTTATTTTGATTTTCTTGTATCTGTTGAGACTTTGTGTTTAAGTTTGTAGTTAGTTTTGGAGAAAGTTCCATGAGGTTATGAGAAGGTATATTCTTTTGTGTTTGTGTAAAATGTTCTATAAATAACTGTTAGAGTTATTTGATTTATAACGTTAGTTAGCTCTACTATTTCTGTTTAATTTTTGTCTGGATGACCTGTCTATTGGTGAGAGTTATGTCCTGAAGTCACCAACTTTCAGTGTACGGGGATCAATATGTGATTTAAGCTGTAATAGTGTTTCTTTTGTGAACTTGTGTACCCTTTTGTCTTGAGCATGAATATTAAGAATTGCTATGTCCTTTTAGTGGATTTTTCTTTAATTAGTATGTAGTATGTTTCTTTTATTAGGATGTAGTGTCCTTCCCTACCTCTTCTGATTAGTTTTGGTTTAAAGTCTCATTTATCAGATATTAAAATGGCTACACCAGCTTGCCCTTAGGTCCATTTGCTTGGAAAATCTTTTATCACCCTTTTATTCTGAGGTGGTTTCTCTCCTTGCTGTTAAGATATGTTTCTTGGGTACAGCAGAAAGATGGATCCTGTTTTCACATTCATTATGTTAGTCTGTGTCTTTTTATTGGGTTATAAGGTCAATGATGTTGAGAGATATCAATGAGTACAGTTTGTTAATTCCTTTGATTTTGCTGTTGTTTTCAGGTGTGTGTGTGTGTGTGTGTGTGTGTGTGTGTGTGTGTGTGTTTTCTCTCTTTTGATTTGCTGGTCTGGGATTATTCATTTTTTTTCTTAGAAGTGGCTAATCTTTTTAGGTTTGAGTTTTTTCCTAGCACCTACCATAGGACTGAATTTGCAGATAAATATTACTTAAATTAGGTTTTACCATAGAATGCCTTATTTTTCTATCTATTGCTTCTATAAATTTTGCTGGGCATGGTAGTCTGGGTTGGCATCTGTGGTATCTTAGAGTAACATCTGTCCAGGCCCTTGTGGCTTTGTGAGTCTCTGTTGAGAAGTCAGGTATAATTCTAGCCTTTGTGTGTTACTTTGTCTTTTCTCTTGAAGGTTTTATGTTCTGTACACTTAGAATTTTAACTATTATGTGCCAAGGGCTGGAGAGATGGCTCAGAGATGGCCTGCTCTTCCAAAGGTCCTGAGTTCAATTCCCAGCAACCACATGGTGGCTCACAACCATCTGTAATGATGTCTGGTGCCCTCTTCTGGCCTACATGCAGACAGAATATTGTATACATAATAAGTAAATAAATAAATATTTAAAAAAAAAACTATTATGTGCCAAGGGACCTTCTTTTCTGGTCCAGTCTATTTGGTGTTCAGTACCCTTCTTGTACCTTATAGGCAGTTGATTTTTTTAGCTTAGGAGAGTTATTTTCTATGATTTTGTTGATAATATTTTCCATACCTTCACTTTGGGTTTCTTCTCTTTTCAGTAATTATATTATTTTTAGATTTGGTCTTTTCTGTAGTGTCCCAGATTTCCTCTACATTTTGTGCAGGAGTTTTTGGGATTTAACATTTTCTTTGACCACAGTATCCATTTCCTCTACAGTGTCGTCAATGACTGAAATTCTCTCTTCCATATCTTTTATTCTGTTATCAAGACTTGCCTCTAAAGTTCCTGTTTGAGTTCCTAAATTTTTTAATTTCAGATTTCTCTAGTTTGACTTTTCTTTATTGATTCTGTTTCGACTTTCAGGTCTTGATCTGTTTTATTCATTTCTGTTTACTTCTTGTGTGTTCATAGATCTCTCTAAAGGATTTATTCATTTCCTCTTTAGGGACCTCTATTATATTCATAAAGTCTATTTTAAGGTCTTTGTCTTATGATTCAGCTATGTTGCAATACTCAGGGGCTGCTGTAAGGGTGGCTGGGCTCCAGCAGAGACGTATTTTCCTGGCTGTTATTGATTGTGGTTTTATACTGGTGTCTAGGCATGTGGGTTTTGAAAGATTGTAATTCCAGGTGCAGATGCCTGTTTTCTTCTTTTCTGGGTAAGCATTTTGTTTTTTTGATTTCTTTTGTACTCTCTGGTTCTTTGAAGAGTGTTTTATGGCAGGAATTTTTTCTGGGATTTTGATAAGTGTGACTACTGAGGGTAAAATGTGTTTCTAGAATAGGGAGCTGACACTTAGGAATGGGGATGGTCTAGGAGGAGGCGCTAAGGAGTCCACAGGCATCCACAGGATGGAGTAAATCAGGGCATTCCACCAGGATCTATCTATTTCCCTGGGAATAGAGACAAATATGGACAGAGGCCACAGCAGGTGGTCTGCTGCACAGCTGGCACTGAGACTCATGGGTTTGATTTGGAGGACTGGGAGGTAAACAGCTGCAGGTAGCCTATTTGCTTCCCTGGCCAGTTTGAGTTTCGGTATTCAAATATTCCACAGGGCCTTTCTGAAGTCAAACACACACACACACATTACTACACAAATTCTTCTATATTGATCTAACATTTGTATTAGTTGGTCTTTATTAAGATGGAATTTTTATTATAATAAAGCCACATTTAAAAGTTCAATTTAATTTTTTTTTCATCTAGCACTTTTTTGAAGACCCTGAAGGAAAGATTGAATTACCACCATCCTTGAAAATCTTTTCCTGGAAACGTCCACAAGATTTTATATTCAGCCGAGTAAGAATTGTTTTCACTATTGAATGAAATACTTATTACCTACAAGGATAGAATATCTTTGTGACCAAAGTTTGCATTCTTCAAGTAATTTACAGTGTTTCTTCTGTGATCGCTTTTTAGCTTCTAACTCAGAAATTAATATTTGTCAGTGTATTTTAATAATTCCTTTGCTGTTGGGACTATGGAAATGGTTCGGCTGGTCAGAGGCATTCTGTGCAAGCATGAGGGCACGGGTTCAATCCCCAGAACCCATTTTAAAAAGCCAGCTGTGGCAGCATCAGCTTGTAAACACAGCACTGAAGAGCGAGACACAGGCTAATCTCTGAGGCTCACTCGCCAACCAGCCTAGCTGAATAAGTGCATTTCAGCTAAAGGTAAAACTCTGACTCAAAACTCAGAAAGTGACTGAGTCTCTCCACACATCCCACCCAGTGTCGCAGCACACATACATGGACATGCACATTTTTGTATAGATTTGAAAGAGATTACTATGTTTTGATGTACAAGCTTCATTTTTCTATTTCTATCGAAAATGTCAAATTGTAGCCAAACATGTTATTTGTTATTTCTGACTAGCTGATTTGTTCCACTCCGCATCTCAGTGTGAAATCCCAGGGGCGTGAAGGTCTCTTTCCTCCAGTGTTTATTAGAATTAATTTTCCAGTCCAAGAGATTTGCACATGGGTTCCCATCTTCCAGGAATCCTCCAAGCATCTTCCAAAGCCTGTCTCTGTTTCTAGACTTCATGCTCAGTCAGTTGAATCATACATTTGTGGAGACACCTTCATTTCAAACAGCTCTCACACACTTCAGAACTCTATAAGCTTTGGTCTAACACATTAATAGCCACATTAATTTGAGTGTAGTTCTTGTCTGCAGGGTTTTAATTATCTCTAATGTTTTTTCCCTTGCTGGATTTCTTACTGTTTTCATTGAATGCATGGGACACCAGTAGGGCAAATTAATTAGTACCAGTCACATAGCTTGTAATGGAGCCGATTCTTGTATGCTTTTGTAGTCTTTGGAGTTTGTTTCCACACAATGTAGTTAGCCTTCCTCAGTGCTGGTATGAATGTAGGCAAATGTAAGTCAGGCCTCTTACTGACTGAAAACAAAGCTGCATCTACAGCCAAAGTGATTCACTGAAGCCACAGGGTCTTTCGAAGGCTTCCTTGTAAGATGTTTCAAATAAATCCATTATGCACAAAACAAGCTTCTGAATCAATTTTAATTTTGAGCAATACTGACATGAATATAAATTTTCTGCCGTTCACATAATGCACTTGACATTGATAGGTATTTTAATAAATCTTATTCTGTTTTTTGTAAATTCATCATAGATGGTCCATGTAAAAAATGGTTTTATAAATTGAATAAATAAATGTTTTAAGAACACTTTCCTCTACTCTTTAATAAACGGTGGGTCTGAGGTACATCTGTACTAAAAATCAATTCAGTCTTCCCTGTTAACCTCTCCATCTCTAGGGATCATAGCCTGACATCAGCCTGCACATGGCTACTGCTCCTTCACAAAGGTTCCGCTCTTGACGGGTCATCCTAGAGTGGGGCCCAGAGCTTCCAGAAGCGAAAGTCCAAATACAGATATACCTAGAGTAGGGGCTTCAAGATTTCATGTATAGACTCACAATAAGAATCACTAAGAATACTCATAAGTAAGGCTAAAGCAAACAGAAACAGTTCCATAAAAAAATGACATTCTTATATGAGATTTGGTCTATGACATCTTCCTTCCCTCCAGCTGTTTCATGAAGCTAATCTCATTTTTTTTCCTTTTCTTTTTAAATTGCTGCATTTCACCCTTCCCTTTCCTTTCACCAAATACTTCCACACACCTCTCTTTTTAATAGTTGCTGTTATATGCATATATGGATGTGTAGGCACATGCTTATTCCTAAATAGCCTACTGAGTCTGTATTATGTTGCTCCTATGTATGCTTTTCAGTGAAATTCTTTAAAGAAAGGCCAGGTTGCCATGACCCCACTTCCTCCCCTCAGGAGCCACATTTGCCTGTAAACAAACACCTGGTCAGTACTCTTGGTTTCAGGGATTTTTTTCACCACAACACCAAAAAGAGGTCCTCTTTCCTGCTGAGAAGGGGTTTTGATGCTCAGACAAATAGTTTGATTCCTCTGGAGGAATGGCCTTGTGTGCTGCTTGCCATGATCAGGTTTTTATTGTAAACACTGTGCACCTGCTGTGATGGAATCTCAGCCTTCGACTTTGAAGGCCCTGTCCCGCTTGTCTCACTGCGAGAGCCTTTCCAGTCTGACAGAGGACTCAATGTATTTGCTCTTGGCTTAATAAAGTGTGGCGATCTGGAACGTTCTGGAGTAGATTTTATCATTCTGGACTTTTAGTGTTAGATTAGCAATTTGTGTGCTCTTCCCTGGAGACTATTTCGCCCACAAAACTGTATTTGAATAAGTTAGGTTTCTTTTACTTAAAAAAAAAAAACTAAATAAATATCTATGTCTACATTTTTTATTTCAGCCTCCTGTAGTTGTGAAAAATGAAATCACGTTTGACTTGTTTTCACCAAATGAACATTTGCTCTGCAGCGAGGTAGGTGAGGCCGCAGGGACCACTACTCCATTGAACAATGTCTTCCAGGCCTGCCTACATAAATACTTCCTGGACAGCCATTGGCAACTCCTTCTTGTCCAGCTTTAAGTCACGAATTTCGTGTGGTTTTTATATTTTATTTTTCTAACTTCTTTGTATAGCTATCAATTAAAAATTGTATTTATTTATGATTTTATAGGATGTAATTTTAGTAATTCAATGCATATAGACTATATAAATGTATATATATATATATATATCACATCACATATATACACTCTGCTAACTCAAGGTCAATGTTAACCATTTTAGGCCTTTTAATTTCTATTGTTGCCCTATCTCATGGAAACAATATCAAGATATGATATTTTTTCTGTAGCTCAGAAATCAAAATTATATATATGTATACACACACTAAATGCAAAATTATTGCTCTTAGATACATATTTTTGTCATATTTCACCTAAAACTTTAGTACTCACCGTTTAAAAATCAACCTATCAATAGTAGTAGCTTTCGTTGTTTTGTGTTCAGCTTATGAGGTGGATTATCAGTGAAATCTACGCCGTGTGGAAGATCTTCAATGGAGGGATTCTGCACAATTACAATAAAGGAAATTCAGGAGAGCCTCCTATGCTGCTCTGGAAGCCCTGGGAACACATATACTCTCTCTGCAAGGCCGTGAAGGGCCACATGCCTTTGTTTAACAGCTACGGGAAGTATGTTGTGAAGCTTTACTGGATGGTAAGTCCTTCAGGCTGCCGTGCATCTGTCCTTCCTGTTAAGAAACAAGAATTAAAAACAACAAACAAACAAACAAACAAAAACCCTCTGTATTTAGTGCGCTTAGGCAATCTCAGATTTTCTGTAGGAAGGTTTGCCTTCTATGGGATACGGTAGGAGTGGGACTGGACAGCCAGACTGAACGTGGAATTCGTGATTTCCAATGGTTCTTCATGGATCTCAGCCGAAGCGCAGCTTGCAGGGGTGCTGCTCAGCAAGGAAGCCCTGAAACTCAGCGATTTCCACATGGGTTGTTTGTACCAGCGTGCTACACGTTAATGGCTACTTATTTTTTCCAGTTGATAGAAGAAGTCTGTCGTTTCTCAGCGAGGGAAGAACTTCTACCTCTTTCTAAGCAACCCCAAGCTGGGAGGGTCGATCCACACCAGTGTGTGCACATGACCAGAGTGAATACTTTCTGACAAGATATTCCCCCATCCTCTTCTCATCCATTTCTAGACGCAAACCATTTACGTTTTGATTTTGAAAATTCCCTTCCAGTTCTCATGCAGTCCTCATACTTGTCCATCCTTTGCTTCACTCTGCAAAGATCTGGAAAACATGATCCTAAGGAGACTGCTTGGCTCCCTTCTGCTGACCAGCATGAGGCGCAGCAGACGCGATTTTGCACCCCATTGCTGTCCCTGCCCTTTGTCCTCTCCTCTCTGCTATGATGCTTGTTTTTCAATCCCAGAAGGACTTCATTTCCATGCCTTGTTACAGAGATTCCCTTCCTCCTTCTCAGGGGTTTCTCAGAGCCTTTTTCCACATGACTTCTTGAAGGCAACCCATTTCCTGGGGGCCTCTAATATTGAAGACTGATTTTTTTCAAAGCCGTCTTTAGTGATACAGGCCAGTCATCCCCCAGACTCAAGAGGCTAAAGCAGGAGGGCCTGAAATTCAAGGCCTGTCTGGGCTACGGTTTAGGTTCAAGGCTAGTATGGGCAATTTCTCAAAATAAAAAGTTAAACAAAGAAACAAATAAAAACCCAGAGTAAGCATATGGCTAAATAGTAGAGTGCTTGGTGAACTGTAAAGTTCTGGGTCCGAGCCCCAGTACTGGAACATCAAGCAAGTAATTAATTGTGATTTCCACACCAGGATATTATTTCTCAACAAAGTGTTCACATCATGCAGCCTGGATTCTCAGCTGGCTGTGCAATGTTTTTTGACATTAGCCAGAGAGAAAACATACCAGTTGCACTGAGAACAGTGCATAAAGGAAAGAGATGGGTTTTCTCTTCCATCTGGCTATAATGACAGGATGCAGGGACACACCACATCTTTCCGAGTACTTTCCAATTTCCGTGTTACTTTGGCTCCCAAGAGGAGAGAGGGAAGCAATTTAGCTGTTGTTCCCCACTTGCAATACAGCCTGTAGTAGGCAGCCTCCCTCTGCCTCGGTGCTTTCATTTCCCTCGGATAAGCAGAAAACACACACATGGAGGCCAATAATCCCCCTCGGTTGTTGTCAATGTACTTATGTGAAAACATTTTCGATTTTATTCTTCACTGAGATTTATTGGTTCGTTCACACTATCTAATTTAGAGTTTCTAGAGGTACAGCAAATCTCCAGCACAAACATGTGGGGACTTCACACCCCTGCTTCCCGTGCCCCACCCCTCTCCTGAACCAACCAGCTGAATCCACCTGGGAGCAGAGGCAGCAATATTGTTCTGTTTTCTGCTACATTGTTTTTAAGACTGTGTCTCATTGCACTGGCTGGCCTTGAACTCACTATGTAGGATGGCCTTGGATTGTCTTGTCCTCATCTCCCATCTGCTGAGATTGCTGTATCTGCCACCAAGCAACACTTGCAACCCTGCTTTTAAAATAAGTTCTCAATGATATTTTTATTAATTAAATTCAATAAACAGTGCATTCAAGATATTAAACAATGAGCTGGGCAGTGGTGGCGCATGACTTTAATCCCAGCACTTGGCAAAGAGAGGCAGGCAGATCTCTATGAGCTTGAAGCCAGCCTAGTCTACAGAGTGAGTTCCAAAATGGTTAAAAAAATATTATTGAACAATAATAACAATTTTTTATATTACTTGGTTACTATATACCCCAAAGAAATGCAACATTTAATGTTTATTATTATTATATATGCTTCTAGTGGAAAATTCAAATACTATTAATATAGTCAATATAGAAAATCAGAATTCGTTGTAATATTAGTATATTTAGACAACCACAGTCAAGGATTCGGATTTTTTTCCTGCGTTTTCCTGTTTTTTGTTTTTGAGTCAGGGTTTCTCTATAGCTTTGGAGCTTATCCTGGAACTCACTCTGTAGAGCAGGCAGGCCTTGAACTCACAAAGATTTGCCTGTCTCTGCCTCCCACGTGCTGGGTTAAAGGCATGTGCCACCATCGCCCGGCTTCCTATGTTCTTATAAGCATACATAGACATACTGTATACCATAATGCTCAAATGATGCAGTTCTAGAAACTGCCAACTCATTTATTCATGGGCATTTTCTATGATGATATATTCTTGTACATTCTATACACACTATTCTGTGGACATATATGCAAATGTATGCAAATTTATATTAAATTTCCATTAATTAATGCTTAGGCTATGGCCAGCGTCTTACCTATACAAACAAGACTGCTCATGAATAGCCTTTTATGTAGGTCTTGTCCAATAGAATGGTGTTTTTTTCTCTAGTATTTCTGCAAGTGAGATTACTCTGTTATGAGTGTGAAAATGTTCATTTTGATAAGTATATTCAAATTATTCCTTTTAATTTGAGTTTAAAAGTGATTTATACTAGATAAAATCACAAATTAATTTGTCATTTTACTCTTTGTTACCCCTTTTGTTTTGAAATTTGTCTAACTCCTTCTGTGTTTCCTTGAGTGTTCGTTGGGATTCTGTTTCAATTTTTCTGTCTTATTTTTGTTGTTGTTGTTTCTGCATATACTCTGTATATATTTCCAGATATTAAAATATACACACAAAGCTTTACATAGCCCTTAATATCAACATTTTATCACTTGAATTGGCATCTAAATACCTAGCCACCATCTCAGACCTTCACTTTTCTCCCCTTTCTGAGATAGTTTTCTTAAATAGTTTCTGAGTATCTTCAGAATTTCATCAAAAAATTTTTAAAGATTTATTTTATTTTTAGTTATGTTTGTGCCTCTCCCTCTGTCTCTCTCTCTGTCTTTCTCTGTCTCTGTGTCTGTCTCTCTGTCTCTGAGTCTGTTTCTGTGTGTGTGTGTGTGCGCGCGCGCGCGCACGCGTGTGTGCAGGTGCCCATGGAGGCCAGAAGAGGGTGTAAGATGTTTTGGAACTAGAGGTACAGGCTGTTGCCAGTTGACTGATTGTAGGTGCTAAGAATAGAACTCTAGTGGAGGTGCAGGGGGAAGTCAGATCCAGCCCAGTATGTGGTTTTGATCACTCAACTATTGCTGAAATATCTTTCCAATAATAACTCATTTCTTGGAATTTTTTTTCTTGTTGTAACTCATACTATTAATTTAAATAATGTATTATGCTTTCATCATGCTTATAGAAGGAAGACAGCATAAATGGATAGCCATTTACCTACAATTTAATTGTGGAAAATACTAAAATTCGAATGTGATAATATACTAAAATATTTTTATAATTTATATTTTTAGTTTTATTTATTTCAGTAATTTATACTTACAAATCTATATTGCTTTTATTTTCATCACAGCAAGAGAAATACCTGGCAGAAGTGATTACAGGAGGAACGATTTACTTTAGTTCACTATTTCACAGGACTCAACCCACTGGCAAAAGCGTGTGGTGAAACAAAGCAGACCATGCCATGATGGGCCAGCAAGCAGAGAAAGGGAATCCTGTCTTTGGTTGGCTTCCCTTTTCCCCCTCTTTGATGCTACCCAGACCTCCCATTTACTACCACCTGCATGAGGGTGGGTCTGGTCATTCATCTTCTTTGGAAGAATCCTCTTTAACACATTCACAGGAACGCCTAACTAAGCTCCCAGATGATTCTAAGTCTAGATGTGTTGACAATGGAGGTCAATGATCACAGGGGACACCTCTTTAGAGGTAGATTTAAAAATTTTTTGAAATGAGATTTTTGAAGAAATGATAGGGTGCTAATAAAAATTTCAATATTTAATATATGATTTACATATGATTAAATAGTAAAATAGCAAAGCCAAAAATCATTTAGCATTCAGTGATGAGTTCTTAAATTCTATTTTCACATACTTATATTTATTTAAACTTCTATAATAAAATACTATATAGTTTGATATACAGTGTAACTTACCAACAACAGAAATTGCTGAAAGGCCAAGTAACCAGATGATTGTATAACCTCATATGACACAAAAGAGCTCAAATCTTTATTCATTTATAAGGACACAAGTAGTTTCATGAACCCACAACCCTTATAATTTAATCGCCTCCCAAAGGCCTCACCCCTAGTACTAATATATTGACTGTTAAAATTTCAACATACTTTTTGAGGCCAAAATAACCATCTATAGAAATTACCTATGTATACACAAATAGTAGAAATGATTGAGGAAGGGGTCAACCAAAGTGAACCAAAACATTAACAGGAGGACAAGTAGAATGTAGTCAAATTATACTTCAAAAATATACACAAAACTGAATGTTCATCCTGTGTTATAATAAACTTTTCATGCAATAGTCTTTTTGAAATATAATTGCATACACTGTAATGTGCAGAGTTCAATAATCAAAGCATTCTAAGTTGAAACTATCTCTGCGCATCTGAAAAGAGAAGGTACTGTTGAACTGCTTTAGAATAATTAGTGAGGATGGTTTAAAATTCTTCTTTCATGGGAATCCAGCTGGCCATTTGGAAACATGGTTTGCAAGCAAAGTGTAGGAGGGCATCTACCGCTGCCCTTTCTTTATTGTGGCAAAATATGCCAATTCTACACGCTGTTTTAACCATTTAAGGGTAAAATTAAGTTGGCATCAAGCATTTTCACAGTTTGTGAATGCTGTCACTACTTATTTCCTGAAATTCCCATCATCTGAAGCAGAGACTTTGTACTCACTAAATGAGGACTTCACACTGCTCCCCACTGTGCTGCTTGGTGACCACTTTCTATCCCCATGAGTGCCCTAATTTCATCTCTGTGTTTGTAATAATTTATCCTGGCAGAGAGCAACATAGGGGAGAATGGTTTATTTGACTTGCAAATTTTACAGATTATAGTTTGTCGTTGCATGGAAGCTAAACAGAAACTCACAGCAGCGAGTTACATCATATCCATATAGACAAGAAATGAAAGAAAGAAAGAAAGAAAGAAAGAAGAAAAAGAGAGAGAGAGAGAGAGAGAGAGAGAGAGAGAAAGGAAGGAAAATAGGAAGAAAGAAAGAAATATGTAGATACTTTGGTTCAACTAGCTTTCTCTGTACATAGTCCATGGTTCGAAACACGGAATGGTACCGCCACTTTAGCTGGCAGTAAAAGTTCCCCACAGGCCAGCCTGATTTAGACCATCCCTCGCTGACACCTGCTTTCCAGGTAGTTCTAGGGTGTGTCAAGTTGACGGCTAAAATTAGAACTGTGGCTGAAATGTAAAATGAGCAAAAATGAATACACAAACAAAAAATGTATTTTCATACAAAAAAATTAGCCGTCACAGTGAACCTGCCTTTTTTGTCTTCTTGTTTTTACCTTATTTCCCTGTGAATTTATTGTTGTTATTTCACTTAAAGTTACATGAGTGGAGGTGGGGTGACTTTAATCTATAAGATTTAACCTTTAACTCTGTTTTACCCTTCTCCATCTATGGAGGAAGAGAGACAGATACAAACTACTACATAAGTTAATATTGAATTCAGAGTTAGGAGCACCATACAAGAAAAGTATTTCACTTTCTCATGACTTCCCTCTAGAAAAATGAGTTGCATTTTTCCTTTTGTCCTAGAGTGTTTTGAACATACTATGTTTTATATTATTCATATATACTCATATATAAAAATAATATAACAATATAATAATAAAACAAATATATACACTTATATATTATTAATAAATATCATGTATATATTATACATATATATAGGCTTTCCCCACAAGACCATAAGTATTTAATGGCAATAGTATCATGCCACTATGACTGTTGTGGGGCTCACAATGCCTGATGTTACTATTGAAAATACTTGTTAACACGAAAATGAATTCATAAGAATCTAGGCATGTAAGCTAAAACAAAAACAATTATAATTTGAGCTTGCTTGTTTCCTGCTTTTAATTATGAAATGAAGAGCTTTTAGCTAAACATATAATGGTTTGATTAAAGAAATTATTAATTTAATTCATGTTGAAAATTAGACTAGGAGTACTGAAAATATGGGATTTAAGTCTAAGATTAGTAAGTACGTGTCTGGATCAGTAATAAGTATTAAAGTGATAGTGAAAGAATTTGTACTGTGAGTAAGCAAAGTATATTATGCGCAGTCTTATTTCTGGTTGAATTATGTTTTCAGTCTGTTATTTGAAATTTATTTACTTTGCAATATGCTTATAAGACTTCTAATAAAAGGAACAGTATTGATATCACTATAGTTATACTATTATAATTTATTTCAAAAGCTAAAGTAGTCAACCAGATTAGTTCTGAAACCTGTATCTTAGCTTTCTAGCGTAAGGTGTTAACACCAGGTGTTTGTTTGTTTGTTTGTTTAACAAAAATGAGCAGAAATATGTAGTAATGTCTGAGGCGGAGAACACTATAAAGCACTGATGACATTACCTCTGACATTGCATTGCTTTCTTCTCATATTTAGGGTTGCTGGAGAAAGATAACTATTGATGACTTTTTTCCATTTGATGAAGATAACAATCTATTGCTTCCAACTACAACCTATGAGTTTGAACTCTGGCCAATGCTGCTGTCTAAAGCCATCATTAAGCTGGCAAACGTTGAGTATGTAATGAAAAACTATCTTGCATTTATATGAAAATAAAAGGGCACCTACATCCATGCTGAGAGCTTTTAACACTTTAATTGAAGGAATTTTTTTTCTTGTAATCAATGTAAACTTCGAAGTATAAAAATTAAGGTGACCAGTGCACTGGTTTGAAGTATTGGCTTAACTGGGTAAAGGACAAAATCATCTCAAGAAAGACTAGAATAATCAAAAATTATTCTATTCTCACTGCTTCCTTACTAGGAATGGAAAGTATATCATGGAAAATATTTCATGCTAGTGAGGCAAATTGTTTATTAGGGGAAATATTAAATAATCTAAATGATAAATAATATATACTAAGATCCAATTAATGGTTTAGAATCTGTCTATGCAGCAATACTGTACAAACCTTAGAAAGATCTGAACTCATCAGAAGGATGCCAAAATAGGCTTCAGGCTTTTGTTCCCTTTAGCTCCTTGATAGCATCATGATGAAAACTCCTCCTTTACTTCAGTATGTTTGCAAAATGTGTTTATATTTATCTACCTACAAGACTTTGCACTCAACATACAAGTCTGCCATGACCTTACGGGCAGGTCTTTCTTCCATCTGGTCCTTTCGGGATAACTCAGAGTGATAACAGGGCTCAGATACCTGAGTAGATGCTCTTGGCATCTGCACAACTCAGTGGGCCATCCTCACTCTCTCTGCAGGAGCCTGATCCCATAACCTCCTGCAGTGTGCCATAGAAACTCCATCCTCCGCAGACCTCACCCTCCTCCTGTCCACCTGTGCTCAAAGCCCAGCCCCTCCCCTTCCCTCAGAAGCATTAGCAATACCATTGAGATGCCAGGGCTGCTTTGTGTAGATATCCCTTTGACTGGCCTTTCTTTTGTCTCTCAAGGCTACCTAACAAAACAGCCACCACTACTGTCAACCTCCTCCTGATTTTTCTTGCCAGCCCTCAGTTTCTACTGATAATTTGTTTCACTCAGCTTTCGGTCCTCCATTTCAATGATTTTTTTGTAAAACTTTTGCCAAGATTTTTTTTGGGGGGGTCAGCTACATATTTCTAAGTATTTCTATTGGTGGCAGTTATGTCTGTTTGTTTGGGGAAAAAATAAGTATAATGCTCTTCATGTTCCTGAGAATTGGAGCTGAAAGGCTGGTGAAACACTGAATAGATGACCCAGATAGCTGCAGCAATACTTCATTTGCTGTAAAGCCCATGGTTCAGTGGAATTCATTAAGAACATGACTATTAATAGAGTTATTCTTTTAAAATGAATAAACAAGGCCAGCTTGAAAAGAAAAGACTAATAAGTAGAGTACATTTTTAAAGATTTCTAGTAGAAACTGCCTCACAAGATGTCCTTCATATTTTTCTGTAAATTCTTCTCAGATTTGATTTTATATGTGAGGCTTAGCGTTCCACAGACAAACCTAATATATGGTAATGATTTACATACCCATGTGGAATATGGAACGAAAAGAGCATCATTTCCATAAGGCTTGCAAAGTCACTCATAAAATGAAATTACTAGAGGCGTTTAGGGGAGACAGTGAACCACACACCAGATTTATGTTGTCTTTGAGAAATGTAGAGGCATCAGGATTCATAACCCATTAAGTAAGCCAGTGCGAATCCATAAGCAGCGGCTACACCACCGACAAGCTGTGAATTCTTTCAAATACAAGGATGTGTGTTGGTCAGTCAGCTTCATTAGCACCATGCTTGGCACAGGGAAGACTGTGCCTTCACTTTGGGGTAGAAGAGGCTATATGGTCTTTCTCTACATAGATGAATATACATGTAAACACACTAATTGCCCACAGAAATCACTCATAGGCAGACAGACCAAAGCAGAGCATGGCATTTGGCCAAAGACAACCTCCGACTATGTCATACTGCCAGGTCTACTCCTTTGCAGGATGGACAATGTATTTCTGTTTTCTCTTCCACTGTCTAGTTTCACTAAGGATTCCTCATATTTATCTTGAGTCACCTCATGGGCATCTCCACATAATCTCTGCAATTGCAATGGTAAAACCTCTCCACTTTGAAGAGAACACATTCACACACAGAGGATAGAAATGAGTTAACAAAATTTTACACTATTTAATACGAGCATGTTTTATATTTAGGAAATTGATAGAAGAGCTTTTAAAGAAATAGTTCCTAATATGTGACTCCCTTGTTAAAAGAAAACAATAAAATCATATATTCATGATTTCAAAATAAATTTGAAAGCTTAGTATTGGGTCTACTTATGCCTTTTTGTAAACAAATTAAAAGCATCTGGCTTGTGAGATAGCATTCTATTACTCTGTGATGTGCAGCCGGTATGATCCCCTACATTGATTACCATGATGCTGTGTAGAGTGTTTCCTAGTCTTTATTTACTGCTGCGTGTTTCTAATCGTTGATAACTATAGCACCATGCATCTCCTTTCAGCATCCATGTAGCTCAGAGGCGAGAGCTGGGAGAATTCACAGTTATCCATGCGCTTACTGGATGGTTGCCTGAAGTCATTCCTCTTCAGTAGGTTTTTATTTTTTCTTAAAGAAACATTTACTCATTATTTGTTTCTTTGTTTATTTGGGGTGGTTATGGAGCAGTGTGCCAAGGTATCTATGTGGATGTCAGAAGAGAGCATTAGGGCTCCAGGGATTAAATTTAGGTCGTCAGGCCTAGCAGCAAGCATCTTTTGCCTACTGAGCTATCTTATCAACCCCTCTCCACTAGGTCTAAAGACTAAGTTTCTCATATAATTTTTTTCTTCCTTTCCAACATTTCTTTATAATATTCTTTAAGAACATTGCAAGAGCGGTCGTGTTTTTACAAAATGTTTGGTAGCATAGCATTTTATAGTTTTTAAAATTCCTGGGAGTTTTAGGGTAAATTATTCCTCCTTATAAAGCAGAATAACTCACAAGATTCTCTGTTGAATCACGGAGAGACTAATTATAAATCAAGCAATCAAGCAAAATCCATTTGTGTTTTTCTACCTGCAAGACTCATGCACCCAGTGCACAGAAGGCCAGTCCGCCATGTTGTACAGACAAGCCTTTCTTTAGTTCTAGTCCTTATAGTGCACCTCAAAATGCCAGTGAGACTCAGATGCTGGGGTCGACGTACATGGCAACTGTGCAGCAATGCTCTATGGGAATATCCTCACATATGCTGCAAAAGTCTGATCCCATACCTTCCTGCAGTGTGTCACAGCAGCTCTGTCCTCCAGCTCACCCTCCTGCTTTAGCAGTCCCTGTCAGTCCTGTGCTCAAAGCTCAGCCCTCCCCACCTTCTGAAGGAAGTGTAGCTTTTTGTTAGGTATCTTCAAACATACAGGGAGACTCCAGGTACTTAAATAGATAGCTCTGAACCTAAGCTCCTACAGCATCTTCAGGGAAAAAAACATGTATTGTTAGGGAAATGTCAGGACAAGGGGAAAAGACCTGAGTTGCTGCAGGTGGCTATCTTGGGAAGGCAAATAGGTATCCCGAGAGTACAGATTAACACAGCTTTCCCTGTAGGTCCCATTCAGTCCACTGTTGTCTTCAGTGGTCGTTTTTTTGCCTGCTGTGCTTGGTACAGTGACACCAAATAGAGTGTGTCCTTAACCAGGGTCTGGGATTTGGGTTAGTAATCTGTAAAGTGTTTCAAAGGCTTCCTAGAAATGTGTAAACAATTCTTTAGGCTCTCAATGCAGAAGCACGTAGCTTCCTTGCCTCATCCCCGGACTCCAAAGGATTCATTGAAATTAATGTTGTTGACTAGTGTGGGAAAATCAACTCAGAACAGACAGAATAACAAGGAAGTTGGATAGATACGAATAATCCCAGAAAAGTGTGTGATTGTGTAAAACTGTACTATATGCTAGGGAATTGTAGAGGACCAATGGCATATGGATCAGGGAGGATCTTCGTAGTTAAAGGCCTTTGATACTGTCTTAAAAATTCTTCCACATCTTCAGAGAGTGAGGATATAATTGGAAAATTTTACTCAGGAGGATGCCTTTGTATGCATATGGTATTTATACATGGATAATATACATACACATTTAAAGTATATGTATATATATGTTTTTATATATGTATATATAGCATATGCATGTATAACATATAGACATACACACATATATATATATTTCACCTGCCATGATTTTAGCATGCCTGTCTCCTCTGCCAAACCACAGTGATGCACTAATTTTGGTCTCTTTATCATCAAAGACTGACAATAGCAGGAATGCATTAAAAGCATGGTCAATGAATGGTATTGCTAAATAAAGTTGAGGTAGAAAATGAAATTAGTCTAATAAACTAAGAAGTTAACCAGTCTGTTACTAGCTTCTTGATGTCAGGTAGAAAACAGGCATCTGAGAATTAATGCCAATGTTTTTCCTCTAAGTCCAGGGTATGTGGACAGAGTTTGGGAGCTCTTGAAGGAAATATTGCCTGAGTTTAAGCTCACAGAAGATCCCAGTTCTGAAAGCAAAATCACAACGGTAGACAACAAACTGAAGGAACCCGGGAAAGAGACAAAGGATGTCAAGGAAGTGAAGGATGGAAAGGAAATGAAAGAGGGGAAGGATTTCAAATCGGAAAGTTCCCTTACGACCCTGAAGGGTCCAGAGAAAGGCGACAAATTTACCAAGGGTAAGATACGGGAAGTCGTGACCAGGTCATGACTGAGATGCCTTACAGGCTCTGTTGAGGCTAATAATACTTTTTTGGTGTTGCTACCATTTCTTAACTCTCTCTTCGAATTTTAGAATTCTCAGTGATGTGAACTGCAGATAATTATTGCCTCGTTACCTCCCTTTCAGTAAATATCAAAGGTGACTCTCAATTCTGCTGATATTAAATTCCTGTTGTGTTAGAAGGAGGCAAGATACTGAAGTCTAATCCCTACTGGGATACCTTTCTCATATTTATGTGCAGAGTGGGATGGACCCCCACAGCGAGGTAGGAAACTGACCTTTTATGTAGCCTATGCTCATATCACATTTTCAGAGAATGTGGTATGAGCATAGGTTACATAAATTAAAACCATTATAAGATGGTGGTTCTAATCTGAAGAAAAATAATTTCAAATTAGTTTTACAAAGTATATAGTTATTTCTATTTTCAAGATGAAAAGTTGATTGAATAATTGCTTGTTCTGTGTCTACTGAACTATTTTATAATTATGTATATGAAGAAACTGCTTGTGAAGTAGAATTAAATCTACTAGGAAGTACTTGGGTTTTTCTGTATATTTCCGTTAAATGTTCCTTCAGATATTTTATGTTTTACAAAGTATTAACATTTTGTCAGAATTATTCTTTATCAAGATTATTTCTAACTAAGGAAGGAGGGAGAGAGACAGGAGATCACAAATTGTAGCCAGCTTGGGCAACCATCATGTGAGCTATGGTGAGACCCTGTCTTAAGAATCCAAAGGTTATAACTCAGTGTTATAACACTTGCCTAGTATAGGCAAGGCTTTAAATTTGATTCCCAGATCTAAAAAGGAAAAGAAAAGTTGATAAAAGATCTTATCTGCCAGTATATGTTACCATTATTATACAGAAAATTTTATTTTATATCTTCAAAAATATATCAAGATCAGAGGCATGAACAATGTGTGTCCACTCAGGCCTATTTCGATGAAAATAAGCAATAAAAAAATGTGAGTGGATTTATTTTTTCAGTATATTTTCAATTAATTTTCTTCTAGAAGTCCTTTTTGATGTTTTACAAGTTAATACTCAGGTATTATATCATTAATACTCACCTAAATATACTCTTTGCTGACAAAAGTACAGGTAATTTTCTAGGAATTAGTGATAAACATGGTAAACAGAAACAGATGTGGAAAAACCCACATTCTGAACCTGATGGTCCAGTGGGAAACACTGACTAATAAAAAGGAAGCTATGCTAACCTGAGGTTGAAAAATAAACTTTAAAGATAAATACAGGAAGCTATGTAATCTACGAAGATGAGTGAGAGTATCCCGATAAAGAAGACGACCGCAGCCAGGACCCTGGTGGTAGAGGAGAGCCAGCACAGAGATGAGGAAACACGTGGAGGAGGGCAGGGCGCACCATGTGTTTAGATGAAGCAGAGTGAAAGGATCATTGGTTTAAGAAGAGCTGGATTGGAGCAGGAGTGGTCAGCTTGAGAGTTCTAGGCCATGTTAGAGGTCCTGGTCTTCATGTAAGTGTTGCTGACCTATTGTCGGCCAGTGGAGAGTTTGGAGGAAATCAAGATGAAATCTGCTTTTTCAAAAGATGGTTTCGGCCATCACTAACAGGAATATTTGGGAGGAGGGGAGCTGAGAGAGGATCAGAGAGGAAATTCTGGGCAGATGTAGATTAAACCAGCTTGAGAATTGTTGGATCAACTCATGTTAGATTAAATGGCATCTTGGAATAGAGAAAGTGGAGAGGCCCAATAAGAAGACTGATTCAAAAAGGAAAAAAAAAAGTAACAAGAAAAGAGTAGAACTTGGTTTGCGTAATTTGTGGAATTCTGAGTTGTAAAACTGGATAGATGGCGAGGTCTACCAGAAGGCACTTATGGAATGATTTTGGTCGTATTTTAATCTGAAATGCCTTAAAGATAAACGTTGATTTTTTAATATCAAAAGTCTCAAACTGCGTATTTAGGAGACTTTTACAGGTGCACTAATATTTCTCAAAAATACAGCATGGACAAAGGGAGGAACTGAGTCCAAAGATTATAAAGATCTGAGAATTGGTAACAATGACTGACCGATGAGGGAGAGAAAAGAGTAGCTGGAAAAGTGGGGCAAGAAAAGACGAGTGTGCTAGCCTTGAAATCAAGGGGGGGGGGGGGAGTTCCTTCAAGAATAAGAAAGGCTGTTTCAAATATTATAGTGAGGTGAACTGTGATGTTCACTTCAGTTTCTCCACTAGACTGTTGGTTGTGGGAGGTAGTGGACATTGGAAATGGAGCATATGGAAAGCTGTGGAAGAGAGCCAAAGAAACAGGACGAAATATAATGTACAGACAAGTCTGAGAGAAATTCGGCTTTGAATAACAATAGAGCAATAAACGGGAAGCTGATAGTTATTAGCATGAGATACACAGAATCTATATTGGTTAATTGAGTGAGGGAGAATGTGGCAGTTCCCAGGGTAGCTCTCTAGTGTGTGGTGGATTCCATTCTTTCTCCCTTCTCAAGAAACTGACACTAAGGCTCTCATTTAAGCTGGATATTCCCAGGAACCACGTAGAACTGTTGAGTTCTCCTCAGCTATGGGAACAAGTGCTCCTTCTTTCTAATGTGCAGACACAGGCCATGTAGCCATGGGGTGAACACATACAAGGGTAGGTAGGTAGACAAGCTTGGTCCGGAAGAGGTTGAGGATTTATTACACAAAGATTCGAATATTCTCTGGTTCTAGGAAGCCTAGCTGTGAGCTGAGAATGAGGTTGAGATGGGAGATGGAGACTTGGTGGAAATTCAATAGCAATGTGGTGATATTTGTAAAACTAGGGAAGAATTATATCCAGTAACATTCAGCTGATAAGTTATTTATAGTGAGGATAACAAAATCATGGAATTAATTGACAGATGACATATTAGTCTAGTGCTAAACACTAAGCCATTTTTATTTACATGTTTTTACGGGATATATTATAAATAAAATTCTAAATAGGAGTTTGAAAGTAAAGTTCAGTTTTCAAACTGTAACTGAAATCATATATTGCTGCACAAAATTAGCTTAACTTGTGTCAGTATTTATAAAAAATAAAATTTTATTATCCTAGTTTTTAATACTTAAATTTCTCAAACAGCTCAGCCTACATTTGAAGTTTATAATATGTCTAACGTATATTTTAAATCTATTCTAAACACCATGAGACAAGTTTATTTTCTATGCTAAGAGACATCAGAACTAGTTGAAGTCATATTTTTAATAACTGCCCTCTTTTTAAAACAGTGATCAGGCGACCAATGAGGGTTATAAATTTAGCAGTTGATGTAGATAATCTAAACTTTCATTCCAAATTAAAGAGACTTATTAGGCAACAAAAAATACTTCAAATTTTAAAAAAATTAAAGTCTTTTCATGGAACTATGCTCATGAGTAAAAATTCAAATGGTGGGGACAGCTCGGTAGATGGTTTATTGCACAAGCCATACTGGAAACAGGTGGTTGGTTTGTGGGTATTGTTGGATTTCATTCCCATAAGAGGATGCTTTACTGAAAGAAAATGGTATTTGTTTGAGCTGAAGTCCCCAAGTAGGGTAAATTGAGAAGGTCTTGTATAGATAGAACTAAACTTGCAATGCATGATGTGCTTTTCTTGTTTGTTTTCATTTTAAGATGAGAAAACTAACCTGACATTGCAATTAAATATAAATAAAATATATTCAAGGGCCTGAAGAAATAGCTGCCTGGTTAAGAGCACTTTCAGCCAAGCATGAGTATCTGAGTCTAGATTCCCCAGGATCTGAGTCTAGATTCCCCAGGATCTGAGTCTAGATTTCCCAGGATCTGAGTCTAGATTTCCCAGGAGTGGAGTCTAGATTCCCCAGGATCTGAGTCTAGATCTCCAGGATCTGAGTCTAGATTCCCCACATTCTGAGTCTAGATTCCCCAGGATCTGAGTCTAGATCTCCAGCATCCACATAGAGAGTGTGGGGCTGCCTGTGTAACCCGAGCACTGTTGGGGTCAGAGACAGGAAGATGTATGGAGTTTGCTAGCCAACAAGTTTAGCTGAAATAGTAGGTTCCAGATTCAGAGAGAGAGAGAGAGAGAGAGAGAGAGAGGAGGGAGAGGGAGAGGGAGAAGGAGAGAGAGAGAGAGAGAGAGAGAGAGAGAGAGAGAGAGAAGGGAGAGGGAGAGGGAGAGGGAGAGGGAGAGAGGGGAGAGAGGGAGAGAGGGAGAGAGGGAGAGAGGAGGAGAGGAGAGGAGAGGAGAGGAGAGGAGAGGAGAAAGAGGGAGAGAGAGAGGAGAGAGAGAGGAGAGAGAGACTCTGTCTCAGGGAGTAGAGGAGAACGTGAGAGCAGGGCACCAGCACCCTCCTGTGCGTGTACTTGGGCTCCACAGGTACTCTTGCTCAAAGTAAACAAATGCATTCAAGTCACTCTCCACATGCAACATAAAACTGGATATAATAATTTAATTATTACACTCAATATTAACTAATTCCGCCCCGATTTCACAGCCCATGTTAATTTTTAGAATTGTTTTCTCTCATTTAATGTGGTATCAATCAGAGGAGATTACATTTTGGGAGAAATCAAGGCTGCAGTTTTACATTTAAGTACTATTTTACATTATTTACATTAAGTACAGTTTTACATTTAAGTTTTGACCTTCTTAGTACACACTGGCTGAATATGTAGCAAAGCATAAGGTTTTCTAGATAAAAGATTTACCATTTTTTCTTAATGTGTTAGAGAAAGCAGATGCAAAAGACCTTGGCAAGAAGAGGAATAAGGATGGAGAGAAGGAGAAGGAAAGATTCAAATTTTCACTCCATGGTTCGAGACCCTCATCTGATGTTCAGTACTCTATGCAGTCCTTGTCAGATTGTAAGCTCTTAGTCTCTTACAGTAACTACCTTAGTCTCTGCCTAAGCTCATGGAAAATGTTGGAATAGTACACTCTCTTTTGACGTGTCTAAGTAAGCATGTTCAAATTTTCCCTCCAACTTTGGCTCCTTCGTGTAAATGATGGGTTTGTATGTTGTTAGGGGATGAAAACAAAAGCAAAATTTCCATTGACAAAACCTCATCTTTTAAAAATAACTAAATTCTGCTTTCCCCCTTTCTTTGTCAAAGTAAAAGAAATAGCACCCCTTGCCTTAGAACTCATGGTGACGCACACTTTTAATCCCAGCACTACGGAGGCAGAGGCAGGTGGATTTCGGGGTTCGAGAGCAGCATGATCAACATAGTGAGTTCCAGGCCAACCAGTGCTACACAGTGAGATCCTATCTTAAACAAACAAACACCCCAAGTATCAAATCAAACAGCCACAGCAACAAAACTAAGGAAGTCGCGTGTATGCCGAATATGACGCAGGTTGGGGCTGTGAGCTCTGCCCATAGTCAGATCTCTGCATCAACACTGGGTAGAGGAGTACCAGGCTAGTGAGAGAGCCCCTCATCAGCCAGGTTCCCTTTCTTCTTCATCACCACAGCAGCATCTAAGAGAGTTCTCAGAGTTAAAGTCTGAATTATTCATCTGTTGGTATGTCACATTTCAGCATATTCATGATTACTGTTTTAATTCTGAAAAGTGCTTAAGACAGAACCCTGGTTTCCGCTGAGCTCTACGGGACGGATGTCATCTGACAGAGTGCCTGTGTAGACATCCTTTTCCTATGCAGTTAATTTTAAGTGGCTTTGGAAGCTGCATTCCCTTCAGTCGGCTGCTTTAGTTTCATTTGTAGCAGCTTGGAGATGGACCCTGAGGTTTCAAAAGATACCTGACTTAGAGTCAGTTCCTACGTGAAAGAATGACTTGATTTCTACACTATTTGTATTCAGTTTGACAATAGTAATACAATATGCTGTACCTAGCTCTGAGAAGGCATGGAAAATTTAATATAAAACCTATGTCTTATTAATTTTTTGGAAATTAATATTTATCACAGCTGTAATTACAATGAAATGGCATTCATGGCTTTAAAATTCTATAAATAAGATAAATGAAGGTGACAAAAGTTCTTTAGATATTTATGCATGGTTTTTCATATGTGTGCTTACATTTCTGCAATATCTACTACAATCTACTATATGCTAATAACTATGTGACATTTAAGGCTCCCCCTCCCAGTTTGTTATTTTCAAAGTAAATGTATTTAGAATGCAACTTACAAATGATTCAAACAGTACATTTTATTGTTTTAATTACAAGAAATTAAGGCAATTTATGACTGTCAGGAATTCTTCCAAACTGTATTGAAGAGAACTATGGTCCTGTTCTAGAGTTCTAACACCTTAAATTGTGTGGATTCTGAAGCTCGCTGCCAGGAGAAGTGGGAGAAGAAATGGGATGATTATGTTTGAGATCTTTAAGGACCAAACTCATTGATCACTTCTGTTTGTATTCCTTTCAATCACAGTTTGCCCTGCCTAATTAACTGTAAGGGAGTTGGAGAGAGTTTGGTTAGATGTTTTAGAGAAAGAGGACTCCCTCTGGTGGACAGTAGCTAACCTCTGTCAAATTTTACTGTCCTGAACACTAGATACCCATTTCAGCCTTCCTGTACATATGTATTTAATACTTTACAAAGACCATGACCCAAACTATTCAGTAACTGCACCTAGTTCCAGTTCTAAGACCTCTGGGGTGTGCACTTGCACACACGTACAAGCGCCACACCTCGTCTCTTATGTTTTGTTGAAGACAGATTAACTGCAGTATAAGTTCCCATTCATAAAATTAAACAAGAGGGTGAGTTCTAGTCACTGCTCATTATCAACTATACAATTCTTCTGAGACAGCCCTCTGTAAACCTTTGCCCCCACAGATGGGAAGCCTATTGGCACCGGCTGTGGTATTTTGGAACAACTCCAAATGAGTTGGAGGTGGGTTTGCAAATCCAGGAAGTTGATCTTCAGAGTTCACCCATTTAACCACTGTATTATTCTTCCCCTCAATATCTGCTGATAGAGCAATCTTTAAATGTTGGACAATTTCCTGACCAACTAAATTCAAAATGTAACTTAAAGAGAAACTTGGATTCAGATTGTGACATTAATGAAAAAAAAAAAAACGCCTAGGTTTTAATATATGAATGAATCAGACCCTTCTAATATCTGACCAAAAATTTGCCAGAAATATTAGATACACAACATATTACCTACAAGTTAACTTAGATTTTGTAACTTAGCAAGAGTCAAAAAATATATTTAAAAGGATCAAAGTCTGGTAAAACTAGAATATGATTGTGTGGGATTGTAAGCAGGGCGTTTTCTGAGTATGGAAGAGATTGCCAAGTTTCGTAACTTTCACTCTCCCACTAAGAGCAGCTGTGCTGTGTTTCCCCTGGATCCCTTTAAAGGTAGATTAGCTTGAGCTGTAACCCATGAAACACGAGCAGGGGTGATCCTTGCAGTTTGTTCATGGAATGACCTATACACAATTCTTCCTTTGCTCTCCTGACACTGTTGAGAGCTTAGTGTTAGAGTGAGTGGGAAGAGTGGGAAGCCATGAAAAACTATGTGGAGACCCGCTGTGTATCTGTAACGTTCCCTTCATGCTGTGTGTAAGCAAAAGGAAACTAGCGACATTTGTAAAGCTACGTAATTCTGAGTGGCTATTACCACAGTCGGAATCACTTAGTGATGCACGAAACATTGCCAAGCTTAGTGTGCCAGTTACAAGGTGAAGATTCGTGGGACCTGCCTAGCAGTGGGCGGCTGCAATGAGGAAGGAAGTGTCTCAAGCTGACATCCACTAAGACCTAGACTTTCACCACAAAAGTTGGTGAAACTAGACGTTGTTACAGGTTGGAAAGTGGCTATGCAGTTAATGATTTTAAATTTCAGAAATATGCGGAAGAGTGACTATTAATGCACACTGTTTATTTATAATATTTAGTCTTAGCGGGGCATTTCATATAAAAGATAAACCCGGAAATAACAGTCTGTTCAAGAGAAAAAGGAAAACAAATGTCAGAGATCAAAGAACTACAGAATTAAGGAGACCACTTCTTAACCACAAATGAATTGACCTAAAACTTTTAAGAGGACCATGATTTCCATATGTATGTGTCGTTATATTTTGTTATCATTCTTCCTCCCTCACTGCCCACCCCCTATCTCCCTCTGTCTGGTTCCCACTCTTTGTCCAAAAAGTTCCCCTTCTTCCTTCACGTCTTTTAGCGCCACCATGTTCTTTTTTTACCTCTCTCTTAAGATGTCTCTTCCTCGTCTATCATAGTCCCCATTCTAATTTAATGACACAGGCACACACGCACCCATACAGCCACACACACGGATACCATCCAACTGAATTTCTACATATGTGTGCTAAGTAAGCCTGTTAGGAAAATTACGTTGCTGTTGAGTTTTGCAGCATATTGTGAAATTACAAGCACCTTCTGGTGGAAGATGATCTGACAAGCCTTCTGGTCAGCCTATTCTTCTTCTGCTATTGCTATTAAAGCAGCGGTTCTCAACTCATGGGTCATGACACCTTTGAGGGGTCAAACAACCCTTTCAAAGAGGTCTATTAAGGTCACTAGAAAACACAGATATCTAATTATCATTCGTAATGGTAGCAAAATAACATTAACAGAGTAGCAATGAAAATTTATGGTTTGGGGTTACCACAACATAAGGAACTACATTGAAAGGTCACAGCTTTAGGAAGTTTGAGAACCAATGCTCTAGAGGATAACTGATAAGCAGGAGTGACTGGACAGGCTCGGTACCCCTTTCCATTAACTTCTCACATTTTATAGCTCTTCTTCTTGCATATATTTCTTAACCTATCTTCAATTTAGCTTTCTCACTTGAAAAAAGCCATGCTATCCATACCAAATTTATTTCATCGGGCTCGTGACTCAGGCAAACTTCTTAGGGCAGCAATTAGCACATAGAAAACATTTAATGAAAGTCCGCCACTGCACAAGTATCTGTTGTAGTATTTGTAGTGATTTTGTAATTATTTGGAGTTCATCCCCTGGTAAATCAATGTTCTTGGCTGAAATTGTTATATATTAAGTCAGTACAATCTAACAGACGATGAATCAATGATAAACGTGATATTTGAGTAATTCTACATGCTGGATACCAGAACTTTCTGATATTTTCTTTTAGGAAATGCAGAGAGCTTCATTCCGTGTAAAATGAAGCATCTAAATCATAATAACTTGGTGAAACCCTCTAGGAAATAAAGCACTTACAATTAAAATGGCAGTTTTAGCAACGAGGATACTCATAGATACTGAGAAATATTGTAAAGTTGTTTTAGAAGTTAGGATTTTAAATGTCATCTCTTCATAACAAAGTGGGCCGTTTTTATCTCTCCTTTTAGATTACTCAATTATTACACATGCTGAAATGCAGGTCTGTCTGTTTGGCCACCTAGAAAGTTAGATGAGGAAATTACATGATTTCTGTTAGAGTTTTAAATAAATGATGTTATGGAACCCTTGGGGGTCAAATATTTGCCTTTAAGGTATTCTAAAAGTGCTTGTGTTTATATCTAATAAAACAAGAAGAAGCCAGGCATTGGTGGTGCATGCCTTTAATCCCAGGACTCAGGAGGCAGAGGCAGGAGGATCACTGTGAGTTCAAAAAAAAGGGGGGGGGGGGAATGAAGGCGATGCACTGTCCTAACTTTGTGAAATAAGATGAGACAATAGTTCCCTGTGGATTATCTGAACCTCATTATAAATAATTGTTTTTACTGAGGAATAACAGACACTTTAGAGGTTTTTGAAAATTATTGCCTCTTCTCTTTTTCCAGACACTTACGTAGTCTGTGATAGGAGAACCATGGAGGGTTCAAGTTCCAGTGTATAATGTTGAATGATGGAGTATAATTTAGACCAAAATAATTTTATACATAAAGATGTTAACATCAAAATTTAGGAGAAAGTTAATGTGAGGGGTGATTTTATGTCTCGCCTGAGCCATGGGGTACTCAGAAATCTGGGCAAATATTGTATGAAGATGTTTTTTGGATGATAATATTCAGATCAATAGGCGGAGTGTAGCAGCTCATCCTGTTTCCCGTGAACGAACCTCATCCAATCAGGTAAATGCTGGATATGCAAAAGTTTGCCCTCCTCCCCCTTGAGTGCTTACAGACTCAAACTCACTGACCTTTCCTGGGACTGGAGTCATCTTTAGACAGGAATTACTCATTACTTCACCTGGGTCTTCCTCAGTTGCCAGACTTACCCTGCGGATTAAACGAAAGTTATATAGACCAACTCCTAATAATCACCCTATTTCCGTATCAGTCCTTCTTATTAATGCAACAGGACTAATGCAGATGTTGGTACTATGACTTAATGTGCTGGTATAACAAATACTAAATAACACAGCTGAGTGATGTATGGATGAGTTTGAGATGCACACTTGAAAAGTCCTGAGCGGCCGGGGGTGCTGAGAACGCAGCCCTGCCGCCCCTATTACTACACTGAATGGCTGTAAAGGGCTGAGTGGTAAGATTTCCAGATGTGACAGATGTTGTGGGACAAGTCCTGCCTGGAAACAAGGAAGATGTGGTTCGAAAGGAAAGGCGATTCTTATTGTGAACTGGAAAGGAGGTTGCTGGAAGTGTATTCTAGTGTTTTGTAGAAGCAACAACATGTGAATTGTGACACTGGATATTTACCTGAGGTGATTTCCAAGCAGGGCTGGGCATGAAGGCTACGGTCTTAACTATGAGTGGTAATATATGATGGGGGGTTAAAGGAAAGGGATCGTAAACCAGAAACCAATAAAAACTTAAAGACTAGAAAAAAAATTCACTCTGACCTTATCCTAAAGCAAGAAAACTTGTAAAAGAATGCCAAGGGTGTGACTTGAAGCCATCCATAAGGAAGTTACTCACTGTGGAGTTCGCCAGGTCAAGTCCACAAAGAGTAGGGATAGAAATGGTATTATCCACACAGAGGCCATCTTTTAGAGGAAACAGATAAGATGAAGGAAGGCTGTTTGTAACTTTTCAAGACTGGACCATAGAACTATTTGTCTATGAATGAATATGCAGGTAAGTCCCCAAGATGATCCAGAGGTAATCAGGACTTCATCTAATCAGGCTCCCAGGAGACAAGGCTGTTTCCCATTCAGTTGCAGAGGGTGAGCCCTGCTTCTTACTTTTAGTAACCCCTATTACTCACACAAAGAGCCAAATGGGCCTTTTATGGGTGAAGCAATTGCTAAATGTTCTCACAGGTTCTCTGGACAAAGCCATTTAGATAGGTCACCATTCAGGGCCTGAAGGGAACAGTGGGCCCAGCAAACTGATAATCCAACCAAGAGAACTATTCCCAAACCTAACAGTGGAATTGCCTTGCTAAGCTTTTGTGCTAACTGGGTTCCTACCTGTCCTATGCTTTTCTCTCTATCGTGCTTTGGGGTCCACTTTTCTTGTCCAGTAGAAATAGGACTCTAGGAGATAATTTCATTTTTATTTATAGCTGGATAAAGTTTCGTTGTTTATATTTAAACAAACAACCAAAAAAGAATTGTAGGAGAGAAGTTTTGCCTCGAGTTGGGTCCTGCCTTCAGTCTCACTGGAGGTGAGTTAGGTATTTCAGTGACACTTGGGCCTTGAAATTGATGTTGAACTGAATTAAAGCTTTTGGTGCTGGTGTCTCGGGTGGAAGGAATTCATGTATGTGGACGACACAGTCTACAGAGGAGCAGAGCTATGGAGGAGACTGTTTTTCTCTTAATTGATATGTTGAAGCCATGACCTCTAATGTAAGTGCTTTTGGAGATTCCTTTAGGGTGGTAGTTAAGGTTAAATCATTATAAAAAAGAGGAAAAGATACCAGATACATTCTCCCCTCTCTTTCTGTTTCTTATTTCCTTCCACTTCTCCTTCCTTTGTCTCCTCCTCTGTGCTTCCCCGCTCTTCTATCCCTCCTATAAAAGAGGCCACACTGAGAAGGTAACTATCCAGTTTCATGTTGACAGGAATGCTCATGATCGATGTATGTTTTTTTTTCCAGGTTCCTCAGCAGTACAGACCCCTCAAATGGTTGTATATGCTACCTTTACACCACTCTATTTGTTTGAAAACAAGATCTTTACATTAGAGAAGATGGTAAGACTTCAAAACCAAGAGATATCATGTCCTTATGTGTGATGGAGGGGAGGTACATGCTCCTGTACAAGGGGCTAGAACATCCAAATTATCTCAATTGTTCATAGTACTATCTCATTATATAAAGGTAAAATAGACATTTTAAAATATTTTTATATTATGTACAAAAGAAAAATAGAGGAAGTATACGTTTCAGTGAAAACTCATGTACATCATTCCTGACAATCACTTTTCAGCGACTAGAGTACACATATAGGCAAGTTTTCTCTGTATAGCCCTGGCTGTCCTGGAACTTGCTCTGTACGCCAGGCTGGCCTCAAACTCACAAAGATCTGCCTGCCTCTGCCTCCTGAGTGCTGGGATTAAAGGTGTACATTACCATTGTGGTGAGCCCACAAGTGTTATACAGTAAATGTACAGCTATTGGAACTATTGGACTTTTCATGGGCTGTATGTACGTACACTCCACATGGAGAACCCACTTTTGCAGAGTACGGGCACACCTGTCCTTTGTCAATTCTGTAAAAATCTTGTGAAATCGTCTCCCTTCTAGAATATCCCAGCAGTGTATAAATCTGACTTTTCCTGTAGGGTGACTGGATACCTCCCTATGGTGTGAAAAGGATTCAGTCAAGTCCTTGTTCTCACAGCCAAAATTTACATAAAAATAGTCCTCCACAAATGTTCTTTACTGACAGGAGTCATTGATAAGAAAGGCACCTCATACAGGAGGTGATGAGTCTGCTCGAACAGCAGACTCAGGAAGGTGCGATCTACTGGTCTGCTCTGACTTAACAGGTTACTAACATTCTGTACTTGTCCTTCACCTTGGTTTCAACTAGCATAAGATCATAGCCCAGGAAATCAACCGTTTATATAGGAAAATGGCCTGAGTCAAAAAAACTAGCTTCAGAGAAAAATCCTCACCTGGGCACGCTGATGGAGTCAAAAGCAAGGTCCCTAGAAGATATTTCCTTTAACTTAGCCTATGGGATTGTTAACTAGTCTGTATGCTTATTTAAACTAAAAGCTTTGAGGTGATCGCACCCCCCCCCCTTTTTTGATTTTCGAGACAGGGTTTCTCCGTAGCTTTTGGTTCCTGTCCTGGACTAGCTTTTGTAGACCAGGCTGGCCTCGAACTCACAGAGATCCGCCTGCCTCTGCCTCTCAAGTGCTGGGATTAAAGGCATGCGCCACCACCGCCCGGCTCACACCCCCTTTTTACCCCTTTTCTTACCCTTATTTTTATCCTTACCTTTATGCCTTATGTCTGATGCCGTACCCTTTAGCCGTATACACTTATGCTTCTTTTCCCTTCTTTTAGCCTCCTTCAAGGAATAAAGCAACTTGCGGGGAAGGGGGCGTACCTAAGTCAATCAGTTTTCGCTTGCTGTAGAAGTCCTATTCAGAACCCTGAGAGGGTGCTGAGGCTGGTACTCAGTAACCATGATATATCACCACCCAGTCACACATATGTTCTTAAAGTGTGATGATAATACATATATTTGCACTAAGACTGCGGAGCCACAGCCACAATCTTTTTGCATGATAAGACAATGCATAATAAACGCTACTTGCTTTTAAACAACAAACTTAATAACATAAATTTAGTAAATACAGCCAAAGGCAATACAATTAAATTTTGCATAGTGTATACATTCAGGCTTAGACTGTGTACGTGCTAATATATGTTCTTTGGTTCCTTCCTCTGTGTATATGTTCTATATTAAACTCTATATTTTTGTTCAGTGTGGAGTCTCATTTTATGCTCCATTGGGAAGCTGGCTTTTGTTTAGCAGTTTTCCCTATGGTGTCACATTTAAGTGATATGTTTAGTGGTTATATAACAATTATGTTATTTATTTTGAGCAACTTTTTCTTCTTTGAGGAAAAAGCAAGTTCTCACCTCTTGTAATAATATCTATCAAGTTACCACACAGTTTATTTAGACGAATGCAGCCATACATTGACAGCATTGCTCCATCCTGACCCTATGTGGGGACTTCAGACATCCAGCACCTTACCCCTGGGGTTCTCTATGCTGTAAAGTCACCACATTAAACTGTAAGGATAGCACGCACTCTGATACAATTGTACATGAATATCCATTGTGTCAGAGTTGATTTTTAAAATTTTAATGAGAATTAGCTTGAAAAGTAAGTATTCCAATAGGTTCACTCCTGCCCCATGTGTCACGTCCGTCATTTAGATTAACCTGAGAGCACAATACCATCATTTCAGAAGCTGTTATTACCAGCCAAAGTCTACCGCATAACAGTAGGAATATAAAAATGATAGGACTCAGGATGCTAGCACGAGCATAGGGACATGGGCAGTTTCTGTTCCTTTTAATTCAGAGTTAAGTAACAAAGCTGTGTCTGAATAACAGACTCAGAACTTTTCACAGTTTCTGGAAATCAGCAGCTCCCACAATCAAATGTATGCCTAAAACCAAGACTCGTGTTTACTTTAAGCCTGATGGTCTCCTCTTTCATGTGAGCCATGGGTACCATTTTAGGTGCTCTCGATGGTAAAGACACAATGTATGGATCATTAAGGTACATCAGCCATATGTCGTGGAATGTCACACCTCATATCCAAGAGATACTCAAACTGCTTATTAAAACTGTAGCACTCAATGCACATTAATTCTTTTTTTTTTTTTTTTTTTTTTTTTTTTTTAATTTATTTATTTATTAAGGATTTCTGCCTCGTCCCCACAACCGCTTCCCATTTCCCTCCCCCTCCCCCGATCAATTCCCCCTCCCTCATCTGCTCGAAGAGCAATCAGGGTTCCCTGACCTGTGGGAAGCCCAAGGACTGCCCACCTCTATCCAGGTCTCGTAAGGTGAGCATCCAAACTGCCTAGGCTCCCACAAAGCCAGTACGTGCAGTAGGATCAAAAACCCACTGCAATTGTTCTTGAATTCTCAGTATTCCTCATTGTCCGCTATGTTCAGCTAGTCCGGATTTATCCGATGTTTTTTCAGACCTAGGCCAGCTGGCCTTGGTGAGATCCCAATAGAACATCCCCATTGTCTTAGTGTGTATATTATAATAATATAAACTACATCTCAGGGAATATGCTCTGATCTTAAGGTGTAAAGATGAGTAACATAATCTAAATTCCTCACTACAAAGCTCAAATTCTGTAATGAAGTGGACAACAAGAATTAAAAAGCTGTTATAACAGAGAGTATGTTAGGTACCTAGCTAAGCTGTGTTTGTTGAGTAATGGCAAAAACGGATAGCTATATAAATAAGGGGGAAATCAATGTGAGTGACAGACACAGAGCATGGATCTTCCCCCTAATGGGCAGCTAGGGAGATCTTCCCAAAAGAAGCTAACTCTTCAACCTGCGGTCTAAGAAGTTACACTAGCAAATAGGAGAAGGTGTGCTCAAAGCAGAGATCATTTCAGGAAATTTGAAGAGCAAGGCTACCACATAGACTCCTGTTCTGGGAACTAACAGAGATTGGGTTAATTGTAAAGAGATTGGGTTAAAAGTCTCAGAAGCAACTCTAGTTATGGAATTAAGGACAGAATATTCTTCACAAATCTTTTTTTCTATTTTCCTTAGATACACTGTTGCTATGTAGCTCAGGTTGGCCTAGAATTTGTGATCTTCTTGATTCAGGTTCCTCGGTACTGGAAACAAATGTGTACCACAACACCAGTTTAAACCTTCCCTTTAAGGTGCCAGAGACTGTGGAATCAATCTGTTGTCTGTAACATGATTACGAAGGACCTATCCCAGATATCACCATTTGTCTGGAGTGTTGTGATCCCCTATCCCATCTGATGGTTCATTTGGGTTGACTTTCTATGAGGTTGATCTAGTTCCCCTGTAAATATCAACTAGCCTAGAGAATATAAGTATACCTTTTAAATCATAAATCCATAGGAAATGGTTCTTCCCTATTGAAATTTTGTAAAATGGAGGCTAACACTAAAGTTACAGCCCCAAAGCATGTTAAGATCAACACACATAGTTAGTGACTTGCATTTGGTTAAGAAGTAATGGAGACCACAGAGGAATAGAGCAAATCATCAAGAACTACCCTATGTGATCCAGCACCCCTCCTATCACAGGCTACCCTTAAATTCACTCCCGAGTTTCCAGTGGATTACTCTGGGGCAGTGATTTGATTTCATGGTGGTTTCCAACACCTAAGAAAGGAAATATTTGTTTTTAAGCTACTTTACAAAATAAAGAAATTTCTGAATGTTTTTGTAGTAAATTGGAAGAGTCTATAAAATAAAAAAGTGAAAAAACTTTTCTTCTTAGGTACTTTTAAAAATCAGGGTATCATTTTTCTCTTCAGTTTGAATTATTATCTATACCATGATTACAGAAACTAATCATGTGAAATCATTAGAAAGAAAATGGTTCCTGGAGGGACTGACTTTAGTGTAGTTGGTATTTTATTATTTTACTTTAAATGTTAAAGCCATCTGTAGTTGCGGTATGGACCAATTAAACTTTCTGTTTCTGTCTCTGTCTCTGGCTGCTGTCTATCTGCCTCTCTCTTCTATAATATACTTCAGACAGCATTTAGGAGCTACAGTTATGTAAAAATAATGGTCTGATGCATCCCAAAGAAAGTGACTTTACTGCTTAATGTTTGACTATGGGACATATCTGTCAGGACAGCTTCTATGCTCCCTGTCAATGCCTCTCTTGTCTCCAGTAATGGAGGGACTTCCTGAGGAAAAGCCCGCTGTTAGAGATTACAATCTCCCATAGATAAGGCCATTTCTTGTCACCTTGCAAGACTGAACATATTTAAAAACATTTTTAATGTTAAATAATAATTGTGAGGTTTTTTTCAAAAAAACTTTTAGCTAATAAAAACTGGTTTTACAGCTCTAACCTACAAAATACTGCCTACAGATTTTTTTTTTAAATTTATTTATTTATTAAGGATTTCTGCCTCGTCCCCACAACCGCTTCCCATTTCCCTCCCCCTCCCCCGATCAAGTCCCCCTCCCTCATCTGCTCGAAGAGCAATCATGGTTCCCTGACCTGTGGGAAGCCCAAGGACTGCCCACCTCTATCCAGGTCTCGTAAGGTGAGCATTCAAACTGCCTAGGCTCCCACAAAGCCAGTACGTGCAGTACGATCAAAAACCCACTGCAATTGTTCTTGAATTCTCAGTATTCCTCATTGTCCGCTATGTTCAGCTAGTCCGGATTTATCCCATGCTTTTTCAGACCTAGGCCAGCTGGCCTTGGTGAGATCCCAATAGAACATCCCCATTGTCTTAGTGTGTGGGTGCACCCCTCGTGGTCCTGAGTTCCTTGCTCATGCTCCGTCTCCTTCTGCTCCTGATTTGGACCTTGAGATTTCTGTCCGGTGCTCCCGTGTGGGTCTCTGTCTCTGTCTCCTTTCATCGCCTGATGAAGGTTAATTTAAAATTTTGGAATCCAAAATTTGGATTAAATTTTGGAATTTAATCATTAGATTAAATGATCTAATCTTTTCTTTTCAATAAGCAAATATGGTTTCAGGAAAACTTAAACATGTAAATAATAAATTAATACATATATCAATATAATATTAATAATTTAATAAATATAAATATGAATACACTATATACTATGGCATAAACATGTTATAATATATAAACATATATAAATATAATATAAATATATACATTAGTAAATAGAAATGTTGGTGTTGTTTCTATTAAGAGCTAGAAACATTGGTGTCCCTGTTTTCCTATATTGGCAAAAGTGTTGCTTTTAGATACGAGAGGTGATGAAAGATTCATTTCAGATCTTCTTTCCATCTTGTAGGCGAATTCTGCAGAGAAACTTAGGGAATATGGGCTTTCTCACATCTGTAGCCACCCTGTGCTGGTGACCAGAAGTAGGTCTTGTCCCCTTGTGCCACCCCCCAAACCTCCTCCCTTACCTCCCTGGAAACTCATTCGCCAAAAAAAGGAAACGGTCATAACGGATGAAGCTCAAGGTATGTGCCCTATGGCCTTACAGTCTAATTTACACTTCTCTGGGGCTTCCCAGTGTCTCACATGGAGAATGGTATGTTCGGAGGTAAGCCACGCAGCCCTGCACCCAAAGCTACTTGACCCATGTCCGAATTATGTATCTAAAAAATTCAAGTATGTGTTCTGTATTTGGTCCAGTGGATCCGCAGTGACAGTGTCCTACACTAGGGTTCATCATGTATTTGTTTTTCTTTTTTCTATTGGGCTTAATATGTAAAGTAAAAAATTAGCAAAAATGGGAAGGGAGTTCCATTCTGAAGGATAGTGGGACGTGGCTAACTACCTGAGCTTGTTTCTTTTCCCGTTCAACTTCAGAGTTCACTGAGGTGATATGTGCTACTCTCCTTTCTCATTGGCAATTTCTTACTTCTAAACTAACTTAACACGCATATCCACAAACCCACTATTTCCTTGCTATTCCTGGCACTTCCTGCTTCTTCTTCCACTATAGTCCCGTAGTCCCATGAACCAGCTCACATTCCTCAGCATGTCCTACATGGTTGTGCCGGAGGTTAATTGAGGGACACTTTTGGTTTTTAAGGAAAAAATTGATATGGAAAGTCACCATTAAAGCATTAGCAAATACAAAGACTTGTCTGTCGTTCACCATTTGAGTTCTCACTGTTCTACTCCGTAAAAGAAACTGGCTATAGACAAAAGAAAGCTAACGTTGGCAAGATCTGTAAACTGTTTCACTTAAAAATGTCTCTGTTCATTCCTGTCTAACTCTATTGAAACCCCTGGGGAAACACGTCCTCTAACGAGCACTGCTTAGAATCTGAAAGATTCTGGAAGTGTACATCTCATTTCCCCACCGGAACTTTTCAGATACTGTACCGAAGAAGCCTGAGCAGTTTCTTGAGATTTCAAGTCCATTTTTGAACTACAGAATGACTCCATTTACAATTCCAACAGAAACGTAAGTATGTGACTTTCTCTTCAGTGTGTCTGTGACGTATGTGGCTAAAAATCACACTTACTGGAAAGAATGCCTGAAGACCACTGAGGCCAAATATATATGCTTATCCTCACAGTCTATTGAATGGGATACCTTATAGCTCATGCTTACATAATTTTATTTATATTTTTATGTATGACTATTATAGCTTAAAAATTTTATATCCCCCAAAATGAAATTCTAACCCTCAGGTGATTGGGTTTGTTAGAAATGATTTTTAAAGATGTTGCATAGGTTATATGGTGAAATAGGTTAAAAGTTACATATGATTAAATGGGTTAAAGGTTGTATGGGATGCTGATCTGATAACTTCTGCCTGTGGGAAGATGTTATGAGCTCTTAGTCTTATTGATAAACTAAATGTGTGGATACAGAATGCCTGCAAGCAGAAGTCTTATTTAGAAAAGGAAGCAAAAATATGCATGACTATTGTACCAAAGATGTCCCAGATATGGTGAACTGCACAAGACAAAAATAGTCAAAATCACCCTGTGGGTAAGAGAGGCTCACCAAACCCCATCTTTAGTTGGGGAGCTATTGGCTATTGATTGCCGAGGGAGAGAAAGTCATTTTTCTTTGTTGGTGTGAACTCTGGTGGGTTGCCCGAGCAGATAGCCCCACAGCCATACACATGAGCAGTGATTATTGGACTCAGTGGGTTGTCAACAAAAAGAAGGAGCATAAAGTTTTGAGGGGGATCTTTCTAGGTGTATGGAGGAGGGGCAGTGGAGGTAAATATAATCAAAATGCATTCCACGAGTGTATGAAGTTCCCAAAGAGTAAGATTAAGTGTGCACGCGAGGAAACAGGATAACGGAAGTCACGAATGAGATCAGAGCAGGGAGACTGAGGCTGCATTTTTGTAGGTTAGTGGATGGAATTGAGAGCAGTTTCAGAATGAAGCTTCTAAACTATCTCCTCATCTGATATCAATTAGATCTTGAGGTTTCATGAGCCTAAACCATAGGCAACTGGTGCCTAAAGTCAGGATTTGTGCACAATGGGATCAATTTCCTCTTAAATGTTCCCTTGGTCCCAGGAGCATTGGTCATAGAATGGCTGTTTCCAGAACAAGTTTGTAGGAATGCACATGCCCTAGGGTTCTGTGGCTAGAAGTGGTTTTGGATGTCTGTGAGGATATTTCGTGAGCAGGCTAGCTCCCCGTTTGGACTGAGCATAAGAAATCAGCAGTTGATCTCATGAGCAGCAGAGGGAGTTTAATGATGGGTTGTCTATTGCCCTTGGCTCCTGATGTCCTGCCTGGAAATTCTTTCTCACTCACTACTCCCAAAATTCTAGAACACAAAAATAATCCATCCACTTTGTAGCAGTAACAGCCTTTCTCTTATTGTCCAGTAGCATCTCATTTTTATCTGAGACTTTAACATTTTGGTAAGAATTCTCTTTATCCCCCCTCCCATATTTGCACTGAAATAATCTTGAAAATCACTTACATATTTCTTGAAATTAGAATTTCCTCTACACCTTCCTGTTCTTTATGGTGTAGTACCAAAATAATTTTAACAAAACAGCAATGTAGGCATTTAATAAAGTTCCTAAAACTCTTCTAACCTCTACTCAGCTCCAAAATGATGTCCACCGCTTTAGATGGGCAACAGCCAGATTCTGGGCATCCATTTTCTGTTTGAGTGCGAACTGTGGAAACAAAATGTCATAAACCTGTGGATTGTAAGTGGCAAGAGTATATCTTGGTCCTGGGAGCTGGGGATTCAAGATCAAGACCCCAGTTTATCTACTGTGTAGAAAGACCCATTTCCTTATGCAGGCTTCTTTCTGCCTCCTTGTGTGCAAGAAGTGGCACAAACTCCCTAGAACCGCGCTGCCCAGAGCACAAGTCTCACATGAGGACTTTGCTTTCATCCTGACGGCCTCCAAAGTCCATGCCTACTACTGTTGCCTCAGGGCTGAGGTTGAACACAGGAACTTAACTTTCAGGTGTCCTCCCATTCAGAGCACAGGACTTCCTGCCCTCCTTGTGAAGCCATGTGCCCAGCTCTTCTCCAAGAGGACAACCTGTGGAGCTATTACAGTTTGGTTTTGGCTTTTATGCCCTTTCTGTATGAACAACTCTCAAGTATCGATTTCTACACCTTCCTCTTACTGTTAGGTTTCTAGATATGAAAGAATATTGTGTAATTTATTTTTCATCCCCTCTGCATTTTCAGTTGAATATAAGGTTTATATCAATACTATAAAATTTTGATATTTAACACACTACTAAGGATTTGACAAGCGCCTATACTCAGTACATATTGAATAAAAAATATTTTGAGGCATCTAAGTCATACAGAAACTTTTTGGTATCTTCTAATTTGATAGTTGTAGTCACATGTACTTGGCTTAATTGGGTACTTTTAAAAATATTTAAAATTTTGAAAATATGTGAGCATTTAATAAGAGAAATTAAGAAATTGTCTTTCCCAGGAAAGAGTTCCCCCCCACTCCAATGGTTATCTAAAATCAAGTGGTCAGCCTAGAAATCATATAGAGACAATAACATTATATGAACTGAGCAGGTTGTATTTATATATTCAGGAATACATATGCGCATATTTATGCATACATGTGACATATTGGGGGACCAGGCTAGACAAAAATGCCTTTTGCTAAGGTAGAGGCATGGGGATTTAGAAAATATTAATAAAGAATATGAAGACACAAATGAAAATAATAAAACAGAAACATATAGAATAATATTAAGAGGGAGTTCCAGTGAGTACTGGAATTCACCCACATTTAATTTCCAATTGCTTTAAATACCCCTGATCTCAAAAGGCAGAAGTAAGACAAAAAACCGCATTAACATGATACAAGGAAATGAACATACCAATTAAAGGTCACATGTTACAACCACAGTTAAACATTCTGTTGCTAGAACAAAACAAGTCACGCTCATACCCTAGACCAAAACATTCTGTAGGCAAGCCACTCCCTGGGTGGGATCCAAAGTTATCTCCTTAAGGGAACTGGAACTTAAATTGGATCCATAGAGTTTTGTTTGAGGTAGAAACGTATCTACTTCTCTATTCCTGAAATACAAGGTCTGGCTCTTAGCCATAACTGTTGATTATAACCTTGAGAGAGCAGAACTCTCTGACTAAATCTAGGTGGGACCTTTGTTTGAGGTAGAAGCACAATAACCTCGAAGGACTGGAAGTAAGTTAAAACTCTCTGACCTTTGGTCAATGAGGAAACAGGATCACATTTTTGGGCCTCCACAGTGATATGAATTTGAGAGAGAACAAGGGCCATGCACCTGCAGTCAGGAAGCAAAAGAGGTCAAATGGATACTAGTGCTCAACCTCTTTCTCCTTTCATTCAGTCTAGGACCCCAGCATGTGAACTGATGCTGCCCTCAGTGATAGCACCTCAATTTAACCCAATCTAGGAATCCTCACAGACATACCCAGAGTTTTTCCTTGGTGGTTCTAGATCCTGTCAAGTTGACACTATTACTCATCAGAGACTGTGGTAGATGTATATGCTCTCTGATATACCTCAGTCTTTTCTGGGATTTGCCATGAACTGTAACCATGATAGAAATAAAAACTGACAAGAAAAAGAACTGTTATAATTTAAATGCCCAATTCAGTGTACTTTGTACTGTTAGGCACTCTTTATACCAAAGCCAGTTAATAAGTTAACTTACACTGTCTTACTCTGGTTAAGTTTAATACATTAGACACTTTTTTTAAATTAATTAGCTCACACTGTCTTAATCTGTTTAATTTTAAAGTATTAGGCACATTCTTGACATCTTTTACTCTTTCTTGTGTTTCTGTCATGTTGGGGGAGGTGTTTATTTTTGTTGTTTTTTCTTTTTTCTTTTAATTAATGTTTCATAGTTTTCCAATTATTTTTATACTGAAAGTTCTCCAGTGAAAGCTAACCAGCATGTTTATGACTAGATGATAGCAGGAGCAATGGTATAGAAGCCTGGTAACTCTGTGGATGACAAGGTATTTCTGGGAAGTATCAGTGACGTGGTAGTAGAGAAGTCTTAAGAGAGACCACTTGCACTTAGAGAACTAGGGAGGCCACTAGTGAAGCTATCCAAGTCTGAAGCTTTAGAAGTACAGAAAGCAGAAGCATGGTGTCCATTTAGCTGAAGGATCAGGGGTGCTGCTATAGAAGTCCTGGAGTTCAAAGAGCAGAGACCATGGGGTTGTGATGTCCATGAGCAGGGACAAAATAATCCATGACCATAATTCTTCACCTTCCTAATGCTGGGACCCTTAAACAGTTCCTCATGTTATGGTGACTCTAACATTATTTCATTGTTTCAAAACTGTAATTTTGCTACTGTTATAAATTGTAATGTAATGTAAATATCTGATAAGTAGGATATTTGATATGTGATATGCAAAATATTTGATACAGGGTCTCAACCTTCTGATTGAGAGCCACTGGTCTAGGTACAAGAAATTAAAGTCATTTTCCCTCAGCTGTTGTGTGCCACACAGGCCTACTGCTGATTGGATAATGCCTGCCTACACTGAGAGCAGAACTTTTCCACTCAGTCCACTGATGCCCAAGTTCATCTCCTTCAGAAGTCACCTCCCAGACACACCCAGAAGTGATACTTTACCAGTTACCTAGGCACGCCTTAGTTCAGTCCAGTTGACGCTGGACATTGTTCAGCATATCTAAGATTTCAATTTGCCATTCATATATATATATATATATATATATATATATATATATATACTTGGTCTTTCATATGACTGTGTTTGCATACTAATCAGAGGTTGTATAGGCTGTAAACACTGTAGCTGTGTTGACACCGTAACACATTGTCCTATGGCTTATATTATCATACCTAGCCTTTAAGCATCTCTATGTTTATAAGTAAAAAAAAAGGATTGATTTCATAGCTCAAGTTTCCTGAGTTACTTCCATACCCAATTTTCTGTAACTTCTTTTTGCTCCTTGATTAAAATAGATAAAGATTCCAATACCCAGGAACAGACAACCAACACTTGATTGCCTTCCTCTAATCTACTATGCACTGTAATCTGTTATCAGTTCATTCCCATATCCAAGCTCTGTGACAAAGGCAAAGGCATGTGAATGCCACTGCACTCTCTGTGGAAGACAGGTCCTAGACTTGTTCTGCGGTACAATCAGATTTCTCATATCAACGTAAGGACAATCTCCAGGGAGAATGACTGCTGTCGTGATTTCATTTCATTGAAATTCCATGGCTGGAGCAGCATGTTTGCTCATTCCTGGCTCATGGTTTTGTATGAGACAATTGGAGCTTCATAAATATGTTTCTGCTACCCTCTAGTGGAAGTTGTATGAAAGTAGGAGAACACAATCTAACTAAACATGGTGGGATTCTAGTTCATGAAGTCTATATGAGTAAAAATTATTTTTATTTTGCTTTTGAGACAGGGTCTCACAGTGTGGACCTGGCCGACCTAGAACTTGTTCTCTTGGCTGGGAACTCACCTTTCTCTTCTGGAATTAAAGGCATGCACCACCATGCCTTGCTATATATGTAGAATTTGATTGTATCTTTGAAACAGTAGTATAAAATACATATATTATGATATGCATCTGATGTGCCAATGAAATGTGTGCTTCCATGATGCTATTTTGGACCATGTCAATGACTTCTTGAGGAAGTGACTTGGGTAAAGAATATGAGAGTCATGCTTAGGAGCTTAAATGCTTACATTTCTGGATTAGATTCCCCACAGCAAAATGTTTCATCCACACACACTCGGCTAATCCCACTAATGTTGTAATCATCAACAACTCACATCTTTAAACAATGTCTCTCGAAAATGTGTACAATACATTGACTGATATAGTGGTCGTCTAGAAAGTAATATAAAATGTTATTCAGAGGTTTTGTGTGAGGTGCTTTTTAAAAACTTCCTTGTAAAAGGATAAGAACAAAATGAACAGAATCAGAACCTATTCTTGTTGACAAAACTAAATGTATTCACTAGTCACTGTAAATCAGAAGTCACAGCAACAGAAGTTTTGTGGGCTTTTCTCCACTAGGCATTTTGTACAATCTGTTGTTAAGAAAGGGACACCTCTGGGATCCATCCTTCCTCCTCTTGTAGAAAATGAGTTAAATGCAAGCACCAGCCAAGGAGAGATGAACATGTTAACAGGACACCTGTCGCAGGTACTGGCTCGGCCCTGAATCAGGCAAGATGTATCTGAAATTGTGAACTCTCTTGTATCTCCACATCTCAGCAGTGTAAAGGACCCCATTAAACCCACACCTTGTGTATCTGTGACACCTTAGAAAGTGGAACATCCTTCTGCCATAAAAGTCCTTCTTGTCTCCTTCCTGGTTCATGCTTCCTATACACTATTAAACAGCTGCTTATTTTCCTAATTTAGGTTGTCATGTATATACTTACAATTGTTCATTTTCGCTTTGCAGGGTAACCTTCCATCACAGCCTATCCCTGGAAAAGGTAAACTAGTCTTTCCCTCATGCTTTTGCTCTCCCATAGATAACAAAGCACTCAAAAATCCTGCTTCTAAATAGACAGTTCTACCTTCTCCCACGTCATCCTCTCCTATGATTTACTAGTTCTCATCTACTCCAGACTAGGAACATTGGACAATCTCACAGGTTAAGTTCAAGTGTAAATAGAAATGGAGGAGCATGCAATGGAGAGTCTGTGAGTCAAGTGTGTGTGATTGTTTCATTTTGTTGTTCTGTTTCATGTGAGACTGGGTCTTACTAAATTGTCCTGACTGGCCTACAACTCACGGAGGTCCAAGCTCTTAATCCTCAAGGTTACTGAGTTTACGGGTGGGTGTCCACACTGTCATGCCTTTTAACGCTTGCATGTTGTAGTCATAATACTGTTATGAACTAAAGACTTTTTCAAGATTCATATCCAAAAGAAATGTCACATACATGTATCTAAATTGTTGGTTCAAGATTCTCTATGAGTTTTGTGACAATACTTGACAAATATAAACTGTGGTTATCGTCACTGTGTGGAGTAATTAAAGGGCTGGCTGACACATCAGGAGCAACAGACCTGCCATATTTTCACTGTTTTCTACACCCTGACTCTCCCTGCTCCTCTGACTCATTCTTTTTTCCACAACAAGGTTTCTCTGTGTAGCCTTGACTGTTTGAGAACTCATTCTAAAGACTAGGCTGATCTTGTACTGACAGAGATGTGCCCACCTCTGCCTGGGATTAAAGGCAACTACCAGCACTGCCTGGCTAAACGTTTCCCTAAGATTTATTTGTGTATGTATTTTTATGTATATGAGTGCTCTATTTGCATGCATGCCTGCATGACAGAAGAGAGCATCAGATAGAAGAGTCCATTAGGTTCCATTATAGATGGTTGTGAACCACCATGTGGTTGTTAGAACTTGGGACCTCTGGGAGAGCCACCAGTGCTTTTAACCACCCAGTCATCTCTCCAGCCCCAGGACTGCCCCTTACAATATTTCTGTAGCAGACTTTATGCAATACACTAATTATATCTGTCATAGCTTGATAATTTCTAAAGAACATGTTGCCAAACTTACCAAAGTGATTTAAAGTTTCTGTATTATAAAATTATGAGTGTGTGAACTCTACCTTCACAGACCTTAGGCCTTCAAATAAGTGATTATCTCACTGATTTCCCATAAATAGAACTTGAATTTGAAATACTCCTGCCATTCATTTTTCCATACTTTAACAGTCTTTCACTTAACAGTGTAAGATATGCTTGACATATTTGTCCTCTCCTCTTCCCAGATGAACAGATAGAGTTTTCTCTGGGTGATACCCACCCACCTGATGCTCATAGTTTAGAAAAGGATTTGATGAGCATGACCACAGCGACACAGGACAAGTCACAGGAGGACTTGGCAACAGTAAATGAAGGTGCTTCCAGAGAAATATGGTTAGATTTTGAAGACTTTTGTGTGTGCTTTCAGTAAGTATTTAAGTGCTGTTTAGCTGATTAGATTCTCCTAAATAAATCCTGAGCTATGTTACTGTATAGACATGGTTTGTTTCTGCATCTTTATACATTAATCATATGATCTATTGATTCGTAACTATCATTCAAAAAAGGAAAGTAGGTATCAGCTGGGAATTAGCATAATATCAAATACAATTTTTCTTTTGATTGAAAATAGATTCTTCTCTCATATAATATATACATCCAGAACACAGTTTCCCCTCCCCCAACTCCTCCCAGCTCCCCACACATCCCCTCTCCCCCATATTCTCTCTCTCTCTCTCTCTCTCTCTCTCTCTCTCTCGTCACTCTCTTTTCTCCTTAGAAAAGAGTAGGCCTCCAAGAGACAACAGTCAAAAAGAACAAAACAAGATATGTTAAGACAAGGCAAAAACCCTCATATCAAGGCTAGACAAGGCAATTCATTTGGAAGAAAAGAGTCCTAAGAATAGGCATAAGAGTCAGAGATACACCAGCTTCCACTGTTAGGAGTTCCACAAAAACACCAAGCTAACAGCCATATTGTACATGCAGAGGACCTGGTGCAGACCCATGCAGGCCCCATGCTTGCCCCTTCAGTCTCTGTGAACTCATATGAGCCCTGCTTAGTTGACTTTGTAGGCAGGGTTCTTCTGGTGTCCTCCATTCCCTCTGACTTCTACAATCTTTCCTTCCTGTCTTCTTTGGGGTTTCCTGATACCTGAGGGAAGGGATCTGATGGAAACTTCCTATTTAGACTCTCTCTTCACACAATGTCTGGCTGTGGGTATCTGCATTTGCTCTCTTCTGCTGCCTGAAGGGAATAATGGATATATTGAATATTCATCTGCATAGCACATTATCAGCAAAACCCCATTCTAGTTAGTCTTAGTTCCCTCTCAAACACTTGTTAATTAAGGTAGATTTTCCCATTTAGATAATTTTGTCTCTTTAGAACAACAAGTGAAGCAATTTGTAAAGAAGTTTTTTTGCCTGTAATTATTTAAGTTTAAGAAACTAAACATGTAATACTAGTTTTGTATCTAACGGCAATAATCTGTTATAAATGTTCTCCTTTTCAGCCATATATATATTTTCCACAAACCGAATTCTTATTGTCTTAATTTTCAAAAGTCAGAATTCAAGGTAAGTTCATTAAACATTCCTTTATAGGTTTAAGGTTCATGAAGAATTGTTGTATGGGGCCTGCTTGTTTATTTCCAGAGTTTCCAGACTCTCAAAATAACCACACAGAAACTGTAATAATTAAACCGCTGCTTGGCTCATTAGCTCTAGCTTCTTATTAGCTAACTCTTACATCTTAATTTAACCCATTTCTATTAATCTGTGTATGGCCATGTGGCTGTGGCTCATTGGGTAAAGTTCCGGTCTGTATCCAGCGGGGCTAAATGGCTTCTTTCTAAACGCTGCCTTTTTTCTCCCAGCATTCAGTTTAGTTTTCCCTACCTAACTCTACTCTTTTGTCCTATCGCAGGGCAAGACAGTTTTTTTTTTCTATTAATCAATGGTATTTACAGTATACAGAGGGGAATCCCACATCAAAGAATGCCCTTACTAAAACATTCTTAATTTCTTACACAATTATACTTGATACATCAATTTTCAGTTTTTTAATCACCCTTTATCCAGACCATAAGTGATGCTTTACTAGTTTGTATCCCAGAGTCATCCACATGGTTGGGGTATAACTAAGACAATGCCTGTAAGACACTTTTCCTATCAGGAAATGATGATAAATGTTGGCTGACACTTTCAAACTAAAGTTCACCATTTTTGAAAACCATCAACCTTTTCAATGTATGGCATATGTAGTGGCATGGTCAAATGTTCTTTGTTCTAAGGTTTTCTTTTTTTAAAGTGATTATAAATAATTATTTTTCCTTTTAAAAATGTCAATTTAGCAAAATAAAGTGACATGCCTATGTAACTTGTTTACTTCTCCAAATGTCTATAACATACATGGTCATGAGGAAATTATATATATTTTTTAAGACATTGGAGCTCAAAGCTTCCATGCAATCTCAAAGAAAGGGCTGAATGTGGTCTGAGGCCAGGCTTTCCTGCTTTAGTCACTGGTCCTGCCAACTTAGCACAGGGCTGGTGGCCACAGCCCACCTCACAGATATTCTCCCAATGCTCAATGTGAGGACAGGAAAGAGACGTTTGAAAGTCACTCATGAATGGCTTTGAGGAAAACCAATGCCCTAAATGCTAAACCTTTAAAATTGAGCCCCTTGCAGAGCTCATTTCTCCTCACAGACACATGTTGGATTGGGAGAACCAAGGTCCTTCACACTCAAATAATGAGTATTTAAAACAACTGTCAATGACACTAGTGTACTGTAAGTCAACGGAAACGTAAAAGAAATGGGGGGATGGTAACTAATAGATCATACCGGAGGAGGCAGTGGCTTGGATCTTTTACTATGCCGCAGTTCTAGCAATGATTTTATAGTTTATTGAATAGCAAGCTTTCCATTATTACATTGTGACTAGAGATTCATCATCTCGCTACTAACTCGTTGTTTAAATATTGTGGTAAAGTAGCACTTCTATGACATTCTTCTACAGCATAGTGACAACTAGATTTGTTGAATATGCTTATATTTGCCACCATTCAAAGTTGTATTAAAGAACTGTGAAGTTGAGAAGCAATAACAAGGCCATAGTCATGAGTACAGTGTTGGAGACAAGCTTTTGCTTTGCTACCTACAAACTTTGTGCCTTTGGCAACCCACTCATTCTGCTTTGCATTTTCTTGGAAATTAGGGCTACTCATAGTTCTCTATAGAACACACCGAAGTCTTAACCGTGTAGCTCTTTATGACTGTCTTTGCAAAGAATTCTGATGTGACCAATCACTTTACTGTATCTCTGAAACAAAACACCCTGAACATCAGCAAGCCGAGGTTATATTTCTGATGATCTTGTGAGAAGAATGAAAAAAAAGTTTTTTTTTGTTTTTCTATGCAACACTCTGCAAAATGCATAAATGAATCCCTATTAGGCAATTTCATTCGCTACAATGATCAGTCTATGCCTTCTTGCCTGTCTGTAGCTGACCTTCTGCCCTTTGCTTGCCCCCCTTCTCACAACTTCATTCCTGGAATTGGTGGTTCCCTATTTTTCTTCCTGCAGAGAGTTTTCTAATTCAGCAACAAGACTCTCTGAGGTTCACGACCCAGCTGCCACAGATTATTGCTTCATCTTATTAGACCTGTAATGTACTGACTCTGGTCCATAGACTGCAGTAAGAATGTAGTTCACTGTGTGTTAACTACACTATGCCTGGCAGGATGAATGGACCGGTAAACCTGATGACTGGTCTGATTTCTTGTAGTTCTCAGAGGAACGTGTGCCCTACTATCTATTTGTGGACAGCCTGAAGCCTATTGAACTGCTGGTTTGCTTTTCCGCTTTGGTGCGCTGGGGGGAATCTGGAGGTAAGAGGGTTCTGAGAGCATCATCGTCTAGACGCCCAGAGCACAGGCGGGCTAGGGAACATGTAACAATAAGACTTTCAGTCCCTAGGTGATGAAACTATCTCTTTGCAGAGTTACAAGGGACTGCCCTGCTACCACCTCTGTTGCCCTTGCTCCTCCAACACTGGGTACTCTGCTTACTCTTGCCACCAATTCTTCCTTGGCCACAGTCTCTTGTTCAGGTCTTTGGAATGCTCAGTCTTACTTTTCTTCTCGCCTCTACTTGTTATCATTCTTATTTTCCTTGTTATTTGATCTGACAAAGATCAGAAATGATTTTTTCCTTTAGCTCATTTTGAGTTCCTCTGTGACTTGTGGTCCCTTGTCCCTCAGTGTGGTGAGAGATCTTTCTGAGTTAGAGGCTTGTGAGAAATGACTAAGTTCATGGAAATGCTGCCAATGGATTATGTTAATGCTAGTGTCAGACTAATTTGAATTAATTAAATAAATTCTCATTATTAAATATTAAATCTCTTTAATATTTATTAAATTAAATAAAATTATATTATTAAATATAATTACTATATTAAATCCTCTTCAGAGTTTCCTCTCTTCAGACTCCCAGCTTTATAATTCTTGACTCTAACAAGCTCTCCATCTATCTATGCTATACCATTCCTTATATGCCCATCATGTTTATGACCTTTTTCCTCCTACTCCAGTATAAGTTCTCTGGCCAATCACTGCAATTATGTCCTTTTTGTCACCCTACTGGACATGCTCAGCCTTTGACAGTGACATCTACAAAGTCCATTCTAGGGAACGATGCAATCCACTTAACAAAAACAAAATCTCACAGTGTTTTAAGTATGTTAATGGTTTTCTATTGGGCTGCAGGCATGGCTCTCGTTAGCTACATAGAGCCACATGTGGCCCATGGACCATAGGTTGAAAATGCTGCTGAGTAAACACAGTTGCCCTTACCTCTTTCCATCACCCTTCCCTGAGAGTCATCCCGATAATAGACTCAACTCTCTGTCAAATGTTTGGCTGCAAAGGAGCATCTGAATATGACTGGGAAAAGGAACTCCCGTCCTGGCCAGCCCCCTCCACACCGAGGAACCCAGATCTCAGCATGGCCCCCTCTGCAGGCAGTCCCTAGTTTGCTTGTTCTCCCACTCTTCTCACAAAAGGCTAAACTTGGAAGTCTCTCTTTCAAATCTCCTCTCTTGTTTTGTTTCGTCTTGTCTTGTTTTGTTATCCAAGACAAGGTTTCTCTGTAGCTTTGGAACCTGTCCTGGAACTCACTCTGTAGAAAAGGCTGGCCTTGAACTCACAGAGATTTGCCTGCCTCTGCCTCCCGAGTGCTGGGATTAAAGGCGTGCGCCATCATTTACTACTGAAGTGATTTACTACTGAAGGCCTGGCTTCACTTACTACTCTTATTCTCATTTATTTTCAGTTGAAAGCCATGCTGCTGATTTCACTGGGAAGTGGCTGGCCTCGTCTCTCCACACAAACTCCCCATGGCCCTAACTTGCCTTGCCTCTTCCTGTAGTGGGTGGGCTTCCCTGCTTGGACAGACCACCTGACATGCCTTGCCTCTTCCTGTAGTGGGTGGGCTTCCCTGCCTGGACAGGCCATCTGACATGCCTTGCCTCTTCCTGTAGTGGGTGGGCTTCCCTGCTTGGACAGGCCATCTGACATGCCTTGCCTCTTCCTTTAGTGGGTGGGCTTCCCTGCTTGGACAGACCATCTGACGTGCCTTGCCTCTTCCTTTAGTGGGTGGGCTTCCCTGCTTGGACAGGCTGTCTGACATGCCTTGCCTCTTCCTGTAGTGGGTGGACTTCCCTGCTTGGACAGGCCATCGGACTATGTGATTATTTTTTGATTCTTTTGCATATTTTATTAAAGATCATCTTTAACTCAAGTTAACCATGTCACAGATTACAGTTGTTCAACAAATATCTCCCAAATACTTAAGAACTGAGTATTCTGACAATATTAAAGGTGAGAGCTTTTATGCTTCATCTTGAATTTTAATTGTCTTGAATAGTGAATATTGTGTAACAGGTGCCAAATAAATATTCACTTAATAAAATCACCAAAGTTTAGTGATTTCAGTTTAATATGCCTTCTTAGCAAAGTGCTCTGAAGTCCTCATGTTCCAGGATATTGAAATTTTGCATGTATGAGGACACTGTGACCTTGCACCTTCATCCTCAGAGGGTTCTTTTTTAGAAAAACAAAATTCATTATGTTCTCAGTCATTGATGCATCATTATTGATGCACATTTAAAGAAAAACATACTTGATTAAATTTTTTTTTACAACTTCTACTTAAGTTCAAAGACTTTTATAATTTGAAAGACAAACATTTAGATAGACAAGGAAATATTTTGATTTTAATACCATCTTGGAAATTTCTTATTCTGGATACTGTACAATTTCTCATTAAAGTTACATCTGTGAAGGTATTCTAATTATGCACATAGAGAAGATAAAAAATAGTAACAGACTATGATGAACTATATCTGCATGTCCTCCTTTTTCTTAATTTTCTCATCCCAGTTTTTCTGTCTGAGGAGATGATTTTGAAGAACGAACGGGATAGGGAGGCAGCGCAATAGCCAAGCCAGGTGCTATTTCCCATACTTATAAACTCAGCATCTGGCATTTCAGGAATGCCGTTAGAATACCATCAATACGGGATTCATCTTCACGATTATGTATGCTGTTACCGGACAGAACGCAATGCAAGTGGAGGAGGGTTATCATTCCACAATCACATTTCAACACATCTCCCTTCTCCCAAAGCCTTAACAAAAGACAGTCCCTACGTGGAGCCTGGACTCCTGACAGCCGAAGCCATCACCTGGAAGTCCCTGAAGCCTCTCAGTGCAGTTTTGAGGATCCACACCTATGCTACAAAGGCTGCCATGGTGCGCCTGCCTGTTGGGTAGGCTCTGACTTCATTTTCCTTTGTTTGAGTCTTTTAGGCTGTTGACTAATGAAATAAGCAGTGGGAGTTCTACATTATTGTTTCCTAAAGTGATTTGACTAGGCATCTGTCCATCATTGGAATTACTGAGAGACAGACTCCTACCAATAAGTGACATTCTCTGGGCCACACTGGATGCTCTTTTGGGATGGTCATTATTGACAGTTCTGGGGATGAATACGTAAAGAACATGGCCTAAACCTGCTTAATCCAGAGGTTTCTAAAATGATTGTATCACCAATCTCTCTTGTGTTCTCATAAATCTCACTACTCTTTAGCAAGACTTCCATTTGATTTCATTCCATTTAGATTGTAAATGAGAATTTCTTCCCACCAACCTGGAATTTCATCTGTGTTGTGTTTTTGTTAGACGTTATCTTTAATTATGGTAAAAACCAGGCAAATACATCGCATTTTCTGTTTTTTTTTTTCGAGACAGGGTTTCTCTGTGGTTTTGGAGCCTGTCCTGGAACTAGCTCTTGTAGACCAGGCTGGTCTCGAACTCCCAGAGATCCTCCTGCCTCTGCCTCCCGAGTGCTGGGATTAAAGGCGTGCACCACCACCGCCCGGCCTCACATTTTCTGTTTGAAGAAAATTATATACAATGGAAGTGTTTTCCTGATTTTAATATATAAAATTAGGGAATCCATCTTGTATTTCAAATGGGAAAAATCCTTTCTAGATTTTTTTTTCCCTTAAGTTCAATCTTTGTAGTTGTGTGTGATCATTGAAAAGTTATGGACTGTGTGGAGAAGGCAGATCACAAGCAACAAAATTTAATGCCAAAACAATGTGTTATGAACCTGGAAAACCAATTTTTAAAAAAATCAATCATTATTTTTTAGTCTAGACACTGTATAGAGAGGCTCTTCAGAAAACAAATTAACTCCACAAGACTGTCTAATTCAGTAGTTCTTAACCTTCCTAATGCTATGACCCTTTAATACAGTTCCTCATGCTGTTGTGACCCCAGCCATAAAATTATTTCATTGCTACTTCAGAACTGCAATTTTGGTACTGTTATAAATCAAAATGTAAACACCTGTGTTTTCCAACGGTCTTAGGCAACCCCTGAGAAGAGTAGTTCGACCTTCAAAGGGGTCATGACCCACAGGTTGAGAATCAGTGATAGAACTGGCAACACACTAAGGACAGGGACTTTAAAAGGGGGCATCTTACAGTTGCATGCCCCACATAGACCCCTAAGCCAAAAGTGCGTTATGGGCATCTTCATAACAATCTAAATGGCCAGTAACTGAGGAAAGTGTCTTCAGTGTTAGAGACACGAGATAGGAAGGAGAGAACTCACATTTGTGAAATGATGTGTCTGTGAATCAGCAAGGCTCTATACACACATGAGAAAAACATCTAGAATTCTCTTTAGCAGCACAGTATGTGGGAGGCGTCTTCAGTGTGTGAAAGTTTGTCTAATTATTTCTGTCTTCTGCAACCAGTAAAACACAGATTTCATGATATCAGAGGGTGCAAGTGGAAATCCAAAGGTAGTCCATCCCATCTGTGTTAAAAATATATATAAAATGCTTCACTCGCTTTGACTCCAAACTCTGATCCAGCAGCGAGAAATACATCCGGCAGAGGAAGCGCCCTCCTCACACAGTGTTCACTCTCTCTAGGAGGCATATGCTACTCTTCAATGCGTATTCCCCAGTGGGACACACCTTACATGTCTGCAGCATGATGACCTTTGTCATCGGGGATGAAGATGTCGTACTGCCCAACTTTGAGCCGGTAAATATCTTAGCAAACTTCCTACTTTCTCTCTGATTTCAAAAGCTTAAACTCAGTCTTATTTTGATATTTAGAATGCATTTAGTTTACACCTCCTTTTCTAACCTATTAAACTATTCATATATCCTTTAAGAAATGTTCAGATGTAGTCTGTATAGTTAATAACCTAAGGCCTGTAAGGAAACAAACAAAATTAATTTTTCTCCAACCCACGGCTGCTCTGCTGGCCTTTCATTTCTATCACTACGCGGGGAGATGCATTGGTCCTTTGGAAGGATAAAGCACAGCAAAGGCCTTTAGAAGGCCATTTATAGCCTGAGCATTCCTCTCCGTTCCATCCTTTCCTTACTCTGAGTTTAGAGTGCATATTCCCGGGATTCAGAGGATCACTGTGGCCTCCTGGAAGCATTTACCACCTCCTCCTCTTTCTTTTTTGTCTTTCCTCGCTACCTCTTGCTCCTTTCTCTGTTCTGAAGAGAAAATGTATGCAGCAAGGCCACTAAAATGCTTCCTCTCGTACAGTGTGTCTATGCGTGTGTCTAGGGAAGGTTGGAAGGTGTATTTTCTGCTGTATGACCTTGAAACTTCCTCACCTCTCATAACAGTAGCAGCACTTTCTCTTCAGGACCACTAGGCCCCGAATAATGACACAGAGATTTTATTAATTATAAAAACTTGGCCTTGGCTTAGACTTGTCCCTCTAGCTCGTAGAACAAATTAACCCATTTCTGTTCATCTGCATTCTGTCACGTGGGTTTAAACCTCTCCTTCATTCTCTGTGTCCAACTCCTTCTGTGTAGATTCACTCACCTGAATTTTCCTGTCTTCTTGTAATTTCCCCCTAACTTCTTCCTGCCTAATTATTGTCCATTCAGCTCTTTATTAAAGGCGCCTTGGTGAAGATAAAATGTACAAAAAGATTATCTCACAAAAAACAACTCTCACTAAAAAAATATCAAGATGAAATAAACTAAAAACCCAAGAAAACAAGTTAAAAACTCCAGGCAGAGCAAACATGGAATTCTCTAAGGTAGCCAGAAGACCCTGTGGCAACACCAGGGTTGACTGGGTTTTCCCACATGATCTGACTTCATGCCCCTTAGGCTGGCTGGGCAGGACTCTACGAGTTTCCTCCAGGCTTCCTTCTGTTGGCTGTGCTGTCTTCTCTCCACGTGTTTTTCATTCTGTTTGGTAGGCATTTAAGGAAGCACAACAAGTTGATTTCATAGCTGTCCTTTGTCTCCTTGTTTATTCTTGTTGTTTTGGTTGTTGTTGGTTGGTTGGTTGGTTTTTTTGGAGATATGGGACAATCATTGTCCTAGGGAACCCTATAGAGAAACAGTAAAGATTGCTCGGTTTTCCTGACTCTTAGCAGGCATGTGCTGTTCCAGACAACTCCAGCACCGTCCAGTACACACCAACCAGGACAGTCCTCAAACAGTTCAGACTGGGTTGACTCCTGGATCTCTGTCAGCTTGGAACTCTTACTGTTTCTCGGAATGGATAACTGGAGGGAGCAAGCAGCCCAAGCTAGTCCTCTGTCTGGCTTTTTTGTTTTGTTTTTAATTTTGCAAGACCCTCTCCCTGGAATCTTCTCTACTCCTCAGTCCTTAAAATTCCAGTCTCTGTCAGCCTGACATCCTAGACAGCCTTCAGAACTAACTCTCGACACAATTGCTATGGTGTTCTCCCTGACCCCACCACAGCCTAGTGCCCTGTATTCAGTCCTTTTCCTAGGACTTCCAGCCTTTGTTACATGTCTCCTAGACCAGCATCCAACGAAATGCTCAGTCCTGTCTACTCTCTACAAATGAAACAGCCTTGAATCAAGCATACAATGGAGGATTTTTCTTCCCTCGAGGCTAAACATTTGTAAACTTGCTTGCCCTTAAATAGATTTGAGATCGGCTGCTGCACGTGTGCTCTGTCTCCACAGGAGAGCTACCGATTTACAGAACAGTCTGTAATAATTATGAAAGCTATTGGAAATGTGATTGCTAGTTTCAAAGACAGAGGTAAATTGTCCGCAGCTCTGAGGGATCTACAAGCAGCCCACTATCCTATCCCCCTCTACAACAAAGAACTCACTGCTCAGCACTTCAGGGTAAGCAGTTCCGGGGGCCTGAGGCTCACAGCAGGAAACCTCCCATCTGAAAGATGCACCAGATGAACCCCAAATGCTGAATCTGGGGAAGTGGTTTGCATAGAGACTGTTTCTGGGGAAAGTGATTTCAGGAAGCAGGGAGGAATCTAGAGGAATAAGGTGAGAAAGGGAATGAAATTAATTAGAGAATATGATAATGGCTGCAGTGGGCTGCTGAGGCTCATCCATCCAGAAGCCCCTGCTGAGCTGGGAAGGATGTCTTCATAAAGGAGAGGAAAGGCTGGCACTCACCCAGCAGTGCTTCTGTCAGTAGTTCAGGTTGCCTTTAGGAACATTCGTCTCCTCACTCTCAGAACCTTCTGCTGGAGCTGAGTAGTGTTCTGGCTTTCTAGATAGCCTGCAGGAAGGGAAGTCAGCCTACTTCTTCCTGGCTGTCTCCTGAGGAAGAAAACTGAGAGGTACTGGTCCACTCCAGCCGCATAACAAGCAAGTGGCATCTGTTTTTATTTATTTTGATCTTTTTTTTTAAACCTCCATGCTATTGACATTCAGGCTAAATTATTTTTGTGAAGAGAACGTACTGGGCACTGTGGGATGTGTCACAGATCACTTGTTTTCATGGCATATGTCAATAGCACCCAATTTTGACAACAGAAAACATCTCAGACCTTATCACCTGACCTTTGAGGGAGGGGCTTTCAAAGGCAGAATGAAAAATACAGGGCATTCAACTAAACTGTAACTTTGTGTAAACCAACAATATTCACCTTGCTTAACGTAAGTGTGAGTAAAAAATTCTTTGCACTAGAACTATATTTTAACATTGTTCACTTGTAAGCTGATGTTGGATATTGTTGGCAAAGCAGAAACTAAGATTAAGCCCAGCCAAGAAGAGCCAAGCAGAGGGGAAAGAAACCATTTTACTGCTGTGTGAGCATCAAGGTGGACTACAGTACGTGTCCCAGACAGCCAGCTGAATGTGCAGTGGCAAATGCCCACCTTGTCACACATTCAAACAGATGCTCTCAGCAGCGAAGAATGACTCAGCTCCATACGTCATCCAATCTGGACGTTGCCACTATTGTTAATTTTGTGTGTGTGTGTGTGTGTGGTGTGCATGTGTGTGTGTGTGTGTGTGTGTGTGTGTGTGTGTGATTATTTTTTATCTTTTTCAGGTTTTCCACATATCATTGTGGCGTTTAATGAAAAAATCTCAAATAGCCAAGCCTCCTTTAAACTTCAAATTTGCATTTCGGGCTATGGTTTTAGAAACGGACTTACTGGATCCCCTCGTAGAGGATGCCTCTTTAGGTACTGACTCATTTTAAGTATCTGAGAATGGAAGTGATGATAATTTCAAAAGGGTAAGTTTAGCTGTTGTGTAGCAGAGACAGCAGATCTGTCAGAGACCAGTGGAGCTCAAGCCCTCTCTAGGATGCTCCAGGGGCTTCCAAGGCCTGTTGAAAGATTTCCTAACCCTTACATGTACCTCCAGGGGAACCTTGAATCCCTCCGAATTCGCCATTGACCCACCTGGTATGGATGAAGGAACTTTGAGAGATGTCCCAATCCAATTGCCTTCCTTCCTTCCTCTTACCACATTTTGTTTCCTTTCAGTTCTGAGGGAAGCCTCTGGCTACTTTCTGATGGGAATCCAAGGCAGATCACCAAAATACCATAGCTTCATGCCCGTTCTTCCTCCAGGCATTCACCTAAGCTCAGTAGACAATGCGAAATGGGGTGTTCCATCCATCCTTGTGGAATGTTCTATGTATGAAGGATTTCACAGTTGTAGGCATTAAGATTTTTGGGAAGGAAGTAAATATAAATCCCAATCCAGTGTTTGTCTTTCTTTTGCCAGCGGAATGGGTAGACATTAAATATTGTATGCCAATAAATGAGAAGGAGTATTCTCCCGAGGAAATAGCTGCGGCAGTGAAAATCCAGTCCGTGTGGAAAGGGACTTATGTCAGACTGCTCATGAAAGCCAGAATGCCAGGTATGATTTTACATATGTAAAATGGATCCACATGTATAGGAATGGGTGTTTCATTACGTGATTAGGGTATTTTAGAGTAAGTTTGCTTACAGAACTAATTCAATCTATTAAGTACTGAAGTTCCCGGAGGCAAGGAGCTGGTCAGAGTTCTCAGGATGAGAAGCAGTGTCTGAGATGTCAGGCACTATACAATGAATATTTACTGAGAGGATAAATGTCAAGGCTGGGACAACGGGGTAGAAAAAGTGCTGTCTGCCCAAGCATGAGGACTGGAGTTCAGATCCCAGATTCTGCAGAAAAGCTGCGCAAGTGTGGTGACCCAGCAGCCCCAGCACTTGAGAAGCAGACAGAGGGCATCCCTGTGGCTAGTTGTCCAGCCAGTTAAGCCACATCAAGGATCTCAGGGTTCTGCAAGAGACCCTGCCTTGGTAAATAACAGAGAGCAACTAAGAAAGACACCTGACCCGGACTTCTAGCATCCACATGTGTGTGTGCGCACGTGCATGTGCCCATTGCACACCCGTGTCCACACAGATGCACACATGCACTGAGACCACATTGAAACAGAATGTACGGGCCATGAATCATTGAGAAAATGATCATCTTAATGTCCAAATCTTCCGAGAGTTCTCTGCAGCCACCCCCAGTTTGGTTGCAACAGTTTCCAGTGTAGCTTCAGCCAAGTAGGAGATTATTGTACATTCTCAGACTGACTGTCACAGGAAGGAGGCCGGTGCTTCTGTGCATGAGGCAACAAAAATGTCTTTCAATATGCTCTCACATTTGTGGAGTGAGATGTCTTCAGGGATATCCAATGAATTGTGGGGGAGAAATGCCTAGTTTATCAGATGAAAATTCAAAAGGTGTTTTCAATCATTTTCATCACGCGATGTCCATTGCTATTTTGAGAGGAAAGATTTATCTAGGAGAGACCTTTTTAGTTTACACAAAGGTTTTGTTATAAAAATACATCTACAGAAAATATTTAATGACAATATTGAAACGTTTTTCTAGGGAGTGAAAAGTCGTGATACCCAAAGGTTATTTTTAAAAGCATATAGTAAATAGTTTGCCATAGGAAAACAGTACAGATGTAGAGATGCTACTGCACTGCCTCAGTCCCAGCACTCAGGATGAGGGCAGAGGATTGCTAGTGTTAGTCTGAGGCTGACCTGAGGTGCCAGGTCCACTCACATTCATCGAATGAATCTCAGGGTCACACGCCCGTGATGATGAGTTTCAGAGAAGCCATCCAAACAAGCGAGGCTTTGGCTCTATTACATCAGCATTACAGCAGATAAACAAAGGCTGTGGTTCCCATGTCATATCCTGAAGAGCAGCAATGGCAGTCATGCAGGACAATAATAAACTCTAGACTGCCTGTTTTGGACGCCTTGACTTTGACCCCTGTGGGTCCATTTGCTGTGAAGCCATTTGTGGACAGTGCCATAGATTAAGGTTTGTGCCATCCATCCAGGTGTGTTCTTTAGAATAATTGGGTGGTTGCCATTTCTGAGCTAAGTTTTCTACAGGAGCTTCTGGTATGACAGAAGATCTCCTTAGGCAAACTGTTTCATGCATCTCTTAAATAACGTCCAAGAACCCGTCTGTTTGCAGGCTAAAGATGAGAGGAAACATTTGAATACTGTGAGCAGTGCTCTCCTCTAGACATCTAGAGCACTATGGTTTAAACATGACTTTACCTTACGAAACTGGAGAGCCTGGGGCCATCTTCCTCATGGATTCTGAACTCTGCAAACACCGTGGCCAGCAGAGTGGGGATCCACAAGAGGCAAGAATGAAATCTACTTCAGTAGAACTCAGTGGCTGGTGCTGGTTCGAACTCTGAGTCTCACTCCAGTAGTTTATTTTAGGCACAATTTGGAGAGAAGTTTCCTGGTGATAACTAACACAGTCCCATGTGTTTGACTACTTCAAAACTCTTATAAAGTGACATTTTCCTTAAAGATAGCTTCTGTAGGTTAATTGCGGAAGACAGGCTCAAGATAAGCAAGCTCATAGATTCTGGGGTAGCTGATGCGGCCTGGCCATACAGATGGCACAGAGGGTACTGGACTATTAGCCACACCCCCTGACAACCTGGCTGGAAAACAGATTATATGTCCTTTTCCTTGAAGGGACAACCATGTGTGCTTAACATTACTGTTTTTTCCATTGCTTATCAGTGAGCACAAAGATGTACATGCCTCCTACAGGGAATCTCAAAGATTTTACCTGCAAAATGAAGGCTGTGCACAAGTTCATTGTTCAGATATCTTATGGATTTAATGTTTACTCTTATTGTTAATGTTATTATTATTATTATTACTATTATTATTTTTTATTTAGACACGAAGGAAAATGCCATTGTTTCAGATACACTTCAAAAAATTTGGGCAGTACTAGAGATAAATTTGGAGCAGTATGCACTTTCTCTCCTAAGGTAAAGAACGCTTCTAGATTCCTGGTAAAGAACTGCTTTCTGTGGCCATAATGGCCTCTATCTGAGATAACACCTGTGATATTGTGAAAAGGATCCAAGATTCCTGGGGCTTTTAGGCTAGATCTAGATTCAGGCAGGAAGGGAGGAATCCATCCCATCAACTCCCACCCTTTTGCGGAAGAAGCCACAGCCTTCCCTGCAGGGAGCAAGCAGATCTCATGATTAATTTTAGTCACTTAAATGAGCCAGAAAGCATAGAGGAAGAAAATTCTAATCTTACACTCTTGTTTGTGTCCTGTGTTTTTCATCATTGAATTTTCCAAACTGATTGTTCATATTAACTTCACAAGCTTCCTTCAAATTTCTAGTCTCTATCTGGATTCTTCAGGGGCCTCAACCCAGTGTACAACTGCCTTGCCTGCTTCCTTTTCCCCAGATACAGAGCTTAAACATCCAGCCTTATTTTCCACGTATGAAATTAAGTACTCTTTTGCTTCGGAATTACATTCTCCTTCAGTTAAAATCCTCAGATAACTTCAAGTGCATTTGAAAGGTATTATTCACGACTGACCCACAGTGCTTCTCTCCCTTGGTACCACTTGCTACAACTCACACAGTGTCTCTTTGACCTCAACAGGGAAAACATTGGTGTCTGATATTTTGCTATTTCAAGGGTTACTTCTCTTTTGTAACTGGAGCTTCTTTTAAAAATGCTTTGTCATTGATACTAAAGTTGTTTTTCCATTTCTAGACTAATGTTTAAAAGCAAGTGTAAGTCTATGGAGTCTTACCCATGCTATCAAGATGAAGAAACCAAGGTTGCCTTTGCTGACTACACGGTCAACTATCCAGACCAGCCACCGAATTCTTGGTTTATAGTCTTCAGGCAAGTGGTGCAGGATTCCATCTTCAGACGGCGTGCAGTATTCAGACCTGCAGTTTCAGGCGTAACAGTAAAAGTACCAGCCTCTAGACTGCTTTCATATTTGTTTAAAACTTTTCCATACATATACACAATTTTTTTCTTCATATGTGATGGGATGTCAGAGAATTTTATCAATTGTCCTTATATCAAAATAGGAAGATGTAAACAGTTCAGAGATATTTTTCAGTGAATACGTTAACATGATAAATCAGTCTGTTTCCAGTATACTTAGATAACATTTATTTCCAAGCAGCAGCATATTGGGGACAAGTCATGAATATTGTACGAAGTGGGGGTTTGCTTTTATACATCAAAGTGACACAGTCATAGTAACTTGAAATAAAAAAGATACACAAGCCTTTTTTTTAGGAGTTCACTTATTTTATTTTATTTATTATTATTATTTTTTTATTGAAGAAAAAAATTTCCGCCTCCTCCCAGCCTCCCATTTCCCTCCCACTCCTTCCACTCCTTTCCCCCTCCCCCCCACTACTCTCCCCCTCCCTCTCCAGTCTGAAGAGCAGTCAGGGTTCCCTGCCCTGTGGAAAGTCCAAAGTCCTCCCCCCTCCATCCTGGTCTAGGAAGGTGAACATCCAAACTGGCTAGGCTCCCACAAAGCCAGAACATGAAGTAGGATCAAGACCCAGTGCCATTGTCCTTGGCTTCTCAGCAGCCCTCATTGTTCGCCATGTTCAGAGAGTCCAGTTTTATCCCATGCTTTTTCAGTCACAGTCCAGCTGGCCTTGGTGAGCTCCCAATAGATCAGCCCCACTGTCTCCGTGGGTGGGTGCACCCCTTGTGGTCCTGACTTCTTCGCTCATGTTCTCCCTCCTTCTGCTCCTCATTGGGACCTTGGGAGCTCAGTCCAGTGCTCCAGTGTGGGTCTCTGTCTCTATCTCCATCCATCACCAGATGAAGGTTCTATGGTGATATGCAAGATATTCATCAGTATGGCTATAGGATAGGGTCATTTCAGGTTCCCTATCCTCAGCTGCCCCAGGAACAAACTGGGGACATCGCCCTGGGCACCTGGGAGCCCCTCTAGGTCCATGTCTCTTGCCAACCCTAAGATGGCTCCCTTAATTAAGATATATGCTTCCCTGCTCCCCTATCCAACCTTCCTTTATCCCAATCATCCCGTTTCCCCAAGTTCCCCCCATCCTCCCCTTCTCACTTTCTTTCCCCATCTCCCCTAACCCCCCTCCCACTCCACCCCCAAGATCCCAATTTTTTTCCCGGCAATCTTGTCTAATTCCTATAACCAGGAGGATAGCTATATGTTTTTCTTTGGGTTCACCTTCTTATTTAGCTTCTTTAGGATATCATATTATAGACTCACTGACCTTTATTTGTGGCTAGAACCCAATTATGAGTGAGTACATCCCATGTTCATCTTTTTGGGTCTGGGTTACCTCACTCAGGAGAGTGTTTTCTATTTCCATCCATTTGCATGCAAAATTTGAGAAGTCATTGTTTTTTACCGCTGAGTAGTACTCTAATGTGTATATATTCCACACTTTCTTCATCCATTCTTCCATTGAAGGACATTTAGGTTGTTTCCAGGTTCTGGCTATTACAAACAATGCTGCTATGAACATAGTAGAGCATATACTTTTGCTGTATGATAAGGCCTCTCTTGGATATATTCCCAAGAGTGGTATTGCTGGGTCCAGGGGTAGGTTGATCCCAAATTTCCTGAGAAACCGTCACACTGCTTTCCAAAGTGGTTGCACAAGTTTGCATTCCCACCAGCAATGGATGAGTGTACCCCTTCCTCCACAACCTCTCCAGCAAAGGCTATCATTGGTGTTTTTGATTTTAGCCATTCTGACTGGTGTAAGATGATATCTCAAAGTTGTTTTGACTTGCATTTTCCTGATCGCTAAGGAGGTTGAGCATGACCTTAAGTGTCTTTTGGACATTTTAACTTCTTCTGTTGAGAATTCTCTGTTCAGTTCCGTGCCCCATTTTTTAATTGGGTTAATTAGCATTTTAAAGTCGAGTTTCTTGAGTTCTCTATATATTTTGGAGATCAGACCTTTGTCTGTTGCGGGGTTGGTGAAGATCTTCTCCCAGTCAGTAGGTTGCCTTTTTGTCTTAGTGACAGTGTCCTTTGCTTTACAGAAGCTTCTCAGTTTCAGTAGGTCCCATTTATTCAATGTTGCCCTTAATGTCTGTGCTGCTGGGGTTATACCTAGGAAGTGATCGCCTGTGCCCATATGTTGTATGCCACTTTCTCTTCTATCAGGCTCAGTGTGTTCAGATTGATATTGAGATCTTTGATCCATTTGGACTTGAGTTTTGTGCATGGTGATAGATATGGGTCTATTTTCATTCTTCTACAGGTTGACATCCAGTTGTGCCAGCACCATTTGTTGAAGATACTTTCTTTCTTCCATTGTATACTTTTAGTTTCTTTATCAAAAATGAGGTGTTCATATGTTTGTGGGTTAGAATCTGGGTCTTCTATACGATTCCATTGGTCGACTTCTCTGTTTTTATACCAATACCACACTGTTTTCATTACTATAGCTCTGTAATAGAGTTTGAAGTCAGGGATGGTAATGCCTCCAGAAGTTCCTTTATTGTATAAGATTGTTTAGGCTATCCTGGGTTTTTTGTTTTTCCATATAAAGTTGATTATTGTCTTCTCCAAATCTGTGAAGAATTTTGATCGGACCTTGATGGGGATTGCATTGAATCTATAAATTGCCTTTGGTAGAATTGCCATTTTTTACTACGTTGATCCTCCCAATCCAAGAGCAAGGGAGATACTTCCATTTTCTGGTATCCTCTTCAATTTCTTTCTTCAATGCCTTAAGGTTCTTGTCAAATAGATCTTTCACTTCCTTTGTTAGAGTTACCCCAAGATATTTTATGCTGTTTGTGGCTATCGTGAAAGGTGATGCTTCTCTGATTTCCTTCTCTGCTTCCATATCCTTTGTGTATAGGAGGGCGACTGATTTTTTGGAGTTGATCTTGTAACCGGCCACATTACTAAAGATGTTTATCAGCTGTAGGAGTTCTTTGAGTTTTTTGGGTTGCTTATGTACACTATCATATCATCTGCAAATAACGAAAGTTTAACTTCTTCCTTTCCAATTCGAATCCCCTTGATCCCCTTATGTTGTCTTATTGCTATTGCTAAAACTTCAAGCACTATATTGAAGAGGTATGGAGAGAGTGGACAGCCTTGCCGTGTTCCTGATTTTAGTGGGATGGCTTTGAGTTTCTCTCCGTTTAGTTTGATGTTAGCTGTCGGTTTTCTGTAAATAGCTTTTATTATATTTAGGTATGACCCTTGTATCCTTAATCTCTCCAAGACTTTTATCATAAAGGGATGTTGAATTTTGTCAAAAGCTTTTTCAGCATCTAATGAAATGATCATATGGTTTTTTTTCTTTCAGTTTATTTATATGATGGATTACATTGATAGATTTTCGTATGTTGAACCAGCCTTGCATCTCTGGGATGAAGCATACTTGATCATAATGGATAATTTTTCTAATGATACACAAGCCTTTTAGTTATTTGCAATCTTAAAGTTTCACAAAGGCTCTTTGGTTAAACTCTATTTAAAACATTATGAGTTCTACTACTAAAGTCTCGTGCTTTTGTGATTACAGAGAAACGTTTCTGGTTCCTCAAGACATGATCTTGGTCCCTAAAGTATACACTACACTCCCAATCTGTATGCTACATGTTGTCAACAATGACACGATGGAGCAAGTGCCCAAGGTCTTCCAGAAAGTGGTGCCGTACCTGTACCCCAAGAACAAGGTAGGTGCCGAATGTATCCCCAGCTGTTCTTACGGCGGTGAACGGGAGCCCAGAAATAAGTGCAGCAGGTGAGCTTGTAGCACTTAGGAGGAAGAGTCCACTGTTTTAGCGACTGTGAATGCTGCAGCACACTTGACATCCCAGGAAGGACACATTGCACACACCCATTGTTGAAACCAAAGCCACATCGATTTTAAAACAGAAGCCGCTCCCGGGAGTTTATTTGGTCGTAAAATGAAAAAGACCAGGCTTGTCTTTATCTCACACATTGCCATTGTTCTGCTCTGAAGCATGGTAGGGCGAGGGGCGGGGGTGATGAGGGGAGATCACACACCCAGCCCCCACCCTCAGTCTTCAAAGTTGGCAATATTTTTATCAGGCCAAGAGCCACTTTAGGCTGCCTGCTGAATGGATGAAAGACCTCGCCTTCAATCAGATGTTTCCTCTCTGGATATTTTAATCTCTTCATGTTTCCAGTCATGTCCCCCACTAGGGAATCATGACAAACATAGTGGGCATGGGCTGCAAATGAAGAACCGCTTTTGCTCCTAACTTCCATTCTTTAACCTCGTAATTTTGAACTTGATAATCTTCCCCCTCCGGATTATGAGTGTGTTTTTTTTGTTTCTTTTTTTTTGAAGTTCATTTTAGCCTATAATCTCATGCATCATTTTATGTAAATTAGGCTTACCTCTCTAATGAATGTCTAATGAATATTGACTTCAGAAAGATGAAGAATATATGTAAAAATATATCAATTCAAAAAGCTCCTTTGAACTATTTTCAAGATTTGAGGAAACATTTTTTTTAAAAAAAAAATGTTGTTTTTTATTTTAAGGCAAGGCCCTGCTATGTAACACTGACTGTCCTGGGACTCATATAGATAAGGCTGGTCTCTCGTTCTCAGAAATCCGCTTGCCTCTGCCTCCTGAGTGCCAAAACTAAAGGTGTGCCCAACACACCCATCTAAAATTCTTGATAAGACAACTTATTCCAACTGATTATTTATATATGTATGTATGCATATGCATAGTGATATTTTAAAAATTGTTTGCACTGAACTTATTAGTATTCAATATAATTCTAAAAACTCATATTTTAATAAATTCAATTTTTCTTTTTTTTTCATGAGATAAATTTTCTTGATTTGGGCATCAGATTTTATAAAATTGGAAGATAGTATCAATTTGTACTTAGTATCTTAAATTATTTTTACCTTATATTAAATCAGGGAAGTATCATGTCTCTAGTTTATGAGGCAATCTGGTAAACAATATGATATATGGAAGTAATCTGTATTTGAAATTATGTTCTGAAGTATAATTTTCTAAAAATTTATGTTATTAAAATCAACAGAACAGTTATTTTATCTGTACTTAGCCATATCATTTTAATTTATGGTCATTATGTTTACCACTTGCTGTAATGATATTCACATTTTCTTTATTTCAACAACACTTATCATTTTCCACACATCAAGCATGCCTTTACGAACTTAGTTTAACCCACTGTATTCCCTCCTGCTTCATGGCCTAATAAATGACATTTCATAAAAAAATCCCAGGATTGTAAAATTTACCTTACCCATGAATGCTGCCTTCTACAGCAGGATGTCTTGTGTTAAGTCCAATGTTAGTGAAGAATGCAGGCCCTTCCATAACAAATTTGTTTTTACACGCAGACAATTTTTGCATCAAATTTGACTTACATTTCTGATTAAAAAGAAACAACTTAGTTTGTGATCACCAATATTAAAAAACAAAAAAGCTCAAAAGTAAGGAGATTTTTTTTTTTCTAAATCAATGGTTCTCAGCATTCCTAATGCTTCAACCTTATGTATGGTGATGCCCAAATATAAAATTATTTTCATTGCTGCTTCATAACTATAATTTTGTTATGAATCTTTATGTAAATATGTATGCTTTCTAGTGATCTCAGACAACCCCTGCAAAAAGTCATTCATCCCCCAAAGTGGTTGTGGCCCACATATTGAAAACCACTGGTCTAAAGGAAGAACCTACCAAAGTCATAGATGCCATCAAAGACTGGAGATGATCTTTCTTTCACCAAATAAGTTATATCAATATTAGTCACTGATATTTAATTTTGGAAGGGGTATTTAAGGAATATTTAATTCACAGGTTTTGGTGTGTGTGTGCAGTTTTGAGTTTATTTTTTAGCATGGTTGGCTCTCTAAACTAGGTGGATTTCTCTCAAGGATACAAGTTGAGTCAAAATGTAGATGCGTATTTCATCTTCATTCAGCTATTATTTCACACTGCAAATTCAGATTGCATCAAGCATTCCCATCCCTCTCTGATGTCTTCTGCCTTCTGTATCTATCTGTATTTTAGTGAGAGAAATGGGAAGGCTATGTAAGAGAAGTAGACATGCGTGAACAGAGAACTAACTGTCTGTGGTGTTTTTGCAGTGGGGGGAGATGGGGTAATCTTGTCATCTTTTTGGGAATGTTACCTCAGAAGAAAGCTGATGAAAAGAAAATTATTGCTTAAATCTTTGCACTGTAGTCTGTGACTGTATTAACACTCTGTATTAACCTGACAAGTTTGAGAACATATGTGTAGCATATTATGTCACCATAAAATTTTTATCTTTCAAGGTACCTGTTTTGTCTAAAAAATTATAGTGTCAAAAGTTAATGAATCAAGGGTAAAATAGTTATCTTTAGATTTCTCAGGGTTTTAAACATTTATTGACATTTAAATACACACATACACGCACACACACACACATATCCAGAAAGGAAAAGTAGAAATATATAATACTTCCCAAGTATACAACATCCTAGAAATCCATTTTCATAAAATGTATTGGGTCAGTATTTTACAAAACAAATCATGGATGACACTACTGTAAATTGAAGCCCTCATCATTTCTCTATGAGGTATTTCTATCCTTGTATCTTTACTATTAAACAATTTGATCTGGCACTGATGAACCATCTTGATGTGATGTCCCAGAGATGGTCTCCAGAGACAGATGGACATCTTCACCCACACAGAGGATGTCTAAAGCTAGTGAACAGATAGATATAACGTAGCCCTGGGTGCTAACCATCCTGGTTACCTGACTAGAGCCCTAATCAGGAGACATCCTGCCCCACGTGAAGTCAACAGCTTTGCTACTATTTACTTGTAAATTAGTTATATGATCTAATGAAGTTCTTCTTTCATATAAACTCATGTTGGCTTGAAGGAGTCTGCTTTGTTCCTTGGATTTTCACAAGGCATCCTTCGAAGCTTGATGAGCTCTCTTATTGGAAAGAGGCTTGCAAATGTATATGCTTCTTCACTTAAATGAACACTTGTCTCCCTACTTCTGTCATAATCCCTCAAAGACTGAACAGTACAATTTAGGACACTGACCCGTGAGATTTTTCAGTTTTCTTTCTTTACAGCACTGAGGATCTAATCCAGGGTTTCACAGAAACTAAGCAAGCATCCTACCGCTTAAATACACCCTCAGCCCTAAGATAATTATTTCTAAAAAGGATAAACATAACATTAATGGCTTGATGATTCTTAGGAGATCTTGGACTCTATGGGGGTATCAACATAGTGGCATATTTACGTCAATGTGTGGACCACATATTGGAGAGACTCATGGTAATGTGAATCCTGTATGTGTGGCTGCCTTCTCTTTCAGAAGGGATACACGTTTGTGGCTGAAGCCTATACTGGTGACGCTTATGTGTCAGGCGCGCGCTGGAAACTGCGGCTCATTGGCTCCTACAACCCCCTTCCTTTTCTCTCCCGAGAGTCTCCGTGCAGCACCTTCACCATAAAGGAGATCAGAGACTACTACATCCCTAATGACAAGAAAATTCTGTTCAGGTACAAGTATATAATGAGCAGATAAATGTGTTATTTACATATCAGTATCTTTTATAAATGAATTCATAATTTAGAATATAATTTTAAGTTCTGTAATCTTATGGAATAACTAACACTAGCATGACTAGATGGATGCTCGATCAAGCCTACACAGTTTCAAAGAGTGCTAATACTATTCTTGGGCTTTGTTTCATACCACTTTCACTATTGAACCTTCCTGGTCTCTGTGGCTATTTGACTTTCTCCTGGTCCCGCTCTATCTGTAGCCACTCTCTGGTCGTGGGCGGGGCTGGGGATCCTTGTTTGTCACTCCAACCTTCTTTTCATGCTCACCTATTCACACCCCTTGAATTGTCCTAGTACCAATTCCGCTTTCTTTCAATAATTGTTCTTTGAATTCTAATTCTGACACACCATCACCTCACTGTGGGTCTCCTCCTCTCTTCTCAATACTCCTACACTACTTCGGGGACTTCCTTATATTTGTTACACAAAACTGTTGTTTTTGGAATCTGGGACTCCATGATATCCCTCTTAAGACATTGCACTGCCACTCACTCTCCCTTCTCAATTTATTTGTTATCCTTACTACTAACATACATATTTACACATGCCTATAAAATGTTTTTAGTTTTCCATTGACTGTAGAGTAAAACTCTAGCTGCATAGTCAATATTGAATGCCCTTGTCTGGGAGGAAAGTGGGAGCACATGAGGGAGAAGGGGGACCCGGTAAACATGAACTCAGCCCCACATTGGGTGCCAGATGGGGGGAATGTGAATAAAGAAATCCTGTACTAGCTCCTAATATGGTATACTAAAGTGTTCTTTATTAAAAGGGAACTCACTGATCACATCAAATATCCAGGTGTGGCGAGCAGGAAGCCAGAGGGAGAGCTGGAGGTCCCACTGGCCTTTTGGTACCCAAAGTCATGCCCAATCTGGTCTAGCCTCTCAAAGGCCATTGGCTGAAGGAGGTTCTCCATCAAATCACTAACCAGGGCTGCCTCACAATAGAACAAAAGGTTTCCTCCAGACATGTGAGCTGTACTATTTCATTTTCCTAGCACACTTACTTATTTTGTGATATTCCATCCTCATTTTGCCACTTTGAAAAAAAATTCCTGATAATTTTCAAAATGCAAACCTTTTGTATTAAAGTGCCCAGTATAAGTAGATGATCCAGTTGCCATTCCAGTGGTAAACATTTTATGTAATGTATACACATTTTAGGTGATTATCTGTTCATCAGCCTCTATGAGAATTAATGTTTTTATTTAGTTTCACTAAAAATAGATTCTTCTCTCATACAATACACCTTGACCACAATTTCCTCTCCCTCCACTCCTCTGAGCTCCTGCTCTCCAACTCCCCTCTCCCCAGCTTTATTCACTCTCCAATTCCTCTTCAGAAAAGAGCAGGCCTCCAAAGAATTAATTGGAGGCCAGACATATGCGCTTTCAAACTGGAGGCCAGACACATGCCCATTCAAACTGGAGGCCAGACACATGCCCTTTCAAACTGGAGGCCAGACACATGCCCTTTCAAACTGGAGGCCAGACACATGCCCTTTCAACATGGGAAGAAGCACAGTGTCTAATGCATAGTTGGCCTGTATTAAGCATTTTCTTTTTTTAATATAAAATATTCTTCCACATGAATTTAGAACACACATTAAATATCTAAATGCGATTCGTAATCAGACAACTAACAAGCAGTCGTAGCACTTTGTTCTCTCTTATGGTCTTTCTTTCTGGTCATAGTTTCCCAAGAATCATGACAGTGAGAACGTGGTGGTTCTGACATCTTGTGCAGTCTTTTGTAGTGATCATTTATCAATAACATCCAGATGTCTTTAGCTGTTCTACGGCTGGCCAGTCACCACTCATGTGAATTACTCGGCCGGTTACTTGGTCAAAGCCATGGTGGGCATGATCTATGATGCCCAGTTTTAAAAAAATCTATTATTTTCTAGGTTTTATTGTATTGAAAAGATATTTTAAAGGCACAATGCATTGGTGAGTTGGTTTTCAGAGGGAAAAATGTAAAAGCAGACTACTTGTTTGTTTCCTGGCTGCCCAGACACAAATAATCAGACAGAAACTATATTAATTACAACACTGTTTAGTCAATAACTTAGACGTAGTTTTAGTTAACTCTTGTACCTTAAATTAACCCATTTCTATTATTCTGTGTATTTCCACTAGGCTGTGGCTTACTGGTGCCAGTATGTTACTCCTTTGGTGGTTTATGGCATCTTTCTCCTTCAGAAGCTACATAGCATCTCTCTGACTCTGCCTACTCTCTCTTTCTATCTCTTTCAGTCTGGTTATATTCTGCTAAGCCATCGGCCAAAACAGCTTTATCACTTACCAATGATAATAAAACATATTCACAACATACAGAGGCGAATTCCACATCAGTAAAACAAAGTCTTTCTGATAAAAATTTAACAAATAATAATACTCTGCCTGATTTTTACTTATTTAATACAAAAACTTTCCCCCTTAAAATTGTGAAAAAATTAAATCAAAGCTAAATAAGTAATAACATTCAAACACAGATATATATTACAACCCTAAGCTCATGTTTCAGCTTTATACATGAACATATTTTATCTCTAGGTAAAGACACAGAACATTCTGATTAGAAGCACACTAAAATGCAGACATTAAAGTTGGGGGTTTGCTCTCAGTTTGTCTTCCTATAATGTATTTTCAACATTGCCTATAAGAAAGAAAATAAGGAAAAAAGAAAGCACAAACTAAAAATGGAACGATTAATTTACTTTGTTTACTAGTGTGACTAGTTTACTAGTTTGACTAACTTGTTTATTAAAAGCCATGGAACCACACTGAGGCCAATTACAGACCAAGAAGTGGTGGTTAACCTAAAGCTAAATTAGTCCCAGGAGCTGGTCTTAAAGGTGTGGGCCAGAGAGGTGAGGAGTTGGGGAGCAGGCTGCTTGAGGAGTGTGGAGGGGCTCAGCGTTTTCTGAGAATGGAGTCCAGTTCTCTGCAAAGTGCATTTCCAGGGTGCAATATGGAGCGACCAGGCTAGAGAAACTCCTCCCCTGAACCTCTTCTGGAAGGCTCTCCTAACACAGGAACAGAAAACTTTAAGAGTTTTAAGGAAACTGGCATTGTCAGACTTGTGTGAAAAAAAAATGTGTCTATAATATAGCTGAGTGGCAGTGGCATCCACCTTTAATCCCAGCACTGGGGTGGTAGAGGCAGGAAGATCTCTGAGATCCAGGCCAGAGCGAGTTCTAGCACAGCCGGGGCAACACAGAGAAACTGTCTTGAACAACAGAAAACAAAACAAAACAAAATGTCTATAATACATGAATTGAAAAAAATTAATATGATTTCTAAGATGAAAGCTATTATCATGAGATTTTATTTAGTTGTTCAAGATGTGGAATATGGAACATATTAATTCAGGCAGCTTCTTGATGTTGACTGGGATGAAGGGGAAAGTAGAGGAGCAGTTGGACAGCTGTAAGATAGCGCAGGTGGTAGCCTTGGCGACTGGAAGCAGGCAGTCAGTAGGTCCACTACAGCTGCCCTGTCAAGCCTACGACACAACACTGAGTGGCTGAACAACAAAAATGTCTCATCTCACAGTTGGGAAGTTCACTCTGGAGTCAAGTTGTCCCCAGGGTAGGTGTCTCTAGAGCATTCAGGAAAGAATCTATTTCTTGTCTTCCTCTTGGCATTCCATGGTTTGCTGACGTTCTTTGGGTTGTGGGTTCATCACTCAAATCTTCATATTGTGTTTCATTTTGTGACTGTTTCTAAATTCTGCCCTATTATTCTAAGGCCACCAGCCATACTGATTTGGTCTCATCCTTTACCTTATTTTATAATGAAAAACCATTTCCACATGAGATGACCTTATGAGGTCTCCAACATTGCTTCTGTAGGACAGAGAGATACAGTTCAACAAACCATAAGGAGGTGCGTGCATCTGGAGAGAATGTTTTAAAACATGGAGGTTAAATGGCCTTGGCTGATTGGGCTTGCCTTGGGAAATGTCTGAATGACATCATTTATGTCAGAGGAGGACACAGAGCAGTAGCTAATTTGCAGAGTGGTCAGTAGGAAGACTTCTTATTTGTAAATATTAGTAACAGTCACATGATCCTAGAGAGGTAGCTGAGCTAGAGGCTTCAGTTAGGAATTCTGATCCATTTGATGGTACAGAGAGCCTGGGGAACTGTAGAATGAATGTTGCTTCCAGTCTGTGAATGAGAGCATGTGTGAGATCATCAATGGCAGAGGGGCCTGAGAAAGCAGATCTGAAGAGAAGGGACGGTGTGAAGCTATTTTTCCCCGAAATAGCAGGTGTCTAAAGACAAGGCTGGGAGGATCCCTTCAACTCTGAGAGACTCTTCCAAGAGGTCAGAAGATAAGACTAAAAGTTCTCATATGGGACACACTCATGGTTGGGATCCTGGCCAGTGTAACCCAAAACTCTGGATCAGTACTAAGCATGGGAGAGGGAGACGAATTAGTGAGAAGAGCAGGGGTGGGGGACTCCAGAAAGGGAAGGGAAGGCAGGTCATTCTGGAGGGCAACGCGATGGATTTTGCTGGTTCACTTTTGTTTTATTTTTATCTGCTTGGAAAAAAAAAATCTACCATGTCTTGAGCATTTGTGAAGAATTACTAGAGAAAGAAAAAGCAGAAATACCAAACAAGGGTGAAACTCACAAAGGTCTGCTTCCCTGAACTGTTTTTTTGTCCATTGGCATTAATATAAGTGACACGTGGTGGGGGTCACATAACTCTCAAGGATGGTGGCTTGTAGGTCTATCCTGTTCCATAAGTGGCTTCCTGTCATACTTAACAAAATGATACGTTTCCTACTTGGAATTCTTCAGCAGTGGAAACACACTACTGTTTTTCTTGACTGTCATTTTGGGCTCATTTGTCAAAGTCTGTGGTCACTCTAACATCTTAACAAGTCTATGGGCCTTACAAAGCTGCCTTACAAAGACGATCAAATGAGAAAAACCACACCATTTCCTTTATCAGCTCGAGGGAGAGATCGGCGTACTTGCTCACAAAGCCGAACCTTTCTCACCACAGGTATTCCATTAAAGTGTCAGTGGCCCAGTGCATTACAATCCAGGTCCGCACATCCAAGCCCGATGCCTTCATCAAGCTGCAGGTGCTGGAAAGCGAGGAGATCATGGTGAGCACCCTGGGCAAAGGACAAGCCATCATCCCTGCCTTCTACTTCCTGGGAAGTGAGAGAGCACTGAGCTCCCAGTGTAAGTACCTGCCTGGCGTGTGGGCTGCCTGCAGGAAGTGATACTTGTGTTGCTGTGGCATCTAAAAGGCTTAATTTTCAATGGAAAACAAAACTTAACACTGTACTTGACCCCAGTGATGCTGTTGTAATTATGTGTTTAATTAGGCTCCCAAAACCAGTAGATTGGATATTACTTTCCCTTAAAGACTTCTTAGCAAAAATTTCTTATACATGAGACTGCTTTCATTTTTTAAAGATGTCTGTATGTATATGAGTGTTCACCTACGTGTATGAATGGCCCATGCACATGCCTGATCCCACAGAGGCAAGAAAAAAAGACTTGGATCTCCTGGAAGTGGAGCTACTGGTGGTTTTCAGGTACCAGGTGGATGCTCAGAACTAAACCAGGATCCTTCTCAGGAGCAGCATACAGTCTTAGCTGATGTGTCATCTCTCCAGCCCCACATGGACATCCTTTTTTATTTTAAATTGATTTTTATTGAGCTCTACATTTTTTTTCTCGCTCCCCTCTCTGCCTCTCCCCTTCCCGTCAACCCTCCCCCATGGTCCCCATGCTCCCAATTTACTCAGGAGATCTTGTCTTTTTCTATTTCCCATGTAGATTAGATCCATATATGTCTCTTAGGGTTCTCATTGTTGCCTAGGTTCTTTGGGATTGTGATTTGCAGGCTGGTTTTCTTTACTTTATGTTTAAAAACCACTTATGAGTGAGTACATGTGATAATTGTCTCCCTGGGTCTGGGTTACCTCACTCAAAATGATGTTTTCTAGCTCCATCCATTTGCCTACAAATTTCAAGATGTCGTTATTTTTCCTGCTATATAGTACTCCATTGTGTAAATGTACCACATTTTCCTATCATTCTTCAGTCAAGGGGCATTTAGGTTGTTTCCAGGTTCTGGCTATGACAAACAATTCTGCTATGAATATAGTTGAGCACATGTCACATGGACATTCTTAGTAAAATCTCTAAGACCAGAAAATTTGAAAGGATGCAGTGGGTTTTTTCCTTCTTAAAATAAGCAGGTCCTTTAATGTACGCTGTATTCTGTAAGTGTATATGTAGCTCATTTAGTGAGTAATACCAATGTCCATCAAATATACTAACATAATGTTTCTCCTTTTTAGCTAGCAAGCAAATTCTCTTATCTCATACTTCACCTAAAAAAGAACCAGAAGTAATGACAAAGAAAAAAACCGGGCAAATAGGCCAGAAATCCTTTAAGGGCAGACCTGGGAGTGTGGCGGTAGAGGTAGGTCTGCCCCTGCTGGAAGAAGAAGTTATGAATGTGCCTACTATAGAAGAAAATTCTAGCACACCACAACAGGTACATTAACTGGAAAAAAAAGAATTATTTAGGGCTAGGAAGATGGTTCAGTGGGTAAAATCTACATATGTGACTCCAGGCTGGGACGCTGAGCCAAGCAGATCCTAGAGCCAGTTAGCCTAGACAAATGCAAAGTTCTGCATTCAGTGCGAGACTGTCTTAAAAAATAAAGCAGAGAGTGACTGCGAAAGGAACTCAGAACTGACTCTGGCCTCCACGTGCACATGCAGAGACCAAGTGTGCCTAACACACAGGTGCACAGGCACACAGAGTGAGCAAACCACAGTTGTCTGTAATTTGGTCATACTGTGTGCCTGTGCACATGTGCACCTGATCTACACAGGCACACAGTATGACCAAATCACAGACAAGTGTACCTGACACACGTGCACAGGCACACAGTATGACCAAATCACCTGCACCTGATCCACATGTGCACAGGCACACAGTATGACCAAATCACCTGCACCTGATCCACATGTGCACAGGCACACAGAGTGAGAAAACCACATTCAAGTGCACCTGATACACATGCACAGTTACATGGAGTGACCAAATATATGCAAAAAAAAAAAACCCCAGGGACTAATCTAGCACAAAATATAAACAGGAATGATGTCCAAGGTCACATGACATAGACATCATTACGGGCAGATGGCCAACTAAAAAGAAGAATGAATCAAGTGGTTGGGGTCTTAATTATCATGGACACCCGACTGCCCAGCTGAGAAGAGAATGAAAGGCTGTTAGGAAGAAGGTGAGTCAGTCAGTGATCCAACTGAAACATTCGATGCAGGCCTCCTGGAAAACAGGGTAGCTGAGGAGCAAAATTAGCATCATATCTGGGGATTTGAGATGCCTCATTGTCTTGGTATACCCAGGATATTATACTACTTCTATGTATGTGCCTCTGAGCACCACGTGTGTGAGTATTCCCATACTCACGTGTCAAAGCATGCCACAGAAAGCCAGAGGACAACCTCTGGTTGGGCTCCCTGCCTTCTAACTGATTTGTAGCAGGGTCTCTTTGTTGTTTGCTACTGCTCATGCTTGTGTTAGCTAGCCCAGACATCTCGGCAGTCTTCTGCCTCAGGCTCCTTGCCACAGGAGCACTAGGGTTACAGCACAGCCACCACACCCAGCTTTAGAAGCATTCTTGAAATTTGAACTCAGGTCTGTCCACTATACCTTACTCACTCAGCCATCTCCCCACTTCACCGAGAATATTTTAAAAGATGTGTTTGGGGCTGGAGAGATAGTTTGTGGTTTAGAATGCTTGTTGCTCTGGCAAAGGACACAAGTTTGGTTTCCAGCACCCATGTAGAAACCCAGCTTCAGAGACTGAATCCTCTCTTGCCCGGCAGGCCACCTGCACTCATTTGCACACATGTATAAAACTAAAGTAGTTATTTGTAAAAAGATAAATATTTTGTGATAAAAAATTAATGAGTGCTTCAATAAAAGTCAACGCTTTTAGATATAGACATAAATATGTAGTATTAGCATAATGTAATAGCAAATACATTATTAATAATAAATAGTTTAAAAGCCCTAAGTGTGGAAACATGATAAGCTAAATAATCTTTACTTCAAAAGAATAGCAACTAAGAATTTATGAAACATAGCTAACTCGATGAGTTTTAATAAAAACTCTACAAATTATGCTTTGTCAGCAACACCAATGTGCATTCAGTGAAATATTTACTTCAGTTAATCAGTGAGGATGATCTGAAACGTGAGCCGAGCTAATGTGATGAGAGGTAGAAGTGAGCTGAATGATAGCTCACTGAAGAGGAGACAAGGTTCTGAGAAGGATGAAGAAATAAACCAAGAAACATGCAAACAAATTCACTAGTTTCACATTTTACAATTCTAAAGTATGTATGCTACTCGTAAGACCAAGGAAAACACAGAAGGCATGAATGTACAAACACTGGAAATGGTACAGGATTTCACAGCCATTGAGTAGTGTGGAGAAGTCTGTGCCTGTAGTTAGACACTGGGGCAGGAATGGTGGGCGTGAGAAAGGATTTTGGCCAAACTCATTCATTAGAAAATAATAATCTGAATAAAGCGATAAAGCAATAAAATTACAATTGTAATAACTTCAAAGTTTTCATTGCTAAGTAGCATGTGCCCCGTTGGCTTATGCTCAACCTGCTTTCTCGTAGAATCAAGACCACCAGCCCAGGGGTAGCTCCACCCCCAGTTGAATGGGCCCTCCCACATCAATCACCAACTAAGACTTAAGATAATGCACAGCAGGCTCGCCTGCAGCTTGACTTTTATGGAGGCATTTTCTTACCTGAGGCTCCCATCTCTCACATGACTCTAGCCCTGTGCCCAGTTTGAAAATACCTATGCATCATGAGGTTCTTCCTTCTGGACCCGAGATTAGGCACACAGCCCACCAAAATACTCATTTCCAAGCACAAACAAAACACGAAGGGGTCCTTTATTAAGCAGGGCAGAGACAAGATGGCTGAGTCTGAATCCTGAATTGGGCAGAAATAGCAGCAAATAGTCTTGCAAGTGTTAGAGGAAAAAGGGAGAGGTCTGTGTTAGAGGGAGTTAGGATGTGTTGATAAGTTCTGATTGGTATTTTAATTAAGTTAGTCAAAATAATGAATTTGGATTGCTGGAACTTGGTGTTTTGAGAGTTCTGTCTGGCTGTTCAGTCTCAGGAATAAGCCAGTGGCCAAATAAGGGAAGAGACCTTGGTGTCTAGCTTTAGGAATATAATCTAACAATTCAGCATGGGGGAGAAGGGTTAAAAGGCAAAACCTTTTGGTGCCCTGTTTGTCATGCTCAGGCCTGCTAGAGCCCTTCACAATTAACACAAAACTAGCCAGCATAAAAAGAAACATTGACTTAAAAAAAAGAGGTGAAACCGTTAGTTAAAGGAGAAAAGGTAACCTATTAGAGGCTAGGGAACTTGCTTCTCCTTCACCACAGCTAACGCTATAAATAAAGGTGGATTCCAGATACACTGCAGATTTAAGTAGGAAAATTTAATCCATAAATATAATAACAGATGATGCAGGACACTGGCTTTATAACTTGAGTACAAAGCAAAGAGAGCCCTAGAAGCCAACCTCGCTGGGAAGATCCTCTCAGGCTCTGCAATAATAGAAGAAAGCATGGAAATGGCACAGAGATGAGATTTCACTTTATGCCATCACACTGCTTAACGATGAGAAATATGGATGACAGGCAGTGGCCGGGGTGGGATGTTAAATGCATTTTCACTGTGTGTTAGAGGTTGTCTTTGTTACTGTATTGTTGCTATGAAGAGACACCATGATGAAGAGACACCATGACCAAGGCAACCTATAAAAGGAAACATTTAACTGGGGGCTCACTTACACATTCAGAGTGTGAGACTATGACCATCATGGTGGGGAGCATGTCCGAAGGCAGGCATGGCACTGGAGGGATGTAAGAACTAACATCTTCTCTGCAACTTGGAGGCAGAGAGACTGGGCCTGGCATGGGCTTTTGAAAGCTCAAAAACCCACCCTCAAGGACACACCTTCTCTAGCAAGCTGCACTTTCTAATCCTTTCCAAAACAATTCTACCAGCTTGGCCCCAAGCATTCACACATATGAGCCTATGGGGACCATTCTAACTCAAACCATAACAGAAAGTGGTGGCAAACATGTATCATTTAGTTAACCTATGATTGTATGATTTATAAAATAACACATTATAAGCTTGACCTAATCTGTCTTTCAGTGCGCGTACTGTATGGGTTTTTTTGGTTGTCCTGACTCATTGCCCTCCCTTTCACAGTGCTACAAGTACATCATACAGTGCTTGGTGATGTTTAACAGCTGGCCTCTCACAGAAATGCAGCAGGTGTTTGTTCAAGCACTAAAAGACTTAGAGAAATTTGATAGCAAAGGTATGTTAAGCTAAATAATTTTAAAACATTTATTTTATTTTATATGTAAGTGTGTTTTGCCTGCATTTATATAAGGACACCATGTTCTTGCCCAATGCCTGTGGAGGACTAAAGAGGGTATTAGATCTCCTAAAACTGGAGTTACATATGTCTGTGAGCCTCCATGTAGGTGCTGGCAACAGCAACCAATGTTCTTAATATTAATACTAAGACATCTCTCCAGCTGCACACTTTAAATATTACTCATGCCATTTATATCTTACATGCTGATCACAGAATTATAAAATGTTATCGCTCACAGTGTATAGTCTCTCATATTTTTGTTATATTGATTATGTTTCAATATTTTTACTATATAATTTATGAGAAATAAAAATATTTCATCATTATAGCCTTGCATGTTTATAAGGTCATGTTTTGTCTACTCAACAAAACTTATGCACCAATTATACTTGTGAACGTTTCAAGAAATATACAGACAAATTTAATGTTTATAAAATTCTATTACCCATTGTTGCTAGGATAGAGTAATAATAACGATATACTCTGAAATTAAGACATACATCTTTAATTTCAGCGCCCAGGAGGCAGAGGCAGGTGGATCTCGGTGAGTTCAAGGCCAATATAGTTTCCATAACTATAGGTATCTAGGGTTGCATAGTGAAGCACTGTCTCAAAAATATGTTATGATAAGGATCTATATGCGAATTAAATATTCACAATTGCATGCATAAGTAAAAATAATAGAGCAACAGTACAATACTGTGTATGCTACTGTGTTCAGCAAAGCTTTTGCCTCCCTCCGTCCCTTCATCCCTCCGAACCTTCCTTCCTGTTCTCTAGGGATAAATCATAGTGTTAATAAATGTTAAATTATAACCCTGGAAGCTTAGAATTACAGTAAAGTAAAGAATAAGACCCAAACCCTCTGTTTGCCTGTGTGGGCTGTTCCATGAGTTATCTAAATCTCTTAAGATTGTTTTCATATTATAATCATTTGTTACATCTGTCTTGTATAATGATATAATGAAGATAGTCATGCTACTATTGCTCAAATCAATCCCAAATGCATAGCAAGTAACAGGGGCCACATAACCCAAGAAGAGCTCATGAGAAGAGAGTGACAGTGGAGAGACAGGTAAGTGAATCACACAGCTAGGCACAAGCAAGGCTTTGGGTTCAATCTCAGACGGGGAAGAGAGGAGGGAAATGTCAAAGGAAGGGAAAAAGGAAAGGAAGGAGAGAGAATGGGAGAGAAGGGGGAAGAGGTGGGAGAGAGGAGGGAAGAGAGAGAGGGAGAGGAGGAAAGAGAGAAAGAGAAACATTAACAACCCGATTAAAATCATAAGGGAATCTAGCTAGTAGGGGAAATATGTTTTGAAATACTATCTAATGAGATTAATATATACTGACAGAAGAAATTGGTGTGCACACACTCTAGGCTATCGAAGGTAAGACAGCAACGCACAGTTCAGAAATAAATTTAATTTAAACCCCGTGTGCAAAGTGTGACATTAGCAATGTGAGTTAAGCCTCTAAAAGGAAAGTCCTCCTGAGATGGGGAGGCGCACTGTAACTAAACTCTGCTGCCCGAAGCTGAACAGGACCAACTTGTCAACAGGTAGTCCCCCAGCACTTCTTTCCTACATTGATGTACACGTTGATGTCCTCCAGGGCTTCCTAATTAGAGGCACACACCCATGAGGTCACACATATTATCACGTTGAGTCAGTGGGATGGTTTCCAGTTCACAGCTTCTTCGAGAACATGCCGCCAACACATGCAGACTTAGCGCAAGTCTTGCACACTAAGTTAAGCAACCTGATAATGGCTTCATCATATGAATTAATCAGCCAGATTTAAAGGGCATAGCATGAATATGGCAATTTTTACATTTTTATCAGCATCAGGAAGAAATATATAAGAGCAAAAGTCTTTGTATTTTATTGAGATTAAATTGGTATCACTCCAAACTTGATTGTATAAAGATTTTTAATTATAATCTTACCCCAAAACACCACAAATAAAATGAAAATGAATAGAAAACAAGCAAAAACCTGAGACAAATGCTGCAGATGTTAAGTATGGTTTTGAAACAAAACAATGTACTAACAAGACTAGAGAAACTGAAAAAGATATGAAATATGTAGTAAAATAAATTTCAAAATAGCAGACATAAATCCTCCCTTTTAGGTAATTATATTTAATGTAAATTAAATGTGCTTTACTTCAAAACATGATCCAACTCTATACATTTATAAAAGAGGGCATCTTTTGATTTAAAATATACAAACAGTTTTAAGACAGAAGAATGGAACACACATTACAAATAGTAATCAAATGAATCCAAATAGTTATGTTAGTTATTTTATAATGCTAAAGAGATCACATATTAATAAAATAAAACCGTTATAAACATATGAACCTAACATCGATGCTGATAAAATGCATGAGGCAAAACTAGTATTGAAGAAGAAATTGCTAATTCTACAACTAGTTGGAAATGCAAATACTGCACTTTAAGTGGTGGAAAGAAATTTAAACAGAAAATTAGTAGGATTATAAAATGCTTGAATAATACAGCAAACAAACCTTTCCTAGGAACAGAATTCTCCACTCAGCAGCACCAGAACACATGTTCTTCTCACGACCAATAGAACATCTGGAGCATGCCAACAGATAAAGCGGTGCCGCGAGTCTAAACAGTCTAAACTGAGACTAAACAGATGGGGAGGAATAGAAATAATGCAGCTATGTTCTCTGATCACAACTGAGGAAAACCAGAAACCAATAAGAGACGAATGTGGAGATCTCATAGATGTGTAGAAAGCAACATTATCTCAACATAATTGCCTGCATTAAAAACAGCAGCTGAAGGATGGGGTCTAGAGAGATGGCTCGGGGGCTAAGAACACTTAGTGCCCTTACAGAGAACCAAGATTCAGTTTCCAGCACCTACATGGCCACCCACAACTGCCTGTAACTCCATCTCTGGAAAATGGTGTGCCTTCTGATGTCTGGGGGTATATATGTGCACAAGTATCACACACACACGCACGCACACTCAGACACACACCTGCATATAAAAAAATCTTTTAAAAAGAAAAACTTCAAAGCTAGAGAAAAAAAGAAAATTAATCCTTAATCAAAAGGAAGGAAATAATAGTAAAGATGAGAGCAAATAATAGTCAAGGTTAGAGCATAGATGAATGAATTGTGTATATGTAGCGTATGAAATAAAAGACAAACACAGTGGCTAGTGTCTGATAGTGGCATAATCTTTATAACTTCTATATAAATACACTATATATACCAATGTTGAGTTATGCTATATGAATTATATCTTAATTTTATTAAAAGATTTTTGACTGGCTCTTAGGAAGCATTTGTTCATTTGCTTACAAGGGAAGCAATCCAACCTCTAGATGAAACATGCTTGCCATGTCCCTACAGGAAATGGCCTTGTCATCATTTTGGCTTTCACTGCTTTCCATTTCCGTGTCTCTTTAGCTCATGTAGAGAAGCACGAAGAACTAACTACCATAGGAAGCCCAGATTCCCATGCTGTCAGTGAAGGGCAGAAATCTGTAGGGATTTCCAAAACAACGCGGAAAGGCAAAGATAAGGCTGCAGAGAAAGAGAAGTTGGCCAAGGAAAAGCAAACACCTCGCTTTGAACCTCAGGTGGGTCCGGTGCGATTCCCTTACTGAACAGACCCTGGTAGCACTTGCTGTCCCTCAGGACAGAGAGGGAGGCAGCAATAGGAAGAAATGAGAACTCACCATCCTAGACTCCAGAAATGAGAGATCACTAGCATTTGAAAGATCCTATTTCTTAGCTGTGTTGTTGAAGAACCCAAGTTTGGCTGGATCCACAGATTCGTCTCTCAGCACCTTAACAGTTCTCTATCTGTCAAAGTTCGACACTGGGAAAGTTCTATCACCTCACTTTTGAAGCCATTTTAAAGAGTAAAGCTAAAACGCTAGGCTTCAAAAGTAAGAGAGAACTTTCCATCTGAGACTTAGTTCTCATTAAAATACTAAGAAAATCATGGAGGAAGCAAGGTCTTCTCGGTAATAATGAAACCAAATTTCAGTGAAAACTTATTTAATGGTTGCAACCTTCTCTTCCTCAGTTACATTATTTCAGATGGTTACATTATTACTGTTCTTCACTGCATTCTGCAAGCACACCAGTTTTAAGCTTTAACTTGCCTGCTGGGGTCCTGGAAGATCCCACTTCCAGAGCCTGGTGACTCAAAGTCAGTTAACTATAAAAATCCTTTTTTATTTCCAAGTTGCTTTTGGTCATGGAACGTATCATATCAACAGGACACCATACATGCCAGTTTATTAAATAAAAACTCTTGGAGAGAATTTGGCAGAGAGCAAGGGTCTCTCTCCCTCTCTGATTGTTCAGGAATGAACTTCTCATATGTAAAAGTCAAAACCCATTTCTGCTCCCTCCAGCCCATGCAATTGTTTCTATAGTCATTGAAGTAGCGCTCAGTTCTAGAGTGGATCTGTAGCGAATGCACTCAGGGGCAGAAATGATCAAGTGTCTTCTTTACAATTTTTGAAGACACCATGAGTCACCATAAGTATAATTTAAATTTTATTTAAAATTTTTTAAACAGTGTGTGTGCGTGTGTGTGTGCGCGCAGGCGTTCACATACTCATAGGTACCAGGGTGCACATGTGGAGGCCAGAGGACAAAATGTGGGAGCCAGTTCTCTCTTTCTACCACATTTGCCCTGGGGTTGGAATTCAGAGCCCGCAGGTTTGGCAGCGCAAGCATGCTTAACTGGCTAGATTTTATGTCTAAGCCAACACAGCCTAGAGTCATGTGGGAAGTCAGTTGAATAATCGCCTATATCAGATTGACTGGTTGCCATGTCTGTGAGGAATAGTCTTCTTCAATGTTTGATGCAGGGTCCAGCCCCCTGTAGTTAGCACCATCCCTAGGCGAGTGAGGCTTGGTTACATATGACAACGAGCTGAGCACGAGCCAGTAGGCAGCCTTCTTCTGTGGTTTTTGCCTCAGTTTATGCTTGAGCTACTTCCTGACTTCCTTTCAGTAATGGACCTCAAAATCTAATCCCAAATAAACCCTTTCTCTTCCAAGGTGCTTTCAGTCATCAGTCATAGCATTTTTCACATCAACGGGAAGAAAAAACCAAACTACAACACCCGTCAGCCTAATTTAGACTTTACTGTGTATAATTTGAAGTTAAGATTGCATAAAGTGATGCGCATAAATGCTTGTTTTTCTTTCATGCGCATATGATACGTATGAATGTGTGTGTGTGTGTGTGTGTGTGTGTTTGTGCATGTATGTGTAGATACATATGTGTTCATGTGCCTGTGGAAGCTCAGGATTAATGTTGGGAGTCTCTCTCAATCACTTTCCACTATGTTCATTGAGGCAAGGATTGGTAATTCATCAACATGGCTGCCCTAGCTAGCCAGTTTGCTCTGGGGATACTATCCTTACCTCTGAGCACTGGAATTCCTAGTGGGTTGCTGTGAACAGTCAGCATTGAGCTCCTGAATGCCACTCCTCACCCTTTCGAAGCAAGCACGGTCTATCTGCTGAGACATAGCCTCAATTCCGAAGGCACAGTCATAATTATACAATCCATTGGCTTCTTCAAGTATATACACTGTGTAACTGAAGGTAAAAGTTGTATACTATGTTCAGAAGCCATTGAGGCCCATTTTGTTACACCTGTACCAGAGCGCCAGAGAGAACTCGCCACTTGCTTTCAGTCACCATGCTACTTCTGCCTGTCACAGATGTCAAGCAAGTACCTCACCCAAGCGGAACTACTTGGTGTTATTCATTTTACTAAAATGTATGCCTGTAGGATTCTTCCACATGGTGGCGTACGACAGTCTTGATTTTTGTTCAGTGCTCAGCAGACAGCATAGGAACAGCTGTAAGTTGGTCATTCACCAGCTGATAAACCTTCATGCTGTTTACTTTATTTGCTATGGCTGCTGTGAAAATGAACACTGGGCACTCTTACATAAGTCTTGTGCAAATTATGGTTTGATGTCTCTACGGTAAGTAGCTAACAGTGAAATCACAGTTTAGGTAGTGAATCCTAGAACCCTCCTAGGAGAGAAAAGCATTCCTTTTATAAATTTTTTTTTTTTTCTCCCCCTAGCCAATACCCACTGCTCACTCTCAGCAAGAAGATCCAAACAAGCCCTACTGGGTTTTGAGGCTGGTTTCTGAATACAGTGACTCAGACTATGTGGATGTGAAAAAGGACACGGATCGGTCGGATGAAATACGAGCCATGAAGCAAGCTTGGGAGGCCACTGAACCAGGGAGGGCTATCAAGGTCATGTGCCGGAAAAGCCGTTCTTATTCTTCCTGGGTAGATGTGGTCTGAGACATGAGCCCTGTCTCAGCCACACGGGATTTCTCTTAGGTGTGGGATTTGGAATTGGATCAGATACTAGCTGAACTGTGACATGAGGTGTGCCAAACTATGAGGCTCCTCCTCCACCCCCTCGTTTTTACATAGCCGAGCAGGGCTGGATCCACAGGTGCCCAGAAAAGCCTCAAGTGAGAGCCGGCAATGTTTAACGTGTTTTCCTACGAGGATCAGCTTTAGAATAAAAAGCATGTGCTGCCCTCTGGTGGAATTTCAGTGCCTGTGTCACCTTTCTCTTATGCAGTGGTTCTCAACCTTCCTAGTGCTGTGACATTGTGGTGGCCCCCAATCATAAAATTATTTTCTTTGCTACTTCCATAACTGTAATTTTTCTACTATTATTAACCATAATGCAATTTTATTGGAGATAGACCCATAGGTTGAGAACCACCACGTTATAGCGAACCAGTTATTTTACCTGCAGTGTTCCTTTTCCTAATTCACGGTAAACGAGGCAGATAAAAAATTATTCTGAAACAACTGGATTTAAGATAACATTCTTTGTATATTAGCTTAGGATGGTGGGTCATGCTCTTTCTCTTCCTTGTTCTCTGTCGTAATCTACAGACGGATGAAATCACAGAGGGCTCTGAATTTTAGTCGAGTTAGTGAGGAGTGGGCCTGGTCTAAACTACCTTATTTGGGTTTCCTCTTTAATCTTCTGTATTCTCTGAGCACATCAGCTTGCTTCCGTCCGCTCTGCTTGCTGCTTTTCAATGAGCACACAGGCTGACTGATGTCTGTCTTCCAGGCTGCACAGGCCCGTTTGAAGTACCTCAACCGGTTCATCAAGAAGCCATCTGATGTCCCTGGCCAAGAAACTTTGTCTGCAAGCCAGACTCAAATTAAAACCACAGATGAAGGTCAGTGGCGGCCACCCAACTTCCCAGGCATTTGGCAGGGCCTCCTTAGCGACAAGGAATTCTTTCAGAGTTTCTGGTACTCAGGATGGTGAAAGGCCATGGGGCTTCACATCAGGACACGAATAGCCTTCTGATTATCAAACCTCTTGTACTTTCTCTTCTAAGACTCACATGCCCATTCTCCACACATGAGCGGAGGTGATTGTCCCTGCTTAAGCAAAGTTGAAGGATATGGTACGGTGGCACTCACCTGAAATCCCAGCATTTCGGAGGTAAAGGCAGGAGGCTCAGAAGTTCGTGCTCACCCTCAGCTATAGAGTGGATTCAGGGCCAGCCTGGGCTACAGGAGAGTCTGTCTTGAAAAGGAAAAAAAAGATAAGGAAAAGATGGAAGCAGAGATGAAATGAGGTGGTTACTCAGTGTGATGGTAGTCATGTGGAATTGGAGGCAGTCCTATTACTGCCATAAATCTGGCACCTTCTTAAGAAGAATAAAAAAATAATAAGATAGTCATAATGAAGATAACTACTTATATGGAACATTTGTCATGGCTTGGAAACTTGCATTTCTTAAATTACAGTTGACCCTAGTGTCCAAAGGTTATCACTCCCAAGACCTACAATGTCTATCAAAATGCACAGGCATTCTAGACCCTTCTAGGACACGGAGATGTCTTTGCATTTAATCTATGCACATTTTCCTGCATGCTTTAAATTATCATCATAATTCTTATAATCATAATTCAATCTAAGTGCTTATAAGTAGTTGTTATGCTATATCATTTAGAGAATATAAAGGCAAACAATGTGTATATATTTATGTATATGTGTATGTTCATCACCAGTAAAACTAACATAGAACTAACTACGCAGTAGATAACAAAATAACATTTTCAACTACATATTTCAAATTGTTTAGTACTTATTATGCTATGTGTTTGTGCATGTGCATGCTGTAAGGATGGTTGCCACACTACACATATAGAGGGCGGACAACTTTGCTAGTCAGTTTTCTCCTCTACATGGACCCCAGGAGTTGAACTCAGATCACTAGACTTACATAGCAAGCATTACTTTACCCTCGTGGGCATCTGTCATCCTTTAACCATATATGTTTAAAATGCTGTATTAATTCATTAATTTTTATGTTTTTTTATGTTATGTATGTGTGTTTTTTCCTGCATGTATGTTTACATACCACAAGTGTGTCTGGTGTTCAAGGAGGCCAGAAGACATCATCAGATCTCCTGAACTAGAGCTATAGCCAGTTGTCATATGGGTGCTGGAATTCAAATATGGATCTTCTAGAAAAGCACCTAGTGCTCTTAAACACTGAGCCATTTCTCCAGCCCTGCCTTAACAAATTCTTGATTAGTGGTTAGTTGACTAAATCCATGGATACAAAGCCCAGTGATACAGAAGACAAACTATATTTTATTTGGCATTTATACACCAACTAATTGATGTACTTCTTGATCTCCAAGGTAGAGAAAATCTCAATAATATTTCTACATTCATGAGAAACAAGAGAGCCTGCAAGCATGCAGATCTGGCCCTCCTTTGAACCATTTGTCTTCTCATACATGCCCAACTATATCCAAGTACCAGTGCTCTAGACTTATATGGAGGCAGAAGCAAATCACATCCAAATGCTGCATTTCATTCAAATTAGAACATAATGCAAAGTAAATCACCTACAATGGATGAATAAATAGGAGAAGAGAGCATGGTTAGCATGAAATTTAGGGTTGGTTATTACGGTTTCTTCATGGCCTAGAAGTCACTCTTAGAATCACTACTAAGGAAAATCCTCCTAGCTTTAGGATCTTCACAAGTAAGAACCCCCTTCAGTTTTATTTTAAGAAAATTTAATGCCAAGTCTTACTAGTCCCTTCCCAAAGAGAAGTGCCTTGCCTATGTACAGTGGTTCTAATACTTAAAACCTCACTTCTATCAATATTGTCCCAGTTTCTAAAAGCTTCTGATTGTATGTGGCTTTCATATTCCAAGAGGTTGCCAGGCTCACCATACACTCATGCCTACACTAGTCATATCATGCTTTGACATCCTGATGCTGCAGGTTAGACACTGCAAAGCTATGAAATTGTGTCCTCCAAATCTGAGCTCCTAGAAACAAGCCTTGTTAGATTTGTTTTGCAAGTGACTTCGCGGAGTGCAAGTTATTCTTTTTTAGGAACGTATACATTATGCTATAGGAGAAGTAGCAGGAGGAGCTGGGAAAGACGCAGACACCAAAGAAGTGCCACCACATGCAGCAGGAAGTGCGCCGTTGAAGAAAGAAGACATCAAAGAAGTGCCACCATCTCCAGCACCTTCAACAGGAGGTTTGCTTTGGAAGAAGTGGCAGCTGTCCAAGGGCATCAAGGATCTGTCAAAGTCTACAGGCAGTGATAGCAAAACATCTGTAACAGGGAAGGAAGAGAAAGAGCAGAGTGCACCTAAGGAGACTGTTGGTGAGTTCTGATCTGGCTGGTAAGGTAAGATGGGTACTTGACTTTGAAACAGCAGTATAAACAGATTATAACACACATGTGAAACTGGGGCTCCCAAAATAGAAAAAAAGTGCATCTGTCACAGCTGGCATCACAGCATGGCTCCCCGGGATATTAATCTAGAGTTCTCTCATCGTAGCAAGACCTATAGTAAATGCTGGAATTAGAAAAAAATACTATTGACTAAGAATTCTTTATCCAGTAAATACCATTGTTAAAAACTTAAGTCAAAATGGGAGTACAGTTATAGTTTAGTGGTAGAACTCTTGCCTAGCACATGCGAAGTTCTAAGTTCAATTTAAAGCACTGAAAAAAAAAAGCACACTTAAAAAAAGAAGAAGTGATCAAGGAAAAACAGGTACATCTTCCTGAAGACAAACACCAATAGATGTGAGTCTAGAACAGATGGTTTAAAATAAGTGTCTGGATTAAGATAAAATGACCTCAGAAAGTAATTCAGATCCACAAGAAAAGCTCATTATGTAGGTATATGTTTGAAGAAATCAGAATCCTATTTCCAAATTTTTAATTGATTTGAAAGTAATTGTAAAATTGCACTGGCTGGCTTCTGACACAAAAACAACGTGCCAATAATAGTATAAATGGTGGCTGAGGAAAAGGAGCTGTGCAAGAAAAATGTAGTATCTCCTGCTTTCACAAATACCAATGTGATCCAAATAGTGGGAAATGCAAATGTTTATTATAAAAACCATTCTCAAAGAAATGAAAACGGTAGCATAACATAGTGAAACCATCAAACATGGCCAAGGCTAAGAGGGGAGTCTTTAAGGATGAACGCCACCTTCAAAAAAGTACAATCGCTACAGCTCATGGAGCTGAAGTGCTGAGAACAAAGCCAGCTCAAATTTAGAAGGAAAGAAGTCAAAACCAGAGCAGAAATAGATGAATTAGAGACTGAAAATCAAAATATGAATGAATACCTACACTTGACTTTAAAAAGGAGGGGGAGGACTCAAATAAGCAAAAATAGGATGTGGAAAGAAAGGCATTAAAATTAACAGCAGAGAAATACAAAAGTGGTGTTAGCGATTATTATGAACAACTGTTTGCCAGCAGTGACCTAAAATAGATAGGCAAGTTTCTGGACACGCAGCTTACAGAGATGATGAGGGCCTGGGCTGGGAGACAGCTCAGTAGCTAAGTACTTGCTATGGAGCAGAAGGACCCGAGTTCAGGTCTGCCCCTCACGTGCATGGCAGCTTGAAAACATGTGGATCCCTGAGTTCACTGACCAGTGAGTCTACTGAAACAATGAGCTCTGGACTTAGCAAGTGACCATGTCTCCAAAGGTAAGGTGGACAGCCATAGTGGAAGCCGCCTGTTGAAGAAGCTTTTGTATGCTTCCTCCCCCCCACACACATGCACCACACAATTTAAAATGAAACAAATCTGTAAAAGCCCTGACAAAGCAAATACAACAACACATTAAAAATATTATTCACTATGATCAAGTTGGATTCACACCAAGGATGTAAATATAATTCAAAAGATCATTAAATTGGATATGCCACATAAACAGAATAAAGGACAAGAACTCAGGGAGGCTGGGCCAAAGTCAGTCTGTCAATCAGAAACTTGGTCCTGTGATAACTAAGTAACCCATACAGGGTTTCACGGGTCCATGCATGAGGATGAATGCCTGGTGCCCTAATTCACTAGCTCTAGAAATTCTGTATAGGTATATTTTGTCTGTAAACATTTTTTTCTAATATTGGTAAGATTTGTTATTCTTCCTCTTGCCCAGTTGTTCTGGTAAGCCCTTGCAGACTATGTTGAATGAAAGTGATGAATGTAAGCATCCTTGTCTTATTCCAGACCTTAAAGATATTTTTTGACTTTTTTTTCTGTTCAGAAATACTAGAATTGGTATCCATATGACCTATGTCTTATTTGAGAAATGTCCCATGAAGTAAGAAAAGGCAAGCAAAGGAGGCAATCAGGGAAGACGACATACTTTGCAATGACAACACCATTACTTTCTGGAAAGCCATCAGTAGGATCAGTAGTTGAGTGGTGGTGAATGAGAGAAAAAGCAGCCATGCCTGGAGCCTTTCTGGGTCAGAGAATGTTCTCTCAATGATATCTCAATCCACAGCTCCATACAGTTATCCAAACCCATACAATATTCCCGACCTAGAGTAAACACTAAAGTAAACAATGGTGTTTGGGAGATGGTGGCCCTTGGAAAATATCAACAATGGGGGATGTTGTGCATGCATTGGAGAAGGGTTAAACTGAGTAACACCAATAACGCTGTGATTCCAAAACTACTCTTAGAAATAAGAATTGAAAACATAGAGAATGAAATGGAAAGATATTCTTCTTTGTAATTACAACTTTTATCACGATCTTAATAAGAGTCACTTTGGGTAGAGGGCTAGAGTTGGGTTAGTGAGATAAAGTACCTGCTTGCCATGTAAGCCTGACCATCTGAGTTCACTGCCTGCCACATTCAAGCCAGTTGCGGTGTCATGCGTCTGTCCTCCTGGTGCTGCTGGAGATGGGAGGTGGGCATAGAACGGGTTGGAGGTTCGCTGGCCAGCGGGCCGTAGTGTGGTGCACAGCAGCAGCAATAAGAGAAATCCCGCTTCACCAAGGTTGAAGGTGAGAGCCGACTCCCAAAAGCCATCCTCTGCTCCCCGCCCCGACTCTGCACATGCACCGTATGCATGCTAGCACATCAAAAGAAAGAAAGAAAGAAAGAAAAACTTACTGTGGTTTGAAAATCCCTTAAGAGGTTAACTGCCATTATTTTACCTCGTGACCCAACTCATTCCTGCTTAGAGGAGATGTTTAGGAAACAAACCTAGGTTGACCAATGTAGACTAATGGCTGGCACGCCGGAGCTTCTGGGGGAAGGGACACTCTGACTAGAGAAGGACAGGAACCGGTCTGAATTATGCAAATCTCTTAAAACTGGGTTTTTATGGTGATCCAAGAACCTACTAGATTTATTTTAAAAGTATTGCATGTATTCTTCAGATGAGGTAGGTTTTTTTGTTTCTTTTGCTTGAAAATGATGCTTTCTTTTTATTTTAAAGACATAGTAGTCTGGAAAAGTCAAAAGGTCATTATCATCCAAAGGCTAAAATTCTTTATTAAATCTGCTCATGTGGCTCCCTCTGGGTGCATGGAGTAAAAGTTGGTTCTTTGATCTTCAGTGTCTTCATTTTATATATTGTTCAATCCAGACGAAGGTGTAATAACGCGTCTTACGTACATTTAAATTCCAACTCCCACAGTGCTCAGCATGATTTTCAGACATTTTTCAAGCTCTTTCAATTTTGAATCATTTAATTTGCTTACAATGAAACTTTGTAATTTAAATAAGAGGCTATTTTCCTCCCTCATTTAACTGCAAATAGGAAAGAATTTGTTACTATTCTGATGTTGCATATTCGTATTTTTACATCTTTTACTTAGCTATAGGCAAATTTACACAAAAGGGTAAATATGAAATAAAATTCATAATGTTTTTCAAAAAATAATAAGAAAAGTACAAGGTTGCTTCTTAGCAGAAAGCATTGTTTTCAACCAGAAGGAAATATAATAGCTATTTAGCTATTTACTTCTGGAAGCCTGTGTTTGCTTTCCAACAGTATCCCGTGCACGATCTCAGACAGTTCTGGAAACGTCTCCACGACTCATTCGAAAAGCACTAGAATTTGTGGACTTCAGTCATTATGTTCGGTGAGATTTTAGCAAAAATGATTAATGCAGACAAGTGTGTTCATAAAATGTTAGATATAGCCCCAATTGGTAATTGCTAAGTAACTGAAAAGTTGAAATTAAATGCTTAATATGTCTTCATTTTGTTTGTCTTTAAAGCTACAAGATTATTCATCTTATATTTCTCAAATATTTTATTACACTGTTTATCAACTCATTTAAGTGACTTTTGTAAAAAAATTAATCTGAACCTCCATAAAGTTCTCTTATTACCCATGACTATTATTTAATGAAGTTACATTTTCTTCAGAACTTAATAATAGGATTAATAGAGCCTGTTGTGCATGTTTGTGTTTGAGAATGTCATCACTCTTGTGAAATTGATAAATTTAGATGTAAAGCCCACACAATTCTCAAAGTTTTGGAACCAGTTTCATAGTCACCTTATCTAATGATTTGTCTGACACTTCCCATAATATTCTCTAAAATATCAATGAGTCAATACACAGTACCTAACCCAATTTTTAAAAATTAATCTTTTATTCCACTAACTCTCATGTTTGGTTTGATTCAGCCCAGCTCACTGTTAACATAATTCTAAATTAATTTGCATTCTGAAGTATTATTAGTTACTTTCAAACTCTCAAAAATGATGCTCTTATTTCATCTGACTTTTGATATCAAGGAAAACAAGTGACGAGGCTGTGCTGCAAACAGAGGAACTGAACAAGCAGCAAGCAATGCAGAAGGCAGAAGAAATCCACCAGTTCCGGCAGTATAGGTCCCGAATCCTTAGCATCAGAGACATTGATCAGGAAGAACGTCTTAAGCTAAAGGATCAGGTTCTAGAAACATATGGAGAGATGCGGGTAAGTCTAGCAGCACCTCTGACCACATCTGTTAGGTTCCTTGGTAACAGGAAAAAGAAATCAAAGTTACACATCTGAGTAGAAAGAATTCATAGTATCCGACTCTAAAGTTCATCACCTCCCAGAAAGGCTGGGCATCCATCCATATATCTCCTTTCACTCACCGCCTCCTTCAATCACACTAGCCTATCAGAATAGGAATCTATCTTAAGATGGAATGAATGTGAGCGAGGACCAGACACTATTTGTGAATGTATAAAATTATAGGTTGAGCACTCGTGACCTGAGCTGAGACAGGCAGACCCAATGCTGGCTGTGGAAAATGCTTTAGAATCTGCCTGTTTGCTCATAGCGTCTTCACAGGATATCCCACAAGCCCAGGAGGCTGGCACCACGGATATTATGAAGTGAAAACAAAATGCGACAATGATAATTAGGCTTAAAGTTACAGATTAAAACCACAACTTTTCACTGTGGTAACCATTATCTCTGTGCCTCCCGCCCCCCCCCCCCCCCGCCACACACACACACACACACACACACACACACACACACACGTCTGTAGCAGGTAGAGGTGTTTTATGAAGACACCTCCAAAGAAAAGTTTTCTATGCAGTGGGAGACAGATTAATTGAAGACAAGACTATGACAGAAATGGAAAGATGCAGTAAATGTGGAAGAATGACTTCCATCTCTGATGACAGAGACTTATTGCTTTCTTCTCACTCCCCTAACACAATACACACACACACACAAATACACTCAAACATGCTGACACAAACACACACTCATACACTCACACACTGCACTGACATACAGATACACTCTTACACATACTACACCATACTCTTATACACAGAGATATATGCAGACATATATATATGCATGTGCACATGGATGCGTGCACATGCACACATACACAGACAGAGAGCTATAGAACTTTCTAAGTATTTTAGCCATAGTAATACTGGATCCTCCACCACAGTATTGCTTACTGATGTGGAGGAATCTGCTCGTTAGATATCTCTTTGTTTTGTTCAATAGGCATTTCAAACAAAAATCTCCAAATATTAATTGTAGCAATTTTAGCCCTCTCTCTCATTTCAGGACAAACATGTTACTTCACCATTGTCATCTTAGAAATTGACAATCGTAACTGACAATTGTTCAGAGCAGAAACCTTTGAGACAGTCCTGCCTGTCAGTCTTCACCAGTGATCCATTATCAAAGCCCACGTAGTCCACTTTGAGAATCTATTGGCAGCTCTGCTGCATCCACTCTCTCTATATCCAGTACCCCAGTGCAGACCATTGTGGTTTCTGGCCAAGGTCTTTCTACAGATCCCTCATTGATCTAGTTAGCTACTTCCACCTTTGTCGTTCTTTGATGTGGTCTGTCCTTAACAGCCAGAGAGGGCTCTGTCATTCAGGATAAATTATTTTCTTCTGTGGTAACAAACAATCTCACCATTCCAGTGACTTATGCAGGATCTGCTAAACTTGTTTTCTTTAAAGGGGGGTGAAATTTTTTCTCTGTGGGATCTTTGACTGTTTATCTATTTGTCCATCATATCTACTGCTTCTAGTTACCTCATCTTACCAATATTAACACATAATCAATGTTAATACTTAACTAAATGAGAATACACCAAATAAACAATACTTTATCAAAACAAAGCAAAACAAAACAGACAATAGTCAGATTTGCTCCAGAGACTTGAGCTCACCAAGCCCTGGCGTTTCTTATGCTAGGCACATGTCTAATGCAGTGCAGTGGGTTCTGCTAATGTCTACTAAGATACTGAATGAGGCTGGAAGAGATCGTTTGTGGAAACTCTGCTGTGACCACATTGAACTGAGCATGGCAGTTGGGTCATGCCGTGTCTGTCCAGAATAGTAATTATTTCCATTCAAATTGTATTGGTTAAAGAAATCACACGTTTACTAAGAGCTTCAAAGATGGAGTCAACTTTGGTCGATTGTCCAACATAAAGAACTTTAAAACAATTACCTGGTTGCTGTTACTTTGTTATAGTAAATCTATCAATTTAATATAGAGGGCCATGTTACCTTGAGCCTGAAAAAGAATGGGGAAATATTTTATTGATTGCACTAATGGTATGATCATGCCTGGTTTGATTTTTTAAGTTATTTTCCTATTTTTAAGTTACTTCCTTATTGTTTAAAATGAAAGCTTAATATATTTATAATAAAATATGAATGCATTTTAAGCCTATCTCTTCTAGAGAACAAACTATGGATAAAAACGGCCTCGGTTCAGGTTTGTTCTTATATTTTCAAAAGGAAAGAAAAGGAATTGTGTTTCATAAAGGAATTGGAATAAATGAATGACTGTTAAATCACACAGATTCAATATAACAAAATACATTATCAGAAATAGGGAGTTTCAAGGTTATGGACTTAATTTCTGTGTTTAGAAGCCAAGCTATTGCAACAGATAAGGATGTGTAGAGAAGAGAAACCCAAGAATAATACATTTCTTATCAAGCGGGAGAGAATAGCTCTCTCAAAACCCCTCAGAAGTTTACTGGCATGTGTTCAACTGACTTGGTACACATCCTTAAGATGTTTGTATCTTGCTCACTCACTCTTTCCAATGTGCACATACTGCTATCTTATGCCAGTGCACTTTGCTCTAGGAATCCAATTTTATGGAAGTTATAGTAAGTTTCTTCCATCAACTGCATTGTGAAGTCTGATTTTGGCATCCAGCTATTCCAGCTTCTCAGTAAAATCATGCCCATTGCCGAACAGTGGGGAAAACCCTCATAGAATTTAGCATGAAGAGAAAGCTGACATTTATAGAAAGTTTTCTTTATTCCAGTATTGGTCCATTAATCCTTATTATTCCACGGTATTGAGTTTGAAGAAGTCAACAACAGTGAGGCCTTCTCCATATTCAGAGAGGAAGGAGAAGATGAGGAAGCAGCAAGAGGCCCTGAGAAGGATAGCTAGTGAGACTGAGGATGAGTCACTAATGTGACATCCGGTGAGCCGAGAGAGGTCAGCTGACCGCAGAAGAGACGGTTAAGTAGGAACAGAATCAAGAACTGATGTTGAATGTAGCTACACACTGGTGGCCGGATAACAGCTAGATAGTACTGTTATCTACTATGCTGAGAATGAAAGAAAGATAGCAGGTTAACTGTTCTTACTCAGAAGGTCTGCAGCACAGCCCTGGTATATCTTGTCAGAGTTAGAGCACAGGTGGGGCCTAGTAATCTCCCGAGCACAACTGCTGTGTGAAGGACAGATGGGTTCTGAACTCATCTGAGGCAAAGTTCCACTACCAGAATCTCTACCAATGTCTCTGCCATTTGTTTTTCATTTGCCTTGTATCACATATTCCTAAACGTTCAAGGACAAGCCTCGCTCCCATCTTCAGTGAGTTTCCCCATTAATGTGTGAGCATGAGGACAGGATAAAGAAAACGTATTTATTTTCCTGCTGCTTATGCATCATTATTAGTGAGACTGATTGGCTTGGTTTTGTTTTGGAATAGGATTCAGTAGATGAAGCCCGGCAGAAAATCCTTGACATCCGGGAAGAATACAGAAACAAGTTACTGGAGGCTGAGCGCTTAAGGCTGGAGGCTTTGGCAGCCCAGGAGGCTGCAATGAAGGTGGAGTCAGAGAAGAAGTCTCCAGTTTCTGACTCACAGAAGAAGAAGAAGCCAGGAAAGAAAAAGTGACCGAGAGGTCCTGTGGCACTCTCTTCTGTAGTGGAAGGAGTGTTGAAGGCGCTACCACTTTGCCTTTTGCTAAAACATAGAACAGCTTAAACTGGAGAAAATGTTTCCCACTCAGTTTCTTCATTTAAATGTTCACTGGTGTCTCAGATGTTCTAATTTCACTAAAATGCTTTTAAAAAGGTTTAGATTATAAATAAAATTGTGTTACATTTCGAATATTTTGTATTTAATTTGTGTGTGTGTGTGTGTGTGTATGTAAGTGTGCACACCCATTGATATACATTTAGGGGTCTGAAACTCTTTTGGGGGGTCTGTCTCTCCTTCCACCTTGTTTGAGGATGGTATCTAGCTTCTGCTGCTATACTCCAAGCTTGTTAGTCCACAGGCTTCTAGGTGAGATAATTCTGTACTCACTCCCCATCTCACCATATGAGCACCAGGATTGCCATGTGCTAACAAACATGGCATACATATATTTCAAGAATTCCTACTCAAGTCATAGACTCCTGTAGCCACTGGTTTGGATCCACTGATACATTTTCCCAGCCCTGAATTTTAAATATTTTTATTTTTATTTATGTTTATATGTGTTATTGTGTATGTCTGCATAAATGATCCACCTTCAGAGCCCAGAAGATTGCATCAGATTGCCTGGTGCTATGTGCCACACCTTGTGGGTTCTGGGAGGTGATCTCAGGTGGTCTACAAACACAGCAAGCACTCTTAAAGGCTAAGCCATCTCTCCAGGCCCCTGAATTTTAATTGGTAGCAAAACAAGATCTTAAATGGGTCAAGAGGGTTATCTTTGAAAAAAATGAATGAAAATAAATGAGTAAATAATAAATATAAAGGAAGAAAAGAATCACGTTTGCTAATCAGTCAGTGTATAGACACAGAGTATAATGCTTGACTCTTGTTGCTTACAAGCTAACTCTTACATCTAGAATTAATACATTTCTATTTTTTTATTTTAGTATGAGGCTCATTGCTTACAGGCAAATTTCAGTTGTTTCTTGTGTCTTTCCCCTCTGGGAGCTCCATGGCATCTCCCCGATTCTGCCTTCTTTTATAACAGGAGGAGTGGGCTGCTTGTCATCCGGCTGCTTGGCGATCTTATACCTGAAATAATAACACAGAAACTGTATTCATTTAAACACTGCCTGGCCCATTAGCTCTAACTTGTTATTGGCTAATTCTTACATCTTAATTTAATCCGTGTCTATTAATCTGTATATTGCCATGTAATTGGGACTTACTGGCAAGATTCTAACCAGTGTCCATCTCAGGCAGGAGATCCATGGTGTCTCTCCTTCTGCCCTTCTTCCCAGCATTCAGTTCTGTCTTCTCTGCCTACCTAAGTATTGTCCTATCAACTAGGCCAAGGCAACTCCTATACCATTCTTTCTCCCAGCATTCAGTTTAGTTTTTTCCACCTAGTTGTGTTCTGCTCTATCACAGGCCAAGGAAGAGTCTTTATTCATTAACCAATAAAAGCAACACATGGACAGAAGGACTTCCCATACCAACAGGGTCTATGTAGCATTGGCTGACCTGGAACTCACAGAGATATATCTACTTGCATGTACCCCATACCTTCCTCTTTTCTCAAAATTGTTAAATGAGGGGAAAACAGGGAAAGGAAAACAAAGATTTTGATAAGGGAAAAAATGAGCACCCATTCAACACAAACTTTGTGTACTGTACTATTCTTATGAATCAGAAAAAATAAAACCCAGTAAGATATTGATTAACTGGGGAACTGGCATGTAATTTCCAGTCCCTGAGATTTCTGTTCCTTTCCATTCAAGGGGTCAAGTATTACGTGTGACACTAGAACCCTTTTCATAACTAGATAACCAGATGTTTTAGGTTTTTGTTAAAAATGAACAGGCAGGCCGTGGTGGCACATACCTTTCATCATATCACTGGGAGTGGTGGGAAAGGCAGGCAGATCTCTGTGAGTTTGAGGCTAGCCTGGTCTATAGACTGACTTTAAGAACAGCCAGGACTACACAAAGAATCCCTGTCTCAAAAATCAAACCAACTAACCAACCAAACAAACAAAAACAAACAAGCAAAAACCTACTTGAAGGATCCCGACTACAGCTCACACATGTGCCCCTTCCTGAAGCTATCAGACTACTGAAACACTAGTGCCCACAGAGAATTGGAATTTCCAAGGGAATCTCTGCAGGGAAGGAAAAAGGTTGAAGCCTGATTCCAGTCACAGCAGGATTTTGTCTCCAAGGAAGAGATTCCACACATTTCTGACAACTGCCCTGTAAGACTGACTGAAGGGCAACAAGAAGAGATTGGACCATGCCTTGACTGCACAAGTCAGAACCCAAACCACAGACTTAGGAAATCTACTGGGCCTCTTTATTTGTTCTTTTCTTAAATGTTACCATATCGAATGAATTTTCTTTCACTGGTTTTAATTATTCTTTTTTTTAATTAGCACATTGAGGAAGGGTGACTGTCTTTGTTAGGGTTTCTATTATTGTGAAAAGACATGTGACTATGGCAACTCTTATAAAGAAAAACATTTAATTGTTGTAACTCTTAGTTCAGAGGTCTATCCATTATCATCATGGTAGGAAGCAAGGCAGCCTGCTGGCAGACATGATGCTAGAGAAGGAGCTGAGAGTTCTTACATGGTGACTTGCAGGCAACAGGAAGTGCAATGTCTCACTGGGCAGTATCTTGAGAATATATGAGACCTTAAAGCTCATTCCCACAGTGACAAATTCCTTCAACGAGATCACACCTACTCCACAAGGTCACACCCCCTACTTTAGTCCTTTAGGGACTATTTTCTTTTCTTTTAAACTGCCATGGTGACTGTAAGGTAAAAGGGCCGGTGGAAGAAACCCACCCTGGTCCTGAATCCAGAGCCTATAAAAGAAATACTTTGACCCTGAACCCAGAGTTGATGAATAAAACACTTTGGCCCTGAAACCAGAACCAAAGAAATACACCTTGATACTGTAACCAAAGTCAAAGAAACACACTTTGGTCCTTGAACCAGAGTCAGTAAAAGAAAGACACTCTGGCCTTGAAACCAGAGCCAAATCTGCCCCTGACCAACTGAACACAAAAGCCACAAATCCCTAAACAGGAAAACTAACCAATCCTTGAGCAAGAAATCTAGTCAATCTGAGCTTGTTCAAGCTCAAGGAGATCAAAACCCGACCAATTCCCTCCCTGAAAATCTCCCTGGAAAATCTCTGCCCCTATGAAACCCAATAAAAGCCCCTCTGCCTGTTCAGTTGGTAACTGTCCTCCTCCACCCTGGCAGAAGCAGCCATTCTCTTGGGCTCCTCATCCCCAAATAAACGTCTTAAAAAGAGTTTTGAGGGAAGATCATTTGCTGGCATGGAGCATCAGCTCTGCTAGGAAGCTTCCTTAGGGGAACAGAACAGAAGAAACAACTGACTCCTCTTCTGGGAACCTCCATTAAGGGGAGCCGTGGAGAAGAGACCAGCTGTGATGGCTCTCCCCTGGAGAGGAGCAGGATTGTCACATCCTGTTGGAGACCATCCCCTGCCAGATCCCAGTTTCAGGTATAGCCCGACTTCCTGAAAAGTCAGGCTACCTTCCTCCTCACAATTGTAGGTATCTGGGATACCTTCCCTTCACAGCTATAGGTATATATGTTGACTTGCCGACTAGTTGGGGTACCTTTCCCTCCAGAGCTGTAACGCTTGCAGTGACAGAACTTGTTAGAACCATCTGAGAGCAAGTTTGTACCCTGAAGCTGCAGTTGCATGATTTGCAGTCTAATACTTGTTCTTCCTCATGGGATATACCTACGAACCCTGGAAAAGACATAAGACCAAATTCCTTGTTTTCTGACCACCAAAGCAAAAGGCAGCCATCAAACACTAAAAGTCAGCATTTACTCCTACATGGCCTAGAAGCCTCCTCTCAATATTGGGTGAACTGATATCACAAGTAAAGGGGATCTGTGGGGTGTCTCTCACCACGGCTAAGTAGCCAAAGGAAAACTTTTTTCTTTGCACATTCAGGCATTTCCTTTTTCTGGTGAGAGATACCCAGCAGGTCAATAGAAGGAGCAGGAGGAACTCAGCTCTAGCTGAGTTGAGGAAGCTTTCTTGATCCCATTGGCCCATGATTCTTCCCCCATCTAGACATACTAGACAGACAAAAAGAAAACTCAGATTCAGCAAGAGGTCCCATTCCAAAGGAGTGTTTGTACCTGCAGCCCAAGTCAGGAGGCAGTAGGAGGGGACTCACCACCCCTCACCTCTACTGAGGACTACCCCTCAGCTGACCTGAGGTTGTCTCTTTTCAGGTACTGTGGCAGCACCAGCCAGGAGCAGCAGCAACACCAGATGAACCAGGTGAATGCAGCTATCCCTACGAAGCTGTGCAGATTAAAATGCCATCACAACCATGATCCACAAGAAAGGGCAAAAACAGCCATGCTAAAACTTAGAAGTGAGGCAGATTTCCAAAATAAAACATGTCCCAGACTTACACAGTAAAGGGGAAATAAGCAAACATATATGGGTCATACCAATGACCTGTAAATGCCCCAGTCTGTGTGATTCTGAGATTCTGAACTTTCTTCGTCCTGGGTTGTTTTCTCTATTTCAAGGAAGAAAATACTCTTTATAGAGAAAATAAATGACCTTGAGGGGCTTGAAGCCTGCTTAGTTCTCCCTGGAGAGTTATAAAGGAGCCAAGTATAAAAATAGATTAGCAACCTGGGACTCCAATTGGCTTAGGCAATAAACATAGCCCTTTCCTGACAATGTGGATTCCTGATTTAAGCTATAGAATTGCATTTTTCCCTTTGGCTGCCCCATTGGTAAAATCCTAGTTACAATCAAACATCTTGAAAGCAATAGTGATAGGCTGGTCAAGTTTGAGCTGGTTTTACTGCATGCACAGAAAAGCAAGCAGTGTTCTCTGAGTGAATTTTCAAGGGGAATCTCCTATTTACTATCTTATGCCTATGGAGGTGCATCTGATTAAAATAAAATGCATCATAGGAAAGGGACTATGCAGTAAAGAAACATAACTCAAGCTTGCTGTTTAAAATCAAGGAACAACCTACACCCTCCCTGTAGCTCCTC